TAATATTTTCCGCCAAAACCCAACTTTAAGGCGCCAATTTTCAAAACTGCACGCATGGCGAATGTTCCAAGATGGTCTCCTTATGAATCAAGCAAATTCACCATGCTTCGACTGGTTATTAGGTGCTGCAAAATAGTTTGCCGCGAAAAAGTAGAACTCTTTTCTACTTTCTTGCGAATTCGCTGTGAAATCAAAAATCAAAACTGGCATGCCTTGATGCCTTTATCAGCGATTTCGCCGCGAATTCGCTGCGAAATTCGCCTCCTGGAAATTGCGGAATATCATCCCTTGACTTTTGTGAAAAGTTTATTTGATTGATGAGTCAAGAAGATACGGATTGCCTGATATCAATAGCCAATTTTATATCGCTGGCTTTTGAGTCACGGGGATTTCTTTTGCAAGTCCTCTATGTGCATATCGTCGTGACGTAAACTTTCTAGCTTATAATCATTTTTTCATCTGTTTATCTTTGTATTAGCTGTTTGCTGTTTTCTGAGATTTATTGCTACACTCTTTTTTTATAAGAACAATTTTATAAGAACACGTGCCTCGAAACTGGTCAAAAGTTAAGAACAAATTAAGAACAAGCTGAGGCTGAGCTTCTGCAAAATGCAATTTTGACGAACGTTTTTACTCAAAATCGAGGATTTTTAGCGATATGAGGGTGCTTTTTTGGTGAATATTCAAATTTGTCAGCAAATTAAGGCTGTCTCACTCATTTTGTTGGCAAATGAGGCCTGAACACCTCCTTAGAGCGAAAAAGCTAGCAATAGCACAGCTTACACCCTCTTAATTTAAGAACGAATTAAGAACAAGCTGAGGCTGAGCTTCTGCAAAAAGCAATTTGAACAACGTTTTTTCTCAAAATCGAGGATTTTTAATTTAATTTGCTTTTTTCTAAGATTTATTGCTAATTTGTAATTATGTTAACTTGTAAGTATAGTGATTGTGTTGGCGATGGGTCATTTCGGCCTACAAGCCTGATTGTAAAAAGTAATTAGGTTATCTTGGCCTAGATACCTTAATAAAATAAGAATAAAAGCATTGGACACAGGACACTGGCAGCCACACTCGACTGCCAAGGGTTGACCAATCAAATTGCGCACAGTGCACAGAGAATATCATGTGATTACTTTCGGCCAATCGGCAAAATCCCAGCGCATCGCTCAGTGGTTCAAAGTGGAAGAAAATATGAGAGCGTCCACCAAAGGCTATGAATCGGTCGATTGTTTCAAAATCATTAATATCAGTTATCTGGAGACCTTTAGCAGCCATTTTCTCCATTTCAAGCTTAAAGTGTTAGGCTTCAACTTAGTTTTTAAGGCAAGAAATGGGTGTCAGATTAACAGAAGATAGAGGAAGGATAAAAAAATTGGAAATGTAATTGATAGCGGTGAAGCAGTGTTAAGAAATGGACAAAGTGCAAGATGGTTATAAGACCGCAAAGACCCATGCGTATCGAGTTGCAAGAAAAGGCCGCGAAAACTTTACTGATCTTAGAAGCTGTTTCCCACGTGGCATGACTGTTAATGACAATCTAACAAGTATTGAAACAGTGATAGCTTTCTTGGGGTTTAGGGGTGCAACGCCCCACAATACTTTTGTTCCTTTGGTAAATTCGCTTCGATTTGGTCGAGAGCATATTTTTGATTCTTTAACATGATGCAGAAAATGATGCACAAAAGTTGCTTAATTTGTCTTATCATATTTATTATTTTAAAGTTCGAAACAGAATGTTAAAAATGGTCGTTTTCATCATTTTCGAGTCACCTGAAGGGTTTGGCACAAAAATCCAGTCATTATCTAACCCCCCCCCCCAAACGCTGCTGCTAAAATCCGTCCTTAAATCGGATTTAAATACAAATATTGAATAAAAATATCAATTATCATGTTTTGTTATTGTACACTGCAGTTTTTGTAAGCATGTCCAGTAGCCACTCTCCCCCGGGAGGCTATTGTACCATTTTGAAATTAAAAGAAGTTATAAACATTTACAATATTTTATGAAATAGGGATAAAAAAGCAAGAAGAAGGTCTCTCATAAAAGTCTTTTAAATCATAAATGTTGGGTTCTTGTCTGGTAGATCGCTGTCGCGGTTAACCCCAATTTGTACATATTTGTGGTAAGTGTAAGTCCTGGTCGAAGCGTGTGTTATGAGCGTGTATGGATTGATTTTTGGTGAAATGGAAAATACAGTCTATAAGGTTATGTAGACATTGCAGACAGCAGTGCAGAAATATGAATTCAAGAAAAAACATTGGGTCATGGGAGCTGCGAGTGTGACTAAATAATAATTTCACTGAACTTGATTATGGTATTTTAACAGAGGTTGAGATACTAGGGAATAACCTAGTCTTGCAAAAAGACCATCCCCCACCCAAGTCAAAATTGCTTGCAAAAGAAGATAATGCGTCAGTTGATATTCCTGTGACAGCTAAACAGCATTTTCTTCGACTAAGAAATCAAGTTCTTTGACTAAGAGCTAAGAGCATATTCCGTAAATCCAGATTTTTCAACAGCCGTTACAGGTAACTTGTCCTATCCTAAAACCTTTCACGCCCAGTAAAAATGGCATATAATTCAGTCGGTGAACAGAGAGAGGATCCTAGTGTAATTATTGCAGAGCTTGGGTAGCAGGAAAGTCATTTGTCTGGTCCAATATGGTCCGTGCCGCATAATTTTGGAGAGTCTGTAATTTTTAACAAAAACACGTTAGTAACCTTCTTTTTAATCACAGAAAGATATCTTACTGCCCTTGTCACATGCTGAGGTATTTACCATAATGCCTTGCGTCCTTGTTTTCCTAGCCAATCATATTCAACATTGCTTTGCAGGCTAACAGCTGTAATGAATATCTTGGCGTTACTGGGGCTTTTGGCCTCATTCTTATTTTCTGTGACTGAGGCTGCAGGCAAGGGTCCGCAGTATCCCTTTATCACTCATGTCCTGGACGTATCCAGAGGAAAGCCAGGCAGTGGGATGAAAGTACAATTCTTCAGGAAAGAGGCTGGTGGATGGAGGCTGTTTCAAGATACCCTCACTAGCTTTGATGGGAGAATCGGAAATCTAATTCCAAAGGAAAAATTTCTTTCTGGTATGAGTCCTAATCTTCACGTCTCCTTGTGTGCAGCGGGCAAATGGTGTTGACCCCCCCCCCCCGAAATGAGTCAATACTTTATACAAGGAGACTTTCGCTCCAGAGACAACTCGTTAGCTCACCCTCTAAAATGCCCCCTTAGTCAGCCCCCTTGAATGATATTTTCGTCAACCATCCTAGTCCACCCCCTTAGACATGACCCTTCGACCAACCTGCTAGATCGCCCTCTTATAAGACACCACCTCTTGGTGTTCCTCTAGTTTGATTCCTCAGACAGCTACCTAAAATAAACCTCTTTGTCGACCCCATTAGCTATAACCTTCAAGAAAATCATCGTTGATAAGCCTTCCTAGCTGGCGTCTAAGCTAACCCCCTTTGGTGAACCCTATAAGATAACCCCTTTCAACGACGACATTTGATAATCCCACTAGATGACCCAATCCCCCAGGGGGCATCCTCAAACTCCACTTACCCCAATTTTCTAGGGCGACATTACTCAGTGAATCATTCAAGGCCCTTCCTTTAGACAATCTTGCTAGGCTATAAAGCTTTTGAATCTTCAATCATTCAAGTAAAGCTTTCTAGGTGCAGACATACATCATGGCCTCCTCTTCACTTCGCTATTACCGTGGAGCAATAGGCTGAAACTACTTGCATAAAGTTTAAACTACATTTTATTGTCTCAAGCCACACGCGACGACAATTTTTGCCATCAGAGTAATAATACAATTCTGTATTTTCACAGGCACATACAAATTGGTGTACCACCTTGGGAAATATTTTGAGAAAGAAGGAAAAAAAGATTACTTCCATCCACAAGCTGAAGTGATAGTCAACATCAAGGACCCTAAAAAGCTTTATCAGGTCACCATGATCGTAACACCGTTTTCATATGTTGTCTCAAGTGTTCATAGGATTGTCGAGTCATAACCAAATGTGAAAGATTGAAAAATCTGCAGCTTTAACGATATGTGTTGTATACTCACTTTTTTATGAAATACAAAGTTTAATTTCAGTACTCTGGTTTCTTACGAATTTGGGAAATTTGGGAATTTGGGAAACTGAAATGCTTGTTGTCTCCAGAAACTTGTTGAGGATGGTTCTTATAGCTGGAAACTTTGAGATTTATCTTTCCAGGATCACCGTTAGGTTTTGGAGGCCCTGGAGGCACAACCGACTACGCCCTTTGGATTAGCTTAACTTCATTTAAACATTTTTAGGCATAATTTTGTAATTTTAGCAAATTCCATTTGCCCCCCTTCCGGTGGTACTGCACCAATGATTGATTTCCAATGCTCGTGATATTTCTATAAACTAAGCTCCCCGCCAAAAATAACGGAGATGCAAACAATAAATGCACATCCAAACTTTTCCTTCCCAAAGCTTGATTGAGTCCTTCGCAATGCGTCACGCGTGGACGATCGTTTCAAAATGCTGACATCAACGGATACGGTTTTTGTCACTGATTTGCGGACTCTACTGGGAGAGAAACCCTGAATTTTCCATTCAACAAAATTCATCCCCGGGAAAACCAGTCGAGTCTGCATGCAGGCCAACATAGTCATGGAGAGATGGTTAAGATGCAACATGTGCATGTTTTAAAATTCAGTACGTTTTGGTTCGGAGAACCTCTAAAATGTTTGGGGGCAGCCTCTTTGCACCCCCTTGGCGTGAAAACAATAGAAACATAGCGTGCTTAAGTAGTTCTCGTCACACTCTCTTCTCTTCAGAGTATGAGGGCCTATGAGTGTCGGGTACTTGCCAAAGGTATGGTCACAAAATTACTATTCTGTGGTATGTTGAAATTTATATTCAGGTGTGGGTGTATCGAGTAAGAAATAAAGTCGCGTGAAAGTTCATTAAAACGGTATAAAAATCCAGCCCCAAAAGTTTGTTAGGGTAATTGCCATGTCCTCCAAATTTATTGCTAAGATTTCGATATAACTCCCTTCTTACAGCAAAATTCCCGGTTGAAAAAGTAAGTTCTGTTTCAAAAACCGAAAAAACTGAAGTCTTTTGAATTAGCTTCGCTTTGATGTTTTAACAACGAGGCTACCATGCGCGGGAAAACACCAATGTTTTCTTGTACCGCCAAATCGCATAGCATATCATAGCCCATGTAGTTTCGAGTTTGCCCGACAATATATTTCATAGAGTTGCATTTGATCGTCATGGTTAGGACGAGAGCTGACAATTCTGTACGAAAAGGTAATTATTTTCCACTATTTCTTTTTAATTCGAGCTAGGCCTAGGTATGCATCTACAAAGTCTTTGAGAAGTGGCCTAACATCTTTTGCAATCTGGAATGTTTGTTTGCACGCCTCAGATTCTTTCCAAATTACGATTAAATTTTATGATTAAATATAGATTTATGATTTTAAAATGAAATAACTGAACTGTATAGATTCTCCGCACAAATTTGTCAATAGTCTATTGTATCGGGGTTACCCTCTTTTGAAAATTGGTTTCGATCTTGTTTTATCTTTTTAGTGAACAATGGGCTATTCCATTTTTGATCCATACAGGGGGATGGAAGTAAGATTTCTGTTATTCTTATATCCCCCGGAAAGTGAATTTGAAGATCATGACCACTCTTATTTTGATTCTTTCAACCCCCCAGAAAATTCATGACATTCTTTTTAATGAACTTTCTTAACACATTTGAGAAAACATCGTACATTTTTTAATACTCCTTGGAAAACTTCATATATGTTTTTCTTTCAATCCCCTGGAAAAAGCATACATTTGTCTGATACCCCCTGGAATATCCTTCGTGCCAGATCCCCTGGAATTTTACTTCCATCCCCATGTACAGATATCAAATGGAATAGCCCAATTTTGGCCTATATGTTTTATCTTTGTAGTGGAGGTTGTTGTATTTCAAAAGTTATTTCATTGAGAATCAGACATGATATTTCACCAGTGGAAATTGTGAAGGATAGAGAAAAGAAGGTTTTGTTAAGAGAAGACATCAAAGAGCTATCCTTTCCTATGTCTTCTTGCTCAGAAACCTATCCTGCAACCATCCATGTAAAACTCACACCGGAAATACATCTGACAATAAACGCTTGAAATGCAGTGGATATCCCCACAACCCAAAATTTCTGCCCCTGTGGTTGTAAGTTTTTCTGTCCTTAAATGCTTGGTGCAATGTAAACAGAGCTGTTCATGCTTTTAAGAACTGGTTGGTGTTTGGTTGCTAAGCAGAGTGTCATTCTTAATGCCCTCGTCAGGTATTAAGATGAGGAGATAACTTATTGCTATCAGAACAAAGTATTCAAGCCCAGGCCTGGTAATTCGGGGAGTGTCACAGCTCTTGCTTCCCTCTAGGCTCTCCTCAAATGCTGAATAGAGCTTGGCAAGAATTTTAGTAGGTGACACTTTGGACTCTGCACATTGAATATTTCAATAGATGGTTTTAGGTAAGTCATTAAATAGCCTCATAGGGGCTTATTTTGCAGAAAACGTTTTAGGGTAGGGGGCTTACTTGAGGGTGGGGGGCTTATTTGAAAGTTGAGGCTTATTAAGCAGCAGCTAACAATATTACACAGGTATATTTTCTTCCTCTGTTTGAGGCTTGTCAGTATGCTTCAAAATGCAGGTATGAATGCAGGTATGATGGGATAAACCCAAATATTGCTAACGGGTCCTTCGAATTAGCCCATGGCAGGCTCAAATAGCCCCCCAATGTTTTGCTTTTAATGGTAAAATTATGTTTTTATCCCAAGCTGTTGGTGCAAAGGCACCTAGAAAGTTGGCAGCCAGTTCTGGTGGTGCCAGTTCAAGCTCAACACCTTCAAAGAAAAGTGGTTACACATCTAGTGGAGGTGGCAATCCAGTGAGGCTATGTGACATACCTGCTTGGCAAAAGGGTTTGTAGTACTTTATTTATAAATAAAATCAAATTCTGAAAAACACATTATTTCATCAATTTAAATAGTAGAAAAGTGTCAAAATTATGCTTGTCACATTCACAAATCTACATCTCACAGAATCTACAAACAAAGTTAAGATTACATAAACCAACGGTTGAATCACAGAACCCAGGGGCTATAGGAGGCCTTAGTGCCACAAAGAGCCTGACTCTGTTCATTTCAAGTTCTTTGTTGTCTACACAGGACCCAAGATCTCGTCAGTCTACCCTTGAAAAACCCTATAATCTTCAGCCATTCAATCTTGTGATTTGTTAGTCATTATTTAAGCCATGATAAAATGTTATCCTGATGTAAAGAATTTTTAAGAAAATATATAATTTATTTGTATATATATTTGTTATGTAACTTGACACATAACATGACTTTTTTATATGTAAAGTTTTTTTCTTAAGGTATTGGAGAATTCTATCCTAAGTTAAACAAAAAAGGCAAAGATGAAGGAACTGCAACAGTAACTTCAGAAAGCAGTATGGGGTCCTCGTCAGAAAAAGAGCCATTGACCCAATCTTGTAGTAGTTCGGCTGATAATGACATTGAAATGCCAACCAGCAGCGCAGGTTCCTCAGCTAACATAGATGAGGTGAACCAAAATGAAGTTGAAACAGATTGCAAATCGACCGATCTTAAAGACAAAGAGAATGTCCCAGCAGTTCCTTGTGGCTCAAATAGTGATATGGAAGAAGCAGGTCCATCTGGAAGTATGCAGAGCCAGGAGGCGGGCTCTTCCGGCTCCACAATTGGCACTGTAACAGATTGCGAGTCAACCAACCATGAAGTTGAAGAAAATATCCCAGCAGTTCCTTGTGGCTCAAATAGTGCTATGGAAGAAGCAGGTCGATCTGAAATTATGCAAGTCCAAGCAGCAAGCTTTAGTGATCCGAAACCGGGTTCTTCCAGCTCTACAATTGATGACACTGAAGCCCCTTGTTGCTCAACTTCTAACAAATAGTTCTGAAAACGTTTTATTGTTTATAACATTGTGGACACTCTTCTATCTCTGGACTTGGAGAAAAGATGTTTCAACTCTCTAGGCAAATAGCAAGTCTTCCTCTACTTCATTAATTTGTACATAAGGGGGGGGGGGGGTTCATTCGTGTTGGCTTGTTTTATAACAAGAATTAATGGAGATAAAGGTGAAGTTGCTAGTTTCTTTCTTAACATACTAACCAAGGGCAGGACCAGGGGCTTTCAAGTCCTGGAGGACACCTTGGGGCAAGGGGACAGTCAGCCCCCTAATATTTTGACGAATAATGGTCTTTTTTCTCAAACAATGGGAAAATGACATCATCTTATCAACGTTATAGGCTTGCTCCCCCCAAAGTGTCCACCCCCTGCTTCCAAGAATAGTAAGAACCTGTTTCTGATAAACAAACCCTTTTGTCCTATTATTCTCAACCAATTTTATCTCTTCAATGACTTAGTCTTCCCAATAGTAAATGTTCCTTTTTACCTTGTTTAACAAAAGCATTTTGTGCAAATAATCATATAATTGGCAGCCAGTCATGTTTGTACTAGTTCCAGCCCCCATATTGCCTACTGTATTAGTCAGGAAAAAACTGCAACTCCAGTCCCGGTGGCTTTCTTATGTTTAAAAGAAAATGGAATATTGTCACACTTCTTCTAGAAACAAAGACTTGAACCCCCAGTCAACTCTCTCCAGCCAATACCCTCTTATACAACATCCGTTAAAACAACAATGGCAATTACAAAATCTAAAAATAGGCAACCAATCACAGTGAAACTTTTGTTGCTGGAGTTTCCATTCAACAATGTCTTGGAAACTGCCTGATTCTTATGCAAATTGAAAGGAATTTAGCTTGTTTTTAGATCACCAGGATTTCTATCTGTTAATCCTCCTCAGCCTGAAGTATTTGTATAAATCAATATATTGTGTGCAATATATGATGTATTTTTACACTTTCCATATTGTGAAATGTTGCAGCAGTATCTGTCTTTGTCAGTCTTGAAGTATTTCTTGATAAAGATACAAGGTTTTAAATTATATTTTCTTTTCTTGAATCACATTCTTCATTAGAGATCCTACCAATTTGTTAAAAACTAAATTTATCCTAGCAATTGGATATTTAGAAGAAGAAAGTGGATAGAGATATGGTTGAAAGGGACTTTTGAAAATTTACTGTGCTTGCCCCCAACTGCCCCAGTTCTCCCCTCCCTCAAGGATACTGAATATAAGAGCAGCTCCATTGCCTGTTCACATTTCCTGGTAGCTAAATCAAATAGGTATAAATTGGAATGTTTGACAATGGATTTTTAGCATTAAGTCATCTAGTTTAAATTATTAGGGGTTGTAGCTCCAAAAGACAGTAATGGACATAAAAGAAATACACTTCTGGAAAACAATATCAAATTTAGCAAAGAACTATGGTAGTAATAGCTTAAGACCTTGATTATCCCCCACCTTGGAATTAGCTCTTCCCTCGGATAAGCCCCCATCCAAAATTAGCGTCCACCCTTGAATAAGCCCCTCCCTGGAATAAACTCGCATCCCAAAAAATCTTTTGCAAACTAAGCCCCTTGAGGGCTTGTTCAAGGACATACAACAGTACAAGGCATCTGAATAAGAAAAAGGGTATCATAGATCCAATGGGAAGTATTTTGAAACTATCTACTAAACTTTTGGTGGAAGCATGCCTTAATCGAAAAGAAATCTACTTTTTAGCTGAAGGCTTTGACCATAAATAAATACCTGGTTGAAATAATATACCAATTTCATTAACACAAAAACGTCTTAATGTTTTTATTCAGGGCAGGGTAGAGATTATAAAAAATTGACAGGAATCAAAAGAGTAGAGAAGGCAAATTATTTATCAAAGATAACATGACATATGGCTTTGTCCTCTCATTTCAAATCATTGAGCCTTTCAGATTACAGTAGGACTCAAATAATTATCACAATAAGCTTGAAAGCAGGCTTTGGGAATTGAGATATTTCTTTAAAAATGTTACCCATTCTTTAAAAGTTTTTAAAATGGCCTAAATTTCCTAGCAGCTCGCATCATTTCAATCTTTTTCTTGTCTTCCTCAAATTTCTTTCTGAGGACTGCTATGTGTTCTCTTTTTGATTCACGTTGCTGAAAGGTGTAAAAATTGACTAGTTCTTTCTTTTCTCTCTTCTTCTTTTCCTTTGTTGTTATTTTCTTAACTGGTGCACTTGGCTTTTTACCACCATATGATACAAAGGTCCATCCTGCATCATCAGTTTGGTTGGCAATTTTCTCCAGTTCTTGCTTTTCTTTCTCCGTTTTTGCATCAAATGCAGCCATATATTTGTCAACCTTTTTCTGCACATCATCAGGGTTCGGATACTGTTTTTTATATTCCAAGCACCATTTTTCTATTCCGGTTTTAACTGGGTTTGAGTCTGTTGATATCAGAAGTGTCTCATTGAAATCGTTTTTCATTATTTTGTCAATGGAAGCTGATTTTATAAACACCACAAAAGCAACCTAAAATGACAGTAGGTATGTGAGTTATTATCAAAAAATTTAATATTGCAGAATTTATCCATATCTTTGGGAGAGAATTATGGGAAAAGACCTTGATTTCTTTCCTTTATACCTCCATTTTCAACCAAGTTATCTCAGAGCCAAGATAATTTTTACAAAATGATATCTTCAGAGAAAACTAACTCTATAAGAATTCTTCGGAAAGCTTAAAGAAGAAACATTAACTTGAACTAAATTTCACAAATAGTCATACAAAAAAGTCTTATGTAGTTCCAATTAGTTCTGTGACCATGCATGGTGACAACAATAAATTTATCATACAAACTTTGTAGATTATTTAGGAGGTCATAAATACATACATCATAATTTAGTTGTTAATGCAGGTCAGAAATTCATTCAGCTAACGACCTGATGATGTGGGCCTGCACTCATTCCTTAATTGATGATGTCAAGTGCATAAAAGATATCGTTTTTCGCTACTGTTCTTAATCTTACCTTGAATTGATACTTTTCTTTATGAAAAATATTAGATTCTGATGACGGTTGTAACACTGGTCCCGGAGAATCGTGAATATAAACCGAGGAAATAGGCCCAAATCCTTGAAACGCGTTTTTCAGTCCCTTCTTGGTACAATATGGTGGAACATTGACGACAAAAAGAGTTTTCCCTGGCGGCGTAAGATCATTTTGCTTCTGGTGTGTGTGCTTTTTAATATATAGATAATGCGGCGAAGTGTGAGACGCGTCAAATGCGACTTTTGCGATTTTAAACCCTTGAAGCGTCGCCATTTTGCTGAATGAACGTGCGATCAAAACCTCACACTGAATACGAGATTTTGTTCTGGCTGTCGAAGTCAAAGTCTGGCTTTTTCTGTCGAATTCAAAATTAAAATTCATTTTTTCAACAAGTATATTTAAAGCTTAAAGTTATACAAATGTTAACTAACAATGATAAATTTTATTACAAAATCAAAAAATTCATTTAATGTTGCCGAGAACACTGGAACTAGCTTGCGCCCCAGTGCACAAATGCTGCAACATTCATGGACTGTGCAATATTGATGAATATTCTGTCCAGAAAGAGGGCTTGGTCTAGTTTATGAAAATAAATCTTGCAGCAGTTGCCCCTCCCTCAACGGCTTGAAGCAAGTCTGGCGCTCATTTCTGGAAATTGTGCGCCCCTTTTGAAGAATAAGAATCAGGTGAAAAAGTTTCTGAAAATGGATCTGAAATTGTTGTATACAGCATACTCTCGTCGCCAATTTTTGAAAAATTTTCAGCGCCCCCACTACCGACTGCCCCTCCTTCAAATTTGTTCTGGATCCGCCCTTGTCTTGCATGAACATCTTCTCGAAGAAATATGCACTGAAACCAAAGAGGATGAAGATAAGATGGTGCATGATGAGTCTTGCAAGATTTGAACCGTTGGCAATTTCAGCTGAGTGCATAATTTTGAAGGGTTGCATAAATTACAACCAAATCCTGGTGGAATCTGTGGACAGAGTATTTATTAATATTGCACAGTCTTAAAATGTTGCAGCATTTGTGGACTGGGGTACAGACTAACTGGAACAAACCCAGAGGTTTTCGAGCCCAGTGCCCATTTTATTGAATAATTTATATAGTGAACACCAAGGAACACGAAATTTTGTCTAAAATGTGGTATATGGTTGTAAGTGAATTATCAAGGCTACGAATTAAAATTTTCAAGAATTTGGATTTCAAATTGTTTTTTATTATTTAAGGGTAAGGATTCGTACGACAAGGAAGAAATCGATTTGCGAAGAGGAAGGATTGCTTTGAAGGTGAAACAAGAAGGTAAATTATTATTTATTTTATCCTTCATCAAACCTGGCTTATCAATCTTCAACTCAAGTCATTCACTTATATTTTAAAAATAAGAAAGCATCGATCATTGTACCATTCCTCTTTGTTATTTTGAAAAAAGATTGAGAAGTATGTGTTTATAGATAATCGTTAAAGAAATTTATCTGATGGTCGCTTTTCAATGACATGGAATATTTTAAAACATTCAAAATAAATTAAATTTTTCCGTTATTGATGCTAGAACATTCTTTTATAAACTAGAACATTGTAAATGCTTAGAATAGAAATTTGGCAATGCTTATTCTTGCTAACATTTTCTAAAACCATCTAGAACATTCTTAACGAACGATTTGAAATGTAAAAAGCCAGGGTTGAGATGTAGTAGAGAGTTTTAACAGGGACAGCGAAACGTATTTGACAGTGGAGGGGCCAAATATGAAAGTCTTGAAAGGGCATAGGTTAGGGCGCTACCATGGTTGGCGGCAGGAAAAATTGAAGAATTATTGTATAATTGCGTCTAGATTTTTTAGTTGGAATGGATTATCGATAAAACCAAACTTTGTAATTTTCTTGATGTTACTTTTATAGAATAAATCTGCCCATTCTTTCTTTCTTATGTCCTCAAAAAGTTTCTTTTCATCACTTTCTTTCCCTTCAACAGTGATTTTTCTCTTTTTGTAATGTTCCTGAAAAATTTGTTGTTAACAAATAGACCTTGTGAGCCAAGTTTAGGCAATATATAAAACGAAGCTCTGTCAATTTGTGCTGGCACCAACAGGGGTGGACTGGCTGGTCGGGCTATTCGGGCGATCGCCCGAAGGGCCGGTCGGTTTGAGGGCCGGCTGATAAAAGTGCAAAAAAAATAAACTAGCTTAAAAAGTGAATGCAAGGCAAAAAAGTATACCCACGCGTTGATCTATTTGCCTTGAATTTTCAGAGACTTTGTGGGAAAGAATAAATATACACGCGAGTACTCGAGAACCATTAAAATTACGAATTCATTATTGTCACCGCAGTCCAGACACACTTCTTCAGGAAACATGTTATTGTTATATTTTCTCTTGATGGTATTTTCTTATTGGCGACATACTATACTGTAACACCCCTGTTTCAATGCGATACATAGGATTTTAACCTGCCCTGATGTCTTTTTACTTATCTTTTGCTTAAAGCTGGTCATGTTTTTGCCTAAGCACAAGCTATTGCTTAATGTAATAAATTTGAAAGTCCAAAAATTAGAGTTCACTAAGCGATTTGCTCTGTGATTTGAAGCAATCAAAAAGACATACGTAGAACGAGGGAAGAGCAAGAAGACTTCAATCAAAGGTGATGCACAGAAATTTCGTGAGGATTCAGCTACGATACAAAGCTTTTTATCAAGCAAAAGCCATGGTATTGCCAAGCAAACATCACAAAAAAGCATGGTATTGCTCTTGCTTCTTTCAATAACTCATACAAGTTATGGAAAGTTTATTAGGCCTACACTATCATAAGTCAAATGCACCCCCTGCCCAACAGGGGTATGGTGCTACACGATAAAATTCCAACAGGGGTGCCCGTGTTTTCCTTTTTGGGGTCAAAAATTGACAAATTGATATTTTTGGGTTGCTGAAAATCATTGTGGTTTTCCGGAGGGTTAGAAAATTATTTGTCACAAGTGGAGTGTGAAAGAAGCTTTTCCACTTTAAATAAATAAAGAACAGGTTACGTAGTAATTTTTCGCAGCCACATCTGGAGTCTTTCATGTTAATGTTCTTAGAAAAACACCTGTTAGATGACATCCAGAACCGAGGGGCAAATCACTTCATTAAAATCTCGTACAACTTTTGGTGGAAATCCTATTGTTTTATGAGAAAATTCCTGGAAATCATTTTGATTTTGTGAAAATCTCGGACACTTTTTGCAAGAGTGAGCTACCCCTCGTCCAGAACGATCACATTATCAACATATAAGTTACTGTATTAAGAAAAAGAGTCAAACCAATGAGTGAGATGACCAGCATTATTTACTGTTTAGTCAGCAAATGACATATTTAACATGTTCTGTTAACCATATTCTGTTGACCAGCATTCATCCATGCACTAAATTACTAAATTCAAAAACTTGTTTTCCTTACAGACTAACATTCACTTGTATTTTCCGAGGAGTTTTTTATTTGCTATTATTGTGGGCCGGTTTGATCAAAATTTGCCCGGGCCAAAAAAATTAGCCAGTCCGCCCCTGGGCACCAAGTTATTCTGGATCAGGTTTCTCGATCTATTTCCTAGGCCAGCTGTTACTTGTTCTACAACTTAGACAATGATCGATTTCTTCGATCTAGTTCCTGTATTCAACTTTCCTCCAGAGATTAAATATACGAATTGAAATTTTCTCCAAAAATGTTTCTCCTTTAAACCAGTAACTACAATGCCTACCAAAAGTCTTGGAACACTGACGTCAGTTTCCAAGGTCAAAATCAATCATCCCCCTCTCCCCTACAGAACAGTTTTGGTTTACTATGAAACGGGTTATAATTTTAGAAAGCACTTTCTTTTGCGCTTCTTATATGATATTTCTCTAAATTATCAACATTGCTTTAAGGGGAAGGGGGCGAAAGTAGTAATTTTTTTTTCGGAAAAAAAATTAAAGATATCAAATGTAACGCAAATTGTTGGGTGTTCCAAGTACTTTTGGCAGGCATTGCACATGATTTCGTCATCAAAATAATTGTGCATGCTATGGAATGATTCTACTTGGGTTTGCTGGGGCGCAGATCTATCGAACATAAATTTGTTTAATACTCAGCAATTATTCAAAAGCTAAAAGATAATGCTTCTCCATATTAAAAAATCAAGTAGCATAAACACACCGAGTAAAATTGAATCCAAGCAAAATCCTCGAAATGTATTTTAGAGAGAAATGTTTAATATGGAGAAACGCAAAGAAATTTTGTGTTCTGCTCACAAGAAAGCTTCTTTCTTGTCTAAAGCAGAAGCAGCATTTGACAAATGAAGATGAAATACAAATAAAAGTTTTCAGATATCAAACTGCAGCTCTCATTAAAATTTCTGTGCTCTAAATTTGTAGAAAGAAAATACCTAAGGCTCAAATTGTGGAAGCAGAGCTCTGTGGTTGACTAGCAAGCAAAGGTAATTTAGTAAACCATTTGATTGAGTGGCGACTTCTTTCACCCTTCATTTCATTTTCATTTTGAATTATTTAAGCATGATAGCCCATTCAGCAATGCTCAAGAGGCCATGCATCTAAACTAAAAGAAAAAGTAACATAATATAAAATATAGTAAATAGTCAAAATAGATCTAAACGAGCATTGTGGAACACCGACCTCTCTCTGTGTATTAGAGTCAGCACCGTTAGTCCTACAAAATCCTTCCTTGGCCACATATCCCAGTTGAGTTAGGGTGGGGTAAGATACCTCTGTCTACGACGATAGGGGAGGGGGCATGCAAAACAGTAGGGCATATTTCAAAGTATTTTTTATGGGTGTTAATTTTTTTCGTGGCCCCCCTCCAATTTCCAACATGTGTCGGAGCCCATATAATACTTTATAACCTTATGTCTTATGATAACGGACTTAACGGGGGCTAATCCAGTTCTATCATCAGTAGTGAATGATTGATGAGTAAAGTCTTGAATTTTTATTGATGTTGAACTTCTTCTTTTTTCGACGCCTTCTACAACTTCCCAATGTCGAGGCCCGGATCATCTCCATATAAGGAGTAAATACATCACTGGACCTCGCTTCCATGCTCCACACCCAAGCGGAAACTATCCGCCATTTTGACATAAGCAAAATCGCCGTATAGGTTTTGTGGTCTGAAAATCTCACGAAATTCTTCTGCTTGTTTTGTAATCAGCCCATTCCTGGGGAGGATACTTGAAGACGACTAACTGAGGTTCGTTGGTGTTGTTTTAATTTCAATTTAATCGTAAGATATAGCTACAGATTATGGTGTTTCTGTTGTAGTAGTGTTAGGCCAGGAAATGTTTTTCATTCAAGGAACCTGCTTGGCATGTTGTTGTAACTAATGAAACTTTGTTAACATCCTTTGAAAGCGCAAGGGCGTGTACAAACAAAAGCTAATTAGGCTACTCGTCTCCACCAAACATTCCGTTACACTCGCTCGTTATTAAATTGTTAACATAATTATGTTACCGGCTCCTTTCTTTGTTTACAAAGAGTCTCGCATTTCGTTTCTAAACTGTTTGTTCCTTATCGGGAATTTATGCTTGCGAAGTTCCGCGGATGTTAAGTCTTTGGACATTTTGTTTCATTAAGATTGATTATGGCGTCTAAGTCAGGACAGCAGCTGGCCAATGTTTTGTTTAACGAGATAAGATCAATTATAACACAAGTTTAATTTTTGATGAGACCTCTCATCAAATGGCCGATAGTAAAGTTACTATGCAAAAGCGATTGATTGATTGAAATTTCAGATTGTAAGCCTTTGTATTTTTGCACAAGAATTACTGCAAAAAACTAACATGCTACTTTAAAAGGGGACCAAAAGCTTAAGTCAAAAACAATACTTAAGGGAAAATATTACTGCTTTGTTAGGTCTTGCCCTAACATAAAATTGTATACTTCTGCTTAGCTTATAATCAGAAATAATATATAATGTTGGATTTTAAATTTATGAATTTTATGATAATGCTGTATTTGTCATCAGTAGAATCAGATTGTTTATAAAATCATCACAGATGTAAAATTGTACAAACACCAATTTTACATCCTGAGAATATAATAGGGGATCCATTGTTTTTCATGAAAGGATAGACCATTCCATTGGTCATGCTAAGGTGGTTTAAAAATGAAATAGCTGGAATATTTCATCATTTCTTACCTGCATCTCCTTTTCCTTAAGAGTTGCATCACATGCAATACTCCTAGTTGGAGAACCATTACAATTTCAGTTCAGGGTTTGACCAAGACAGAATCTTTCAAATGATTATATAAGGCTGTTTTTGACTACTAAATGTTCTTCCCAGTTCTTATTTAAAATGTAATATTTTGAGGTGGGGGCTTCTTTGAAGGGTTTATTCAAAGGTGAAGGTTTATTCGAAGAATTATGTATACCAGCTGTATGCCAGTGTTTTACATAATCTACACACATGAACAAAATGTTTGTGCTTTCTAATTTGGCTTGATGATGGTTATGGCCAACAGAGCAAAATATTTGGTCATTTCTTTTTTGTATTTCTGTTCTGCCTGTCACTCTCTATTTGTTGCATCACTATGCACCATTTTGCCTCGTTCTTGCTTACCGTTACAATGTCTTAAATACCTCTTAATAAAGCTTTTGTCTTTGCTTAATAAAGCTTGTAAGATTTTGTCTTTATCACAAACAAAGATTTTCATTGATGCAGAGTTAAGCTTTGTGCTACATTTTTTACATTTGAATCATATTCCGTTTCTGAAACTCTTAAGATCTAACTTTACAATCTATGTTATAAGTATTTTTGTTGTACCTTGATTTAGTAATATATCAGAAATTGTTTTGAGCTTCAATTTATTGTTTGATAATTACTGATCTTTGTAAAAAGACAACCTGGTCTCAATTAGCAGATTCAATATTTTATAAAGAAAAAATAGAGACACTTAACACTGCATGAATTTTAGAATTAACCAAGCCACTGACATAGCTCAATTTTTACTAAAAACCACAAAGTTATTGGCCCACCTTAGGCTAGAAACTAACCTGAGCCAGATAACGTTACATTGGTTTTGTGGTTGACTGGTTCTGTGTTTGTTTTTAACCAATAACTCAATTCCTCATTGATCAAAGTTTAGATTATGAAATAAGACAAAGATATTTTTTAAATAACTTGCCACACGATAGCAGTGGCAGGCACCTGGGGACAAGGAGGGCATTCACATCCCCCAATAGTTTGAAAGACAATGGTCTTTTGTTCTAAAACAATGGGGGAAATGTGACATCATCTTTTTGAAATAAAAGCCTTGCCCCCCCCCAAATATTTGACCAAGTGTCCGCCCCTGCACAGCAGTCATCTTTACTGCAACCATTCTAAGATGCATTGTCTTTTCATGTTATTGTCTTGACATAGATAACGGGACATATTTGTCTAAATAACTTTGATTTTTATGAATCTTTTAGGAGACAACAATTGCTCCTTTTTGCATATTTCTGGTTAATGGCTCCATTTAAAAAACTTAAGTATGTTTAAAAGATGGAAATTTGATCTTTGAGCAAGTTATAGAACAGATTTATTTTTATATGTTCTGCAAACAATTATTTGTAGCCATTTTCGATCTGTAGTCTGCAACCCTAACAAACTCTTTTTAATCAAATCATTGTAATTTGGTCTTTAGTTCTACAGTCTGAACTAGGCAAAATAAAAGTACACACTTTTTTTATATAAGGAACCACTTTATAACGAACCTAGATGTAGAAGACCGAAATATTTAAAGAACTTATACTACTAAAAATAAAATCCCTAAGGAACTTTTCGATTTGAAACATTTTTAATAACTGCAAGCATCAAGAACTAAAAAGCTGGTTCCATTCATTTGCAGCTAGTACTCGCATAGATTGTTTGCTATTCGTGTGTCAAGTGCTTCATTGAGTAGTTTCCACATATGCTGTCTCGCCCCTCTCTCTATTAAGTGTAAAGGCTTATTTGGTCAAAACAAATTAAGGAACTTTAATTAAGGAAATTTTGGTGCTACAATTTGATGATTTGAGGTCTACGAATAAGGAACTTGTGGAACTAGGCCTTAAGGTAGGTTCCTCATAAGCGTGTAAACCTGTAAAACACGTAAAAAAGCGTGGAAACACATAAGTAAAGCCGTTCTCTCTATCTTACTTTGTTTCATGCAATTTGCAACAGATTTAACTTATTCTGATTTTAAAAATGTTTCGTGGTGTTCTTTTAGGTTATGTTGTCAGAAATAAAAAATTCTGAAAAATTATATTTATGACGTCATACTTTGAACTTTGTAGAAAAAGAGACCTCTGAACTCATGAATAATATATGATTTGAATAATGCAATACTACAAGGAAGATCTTTATTTGAAGCATCGCTTTTGTTTTCGTTATGGCATCAGGACATTCAATATTCAAGTACTTAGCTTCTTTCTAAAACGATTAAAACAAGGCAGGCTTAAAACTTTGTTTAGAGAATGGTTTTTTAGGCGCCTTTGTTTTTATTTAATTGAATTGAATACTGTAAATTGGGTTGAGTTGAATTAATCTTAGTTATCCTGTTATCGTGTGTCTTCTGAAGAAAGATGTTTTGAAAGCGCAGGTTATAACTCACTAACTGAAGTGCATATTGTGAACTATGAGTTTTAATTTGATGGATAAGAACGCTGAGTATCTCAAAGGTTGAATTGTGGTCAAACGAATGAATAAAGGACATTTGTTCTTAACGGTCTTTAATGTCATGACCTTCGGGAAGGAAGTGGAATTCATTCCGTAAACGAAAATGGCAGTGTAGAGCGCGAAGACCGAGATACAGCTTTTTGTTTGGGGGGAGGGGGGTGGCAGCCCTGATAAATAAGTGTAAAACAGCCATATATTACAAAATAACAGTACTTTGCTGATACTACTTCAGTTTGGGGGGGGGGGTAAGCAAGGCCCCCTGCCCCCTGGCCCCCCTGCTCCCCCCGGACTGCAGTGCCGTGGGAACGAAATTCATATTGTTGGGAGCTGCCCTTTGTCATCATCATCATAATCATCATCATCATCATCATCATCCTCACATTCGTCTCCCATTTCTAGCATGTTGCCAGGTCGGGGGCTAGATCACTTTCTTCCATCGTTCTCTGTTCAGTGCATCCTCTTATTCCAAGTACTTCCATGTCCTTCTTTATGTTGTCCATCCGTTTTCTTACTGGTCTTACTTTAAAGACAACAGGATTTTTGAAGATAATTAATAGAGAGAGCGGGAAAATACTTTGTATCGGTCTTACTTTGTATTCCATCTAATTCAATACACTGTCATGATTGAAAAATACTACAGTTTGACAATTATTGGGGGCTCCAGCCCCTCAGCTCTCCCCGTTCCCGACGGCCCTCAACTGTGACAACCTTTCTACGTTAGGGACCCAGGAGATTCTAGCAGTGGGTGTCTGGAGCTCTTGGAGCCATACACACTTTTTTTTATAAGAATATAGTCTATAAGAGTATTAACGCTCAAAATTGCTGAAATTTTAGAATAGTTCAAGATAATGCCACGCTCAAGCTTTATCAAAAATTATTTGTTTGTTTATTTGAATTTTTGGAAATATAAAAAAGGGTTTATTTATGGAGAGATTTTGCAATGAGATTTTGAAAAAAGTCATGGTTCTCCAGCTGTTGGTTATTTATAAGTTTTGGTGAGAATTCACGGATGAACCTTTTGTATTTGATGTGCCATGGTTCTCGAGCAGTATGTGTTTTGAACTCTTATGGTAGAAGTGTTGAGTTGGAGCTGGTGGTATTTTGTTGAAAGGAGTCATTCTCCTCAGGTAGGGTTTGCTTGTGAATGTTGTTTGCATTAATTCACTATCTTGTTTGCAGCTACAAAATGCTAGTTTTTTCTAAAACTCTTAAACATTCTCACGCGAGCTAATCATGGAAACGAAAAAGCCGTTAAAGAAACTACTATTTTAGGACACTTTTGTATGAAAATCAGGCTACTGTTTGAAGCCTTTTGTGTTTACAATTTCGCAACTACCGATGACAATTTACGTCACTTTACATGAGTATCAATTCAAAACACAACCTTCGTAATAAATTATACCAATATCCCACCGTCTGATTGCAGAATTTGAGTTACGCTGTTAGACAGATTTTTCTACAATAAAAGTTTCGTTGCTAATAACGAAGTTATCACTTGCCATAATTCCATTGCCCGATAATTTTGATTTTCCAAAATTCTTGTCTCAAAAAATTTGATTTTACTCATTCAATTTTATCATATTACGTCATCAAGCAAATTTCCTTCGGTGAAACACCTGCAGCTTTTATTTCACGAACAGACACGCGACTGCACAAGTCCAGGCTTGCGTAAATTTGAAGGCCTGATTTGAAGTGCATGTTTTGATAAAATATGTTTTATCTTCTTTATGATAAAGGTGGACAGCTTTGCATAGGTCGTTTAGGGACCTTCAATGGCTGTTCTTCTACAAACCTTATTTTACTTTCAACCTACTTGATTTTGTTAAAATGAGTTAACAATGTCGTTTAAGGGTTGTTTGTGTCTGAGTTTGCAGAGACAGGATTTGCCTTGGGGGTAAAACGGGTATGGGTTAAGGCAAGGACGGGAGCTTTTTTATTCGGGGGCCATACTCACAACGTTTCTTACCATGGAGGAGCGGGGGACCAGGAAGAGATACAATTTTTTATTTTTTGACTTTTCATTTCTGAAAGCCAAGGGCCACTAAAAATTTACTGACAGGCCGGATTCGGCCCGCGGGCCGTAGGGTGCCCATCCCTGGGTCAAGGGATCATTGAGGAAGAAACAGATGTGAGTTTAGTGCCACGACCAGGCATTCTCGTGTCCACTAACGCTTTGAACTGTGTAGATATAAGACTTTTGTATTATTGGTAAAGCTAGTAGATAATTGATATTGATAGGAAAAACTGATTTTCGAATGTAAAACGAAACGATATTCCAACGTAGTTTCTAATACTAAGTAACAAATGAATGATAAATGGATACCGTACAAGATACGATTTTCTGCGTCTTTCCCGCGGGTTTGTACGTGCAACTAAAGAGCAGATGTTGGTTATTATAATTAAGTTGATGTTATGAACACTCCATAATTCCATTTGATTCCAACCAATTCCAACCAATTTTAAATGTCGTTTGGACCGGAACAATTGAATTCCTGATGTCGTTTGGACTGGACAAAAGGAACATCTCAAAATGTGTCATGATAAATTATGAAACTTATTAACGCACTGTAATTCCATTATTGGTCCAAAAATGGCCTATTAGTTTCAAATGTCGTTTGGATTGGACAAAAGGAACATCGCAAAATGTTTCATAGTGACACATAAAACATATAAACAAACAAACATATAATTAGGAACTATTATTACCAATCTTTAACAAATGAAATACGAATTTAAAGACTTTTAAGACTGATAAACTTCCGTATACAGTAATTTTAGTTAAGTTTTGTTTGAGAGATGCAAACGTGAATGATGTACATTCTTTTTTTAGTCTTCACGGACCAAAGCACGCCATGGCTCCTTTGGCCTTAAAAATCAACTTTATTAAGTTGAACACGGTCAAAACATTTCAGGTAAGTCACCTTTATTGAAACTTGTCAAAATAGTCAAACATTTTACAAACTTATGTTTGACAATGTTTCAAAGGTAATGCTTAATCGTTATTTGTCTTGAAACGTCATCAGACATTTGTTTCACAATGTTTAAGAATAAATTTTGCCTCGTTATGTTTCTTGAAACATCGTCAAACGTTTGTTTCAATATGTTTAATAAACAAAAGGCGACAGCGCTATGTGCCAGAAATGTCATCAAACATTTGTTTCACAAGGTTTAAAGACTCATTGCTAACAATGAGCCATTGGGCTACGCAAGCATCCCATAATGCATTTTTAGACAGTCACGCTCGCAAAGGCCCATTGTTAGCAATGAGTCTTTAAGAACAAGTAATGCCACGTCATGTATCTTGAAACGTAATCAAACATTTGTTTCATAATGTTTCAGAACAAAGGCTGCCTCAATATGTTTCTAGAAATGTCATCAAAAATTTGGTTTCACAATGTTTCAGAACAAAAGGCTTCATCATTATGTTTCTAGAAAGGTCATCAAACATTTGTTTCACAATGTTTCAGAACAAGAGGCTTCATCATTATGTGTCTGTAAAGGTCATCAAACATTTGTTTCACAATGTTTGAGAACGAAAGCTTCATAGCCTTATATCTTGAAAGATAATCAAATATGTTTAACTGTTGTCTTGTTTTGAGCTCTAAGCTTTATTTGGCGATATAAAAATAGTAGGATGAGATCCAATTTGTCTCTGCTGAAGAATATTGAAAAAACCAATGTTTTATTTTATTTATTTATTGTAACGTTTTTGCTGTTTCTTGTAAACGTAACATTCTGTAGTGCTCTAAACTCATTCTCCTTCGTTTTCTTTTAGTTTGAGCCACATCAAACTGTTGCTGAAGCTATAAAACTGATTGTAGCCAAGGTCCCAGACGCTGTACCGCAGAAAAGTAAGTCATAACGTTTCTTTGTTTAAGAGCTGCTCCCAATCGGATGTTGTTCAGCTAAACATATTGTCTGTTTCAATCATGATATACGGAACAGCATCTATAAATTCAAACACATGCAAAATTATCAAAGAAAGACCTTCAACTTTCGCCCCAGGTTTATATCGCCGATAGTTCCAAGCAAATCTTTGTTAGGCGCCATTTTATTTCTTTGTTGCGGAAATATTGTCCAAACAGACACTTTTTACAAATTCTACATCCATTTCAGATCATGTGAGCCAGCACTAACACAGCAAATAATACGTTATCAAATATATCGGTTTTGAAAGCTATTTCAGAAGACTGTATTCAAAAGTTTCCGTATTCAAAAGTTCCAATTTTCAAATGTTTTTGTTTCGAAAACTTGATATTTTGAAAAGTTTTCCTTCAAAAGTTTTCGTTTTCAAATTTCACCTTTCTCCATTATCTCTATTTTCTAACGTTCTGTTCTGGACCCCAAACAGAAACGTTAGAGCCTAATTTCAATCTTCCATTTAGGCCCTTTGCAGTACAGAAACTGCATTATGGGATACTGCCGTACGAACATGCTTATGCATAACTTTCATGTATTTAAAGGCATGGCCTGACGAATTTCGCTGGCTATTTAAATTTGCCATTGGTTGGACTACACAATAGACCTATTGTTACGTATCCATTGGCAACGTAGGTCCAATTCTTAATGCTTTCTCGATCTTAAATGCGTGGAAAAGCCTAATGTTTACTCTGAACTTAAAAGGAACGGGACAAAGTGCCTTTAAGTTTAGGACTATAGTAGTCAAATTTACCATAACAGTCGAATAATCTATTTTAAAAGTCTGGTTATTCAAAAGTTTCTGATTTCAGAAGTTCCCGTATTCAAAAGTTCCCGTATTCAAAAGTTCCTATATTCAAAATTCCCGTTTTCAAAAGTTCCCGTATTCAAAAGTTCCCGTATTCAAACGTTCCCATACTCAAAAGTTCTCGTATTCAAAAGTCCCCGTATTGAAAAGTTCTCGTGTTCAAAATGTCTGTATCATATGTTTTCTCTGACTTAAGAAGTCGAATTGACCATATCATGGCCTGCGTGCAGACTCGGAAATTTAAGAGAGGAGAGAAAGTAGACTCGTCTACTTTTTCTCCTATTTTCAATTTTGTCAACAGAGTCTGCACGCAGGCTACCATATCATGGCTAGCGCTCAAACGTCGAGACATCCTGATTGCTCTTTTCAGTTGGATTATGTATTCTAATCAGGATTAAGCTAAATCATAACTAGGGTGTGTTCCCGTTATGGTAGCATCTGGCGATTAATCCAACCATAATCCAATCTTACTGTATGGAATTATTGATCTGTCATCAATGCAAGGATCAATAACATATTTGAAGGATTATGCGGATTACAGCCAATTATTGTGAATCCATCCCAGTCCATCCAAGGATTAATGAGATTGATCCACAAAAAGATTTAATATAAAGAGGTATTTCAGTGGTTAGAAATTCGCCTACTTATAGAAAAAGAGAAAATTCGCCTACTATTAGCCCCTTAGTTTTATCTATGACCATGACAACAAACCAAAACTCAGATTTTGGGATAGTTGGAGGGTCATGGTAGCCAACCTTCTGATAGAAGATGGTACCTGATGATGATAGAAAAAGATGAACAATTCTTCTCAGTTTTAAGATTTCAAGTTGTTTAGCTAAAAAATGAACCCGGTATAGGGTAAATGGGGCTATAGGGGCTAGGGGTTAACGTGGGGGGGGGGAGGTTACACATTTTTGATATATTTCTTAAAATGACATCACTCACAAAGATTCCTCGTTTTTCAAAAGGAATATTTCAAGGGAAGTGCCACACCTTTGACGTCCCTCATAACATGGCCCTGAGCATAAGACTATAATTTTAGACAAGTCAAGTCCCTAGACACGTGCCTGGTAGCATGCAGGTATATTCCAACCACTACCCCCTGCCCCTATTTACAGTTGGAATGTTTTTAAGTAGCAGATATATAAACATTGCATTAAGGCAGGGGGTTATAAAATCTCAACACCGTCTGTCCAGGATTGTCGCCTAATCATTTTGCTAAATCATTTAATTGCATTTGAATGCTTCACACGCGAGTTTTTTCTTTTGCAGATGAAGACTGCGGCCTATTCTTCTCCGATGAAGACCCAAAAAAATGCCAGTGGTTCGAAGAAGAAAGGCCACTCGCCTTTTACAGTCTCAAAAGTGGTGTAAGTGAAATTCCCGTTAGGATATTTTTACTTGGCCTGTATCATAAATATGTTTCTGTCTGATACCAACACAACCGAAAATTAATCTGATTGGTTGAAATATATCAATCAATCAAGAAATGCTGAGTAAAAGGGAATCTCATTGGTCACAACTGACCTGTCAATCAAGTCCCAGTAAATTGTCCAATCAGATTTTTATCCCCACTGCTCTTCAAAGATCATATATGTTGGAGACTCGTTGCACTTCCAATCCCATCCTGCAATTGCAAGGGACTTTGAGTGAGGTTGAAAGGGGGGGGCATATCCAAATCCACAATTTAAGAAGGAAGGTTGGGAGTTGGGGTGGGGGTTACGGTCCTTACTGAATTGTCAAAAGTGATCGCAGGAAAATGTTAATTTTCGAAGTTTAAGTCGAATATTTTCGCCGATATAACGCGGGAGTTTGGAATCGGGTTTTGGTGATGGAGGGGTAGGGTGGGGGGTTGGTGTTTAGCGTTTTAGGAAGACTTGAACAGTTCAAAAGAACGCCGCATTGGCATTATCTGTGTATATGGAACAATATGCGTGGTCTCTTTGAGAGGACGGACCTTTTGATAAGCATAGCTCGCGATGTTCTCAAATATACGTTCGGATAGCAGGTTGGACCATTTGAATTAGGTTGCTTGAAGTTTATGTCTTATCTATTTCAGGACACATTAGAATACAAGAATAAGCACAGGTTATTGAAAGTGAAAATGCTTGATGGAGCTGTCAAGACTGTTATGGTTAGTATGAACTATCTTGTAAATGTTTACAGGCAAATGCGAGATATATTTTGGGATAAAGCGGGACAAAATCGGGATAAAGCGGGATAAAATGTCTCCAGAAGTGGGATAAATTATGGGGGATGAAAGGATAGAATGTCTCAAACAACTTCGCTATTGATTTTTTGCTAACTAGGACACGATATTTTATCCTATCTTTACTTGTAATGCACCTCTGAAGCTTATCCTCTTTTACGTCTCCTTGCAAAATTCGCGAACTCTTTCCCACAACTCACATTTCCTTTCCAGAGCTTGTAAACTTTGGAACGTTTTACCCCCTTATTGTTTTCTCAAACCTAAAGTGAACAAACACCAAACCAAACCGTATATAGCAAATTATCAGGGGGGTGGTTATGCCCTAAGGCTACTCACCCTCTTGTTCGCATATAACATGCCTTGTAATTATTTTGTAACCCTTACTTTTGAAATTCTGACACGAGAGTTTCTGATAATTTCACCTGTTAATTCCCGTTACAGATTGATGATAGTCATAATGTTGGCAATGTTCTCCAGACCATTTGCGAACGGCTCGGTAAAGTTGTTTTGGTTTTTGAATTTCTAAATTTGTAACATTTTAACATTATGATTTGACAATGGATTTACAATAGTTGTTGAATCAGGAGTTGCTTTCATAAACTCAGCTTAACTGAAACTTTATTTTGGCTTGACTTTCGTAGTGCGGCCAAATCGTATTATGCTTCTCAAAATGACATGTAATCATAATAATAATAATAATGGATCATGACCAGTATCTCCACAGGGTAATCTGGTCGTTAAATACTACACGATGTAAAATTAGAGATTAAAATAGTTTAAATATCATAAAATGTGAAATGGAATTAAAAGTTAGGTTCTTCTCTTTATGAATCAAACTAAAAGTCTCTTTTTTGCTTCAGTAAGAAAATATTCTTTAGATTTTGATGAGAATTCGGCTTTCGTTTCTGAATTTCTTATCGCATTTGGCATCTTGTTAAAAATTTCAGCTGCACTGTTCCTCAAAATTTTAGAATTTGTTATAGTTGCAATTTGTGGCGCAGAGTTTGATCTGAGATGTTTACTGTTTTCTTTTAATGACATGTCCAATCTATTGATTACAAATGCTTTAAATAAGGAAAATTTATCGACCTAAGGCCTAAGGTTTGTAATGATTAGCTCGCATAAAATCTAGACTGGAGGTTCCTAGGGGACAATCGTCCCTGCCAAAATGTCATGGTGGAGAGAAGAGGGAGCAAGATACTAATTTTCTGCCAAAACTACTGAAACACCCTGCAATTTGGATTGTCAATTTATATAATCCCTTAGAACTTTTTACACGCCATCAGCGAATCTGTACTTGAAGAAAAATTGACTTATTTTTGTATGGAGATTTCAAGGCTTAGATATTCATTAACTTGAATTTGTATTGTTTTTTAAGGTATAACAAATATGGAGGAATTTTCGCTGTTTATTGAGGAGCCAAAAGAAGAGAAAGAAGAGATGGGAACTGGAACACTGACAAGGGTAAGAAAATTGGGTTCTTTATTCACCCTGAAAGGAAAGAGAGGGAGAGGGATGATTTAAAGATGCCGTGTTTGATATATTAAACGCCCTCTGTCTAATAAAGGCGCCTCTCAAATAAGCGCTCCTATCCAATGTACGCCTATCTTCAATAAACGCTTCTCTGCAATTAGCTTGCCTCCCCAATAAACGCTCCTCTCTAATTAAAGCCCTTCCCCAATGAACGCTCCTCCCCGATTTAAGCTCCCCTCCAATATATGCTTCTCTCTAATAAACGTCTCTCTCCCATTGAGGCCCCTCCCCAATAAACGCTCCTCTCCAATTAATGCTCCTCTCTAATAAACGCTCCTTTCTAATAAACGCTCCTCTCCAATAAACCTTTTCAATATTTGACTCACGGGACATATTGCCTTACGGAACATAAGACCTCAAGATTTCTTTAGACAAGTGAGTGTCTCATATATATACTAGATGCGTCTTGTTCAATAATGCCATTTCGATTTGGTGTTTTGATAAGGTGGTTCCTTTTGCTTCACAATTATGATTTGTTTATGTTGATTTATCACGATAGAACTCATATCAAGGTGGCCCGCTCAAATAAAGGTGGCCCACTCATATCAATGTGGTTCTATTCCTTTTGTTAAGGTGGTATGCTTTTAAAGATGAGCTTTCATGCCAAGATGGCGATTTCAATTATATTTGTGGTAGTTCTAATGGGTTTCGGCGTTCATATTTCAGGACAAAACTGTGAAGAGCACGGCAATGATGAAGAAGGTGGAAGAAAGAGAGAAGAAGAAGATGGACCAGATGAAGAGGAAACTCCACACAGATGACGAAAGTAGGCCATTTTCGTTTTTATAACTCAGTTTCTCGAGGATTGAAGGGAGAGGGGGCTGCGAAGAGATTATAGTCAAGGAAGTTTACTGTGCCACGGCCACAGATGAATAGTATTTATTCGAAAGATACAATTCAATTTGGATAAAGAGAAAAACCCGGAGAAAGAGTGCTCACAAGAATCTCCCTGTTTTTGTACACAATTGATAATTCTTGGCCATGCACGGAGAGAGGGAGAGGGGGCTGCGAATAAAGTAAAAAAAAGCGTGTTTAAAACATCGTGTTTCGTGTGTGAGGCATTCTGTTTTCATACGCAGTTTGTCTGTGGTTTACCAGCCGTTCCCTGCATTTTGGAAAGTGACATGCCCCCCCCTTATATCTGTTGCCCCCAAACTTTGAAGTGCTTTTGACTCTAGGCAAATGATACCAATTTACCCTTATTCTTCGAAAACGGAAGTTTGAAGCAAAAAACCTCTGAATAATATCACTTTAAAACAGTTTGATTGTAAAACCTTGTTCTAAGCCTTTTTGTTAAATAACACTCATTTAATTGGAAAGTATAACAAAATTTTTGTCCCGTATGCGCCTGTGTAGCGTCCTAAAAATCATTAAGCTGCGAAGAAAGCGATTTTGTTTGTAATTGATGATTTTAGTAGTATTTAACTCGAATTTCTTTTTCATAGCAAATTGGCTGGTTCATGACAGGACTTTGCGAGAACAGGGGGTAGATGATTCACAAATGGTAGTTCTGAGGTATCAGTTAACCACTTCATCATTGCAAATCAATTCAATCGCTAATCAATGTCCAGTAGCGTCGGGGCATGTGCCCGTGTTCAAAATCAAAGTGCTTTTTCTTTTTTTAACGATAATGCATCTTTCCAGGTAAGGCTTTCCTCCTTAAGGGTCCCTAAAATGCCTGATCTTGCCGGGTAAGATAAAAGGGCCAGGGAAGGAAAAGATTGCTACGGCCTTTAAGCCGAGAAGTAGATGTCGTAATAGATTGTTTCGGCCTATAGAGAAAAAGATTGTTTCGGCCCATAGAGAAATAGTCATTCTTTTTTTTCTCTAAGATTTATAAGATTTTTATTTTGCTAAATGTTGACCTGCCGTAAGTCCTCGAATAATTTCTATTTGTTCCCATTAAAGGCGAAAGTATATGTATGAACCAAACGTGAACATTAAAAACCCAGTGGAGATCAATCTTCTGTACGTTCAGGCCCGTGATGGCATCCTAGATGGCACACATCCCTGTACCATGGAGGAGGCTTGCAAGGTATGTTATTCGCAATCAATGCGAGAAATAAATTGCCAGATGCCTGTTGGTTTTAGATCAGTGTAGTGAAGACGTTAGGACGCTTTTGATAAGATCTTTTAATAACATAACCTTGAAGAAACATTTTGAAACATGCTAAAGCTTTCGTCTAGCACTCATCAGAGTATTAAATGCGAGAGCATCTACTTTAATTCTCAATGCTGCAGATACCTTGTAATTCTGTTGGCTGTATCTGAAATGCTTGTTGTTTTTGCCTAAGGACTTTTCTTGTCTCAGTTCGCAGGCCTGCAATTGCAAATCCAATATGGCGATTTTGATGAAGGGAAATACAAAACTTGCTATATCGAGTGAGTTGAACTTGAATCAGTCACTTAGTAACTCGAACTAAGGTACCTAAACTGCGTCATGCCACTTATACAGCTCTGTCTATACCGCATCAAGCACTTTATGGCAGACTAGTAAACAGTAATTTTCATCTGTCACCACATTCTAGTCATTTCACATTTAGGACTATTTTGAATAGTTGAATTAATCACTTCACCTTCACCTTTTCCTACAGCTAGGTCATCAGGTACATAGGTAAAAAGTGATAGATAATTTTCATGAACTTTTTGTGGACAGTATGAGATTTTCTAGCACTCTTATGGTTAAAAAACAGTGGCATTTTTGGAATCTGCAGCCCTTCATTGCCCTAATCACCAAATTGCACCCACATTGAAGTCATGGAAGTATTTTTTGTCAAATTTGAAGAAGTGCTAAGGTCCCGAGACACTGCGCAGCCCAAATTTGGGGGTAAAGCTAGGATAATGGTAACCCCCCAGCAAAGGGAAAGGGTAAGGGCTATCACAGAAAAGATTGGCACACTTTCCTATCTTATTAGTGGGAACATTTGTGCCAAATTTTAGCTGGTTCGGTAAGGTGAAGTGCAGATTCTAAACTTTTGCTGGTGTTTTGACATGGAATGACCCCTCTATACTTTTGCAATGTTTCAAACTTTTTGTGATAGCATTTAACGAAGCGACTTTCGATAGCATTTTACATTTTTCTATTTCTCTCGAGCTGTTTTCTTTGAACTGTGTTTTCTATTGCAGCCTAAAAGATTTTCTTCCAAGAGAATATTCTAAAAACAAGCAATCGGATAAGAAATCAAAAGAGGTAATATATTCGAGTTCTTTTTTTATCTTTTCTTTCTAATTTCTTTTCAATGCATACTGAAAGTGATCATTCAAGAAAGAAATATAACGGGATTGCGTGATGGAAGGCTCGGAGATCTTCAAAAGTCTTTATTTGTCTTTATATTCAATAAATAAAATATAAATTTAAGAAATATATATATGAAAGAAGAATCTCTAAAATGATCAGTTTTCAACTTTTCCAAAAAAATTTAATACCTTTTTACCAATGAATATGTGTGTGATTAAAGAAAAGGCCACGAAAGCAGGCGGGTCGACGGACTCCGATGGAATTCTTGAGGCGAAAAATCGATTAAATGTAAAAATGAATAAGTAACATCGCAACGCTGCGAGAGTGAACATCAACAAACACACATGAATCAGTAATGGCTATTGAAAATGCTGATTTTTATGTGTGTTTGTTTTTATTCATTCTCGTCGCCAGTGGCGGACACTTGGTCAAATATTGGGGGGCAAGCCTATTGTTTTAATAAGATGACGTCACATTTCCCATTGTTTTAGAACAAAAGACCATTGTTCTCTAAATTCTGGCCCCCGTCGCCCCCCCCTCGCCCCCCCCAAGTGTCCGCCACTGCTGGTCGCATTGCGGTGCTACTTATTTGCTACCAATTAATACCCCAGCAATGTTCCCTTAATGTACAAATGTTTATTATTAATCGTATGTTTTTCTGTATCCTTTGAAATATTCCCCCTTCGCCTTTTCAGGAGCACAAAAGCCTTGTTGGGCTAGACGAGCTGAACGCAAAATACAGATATATCCAGCTTTGCCAGAATCTCAAAACCTATGGTGTGACCTTCTTCCTTGTTAAGGTGAGGTAATTTGAGACACAGTTGTGCCGATGTACATTGTTGAGTTGAAGAGGTACAGAAGTGTGGTGCAGAATACTGAAATTGCTAGGGAAAGGAAGCGTTTCAAGACATACTTAAGCTTTTTGTCTGACAGATAGATAATGAGAAGATAACGAATTGCGATAGAAACCGCTCCACCTTATGAGAATAAAGGAGTTCCGCCACTGAATATATAGCTCTCCTACAAGTATCCATCATTGGGCCATTTCTACTTTGCAAGGTTTCCTTTAACCTTCCTTAGGTTCTTTATATTGATTTAAAATGGCCTTGAAAATAAAGCAAACATTTAAGAAAGCTAAAGCTTTTTGTCTGACACTCTGAGTTTAAAACGTCGATCGAAAACTCTACGCTAGGAAATATATATACCCAGTTGTGGATCGAAATAGGCCATTCAGAAACACGAGCACATGACTGTATAGGTTGACCAATCAATGCTATCGAAAGTAGTAGGTAGCGGTTTTGGTATCTATCTACAGAAATATGAAAATCCGCTGTTCTTTAGACAGAAGGAGTTCGTTTTCATCTTTGGACTCCGTTGGTAATATTTTCAATAGGAAAGCGGCACTGATTGGACAACCTCAACTGTCATGTGCTCGCGTTTCTGATTGGCCTATTTTGATCCACAACTCTGCATATATTTCCTAGTGCAGAGTTGTCGATCAATGTTCTGACGTTTTGTAATCTGTAGAATGTGAGCCAGAAAGCCTAACAATATTTCTTTATAAGAAGTTTGATTTCCGGAAGAGCTTGTGTAAGCATAAGGCTAAAGCTGGCGCAATTTGCCTGGAATTCCAGCCGTTTTCAAAGACAGAATTGTTTTGAATGCCTTGTCACCAAAAGTAGTTTTATGATGTTTAGTTGCCTGCTAAAGGGAAATAAAGTAAGGTATTTAAAAATATATTTTACTAAGTTTTTTATATCTGACTGTGTTTATATTTTATTTTAGGAAAAAATGAGAGGAAAGAATAAATTAGTTCCTCGTCTTCTTGGTGTGACCAAAGAGAGCATTTTGAGGGTGGATGAAAAGACAAAAGAGGTATGGATGAGTTGACTTTATCATATTAGGATAATATTATTTAAGAAATATTAAGACTTTCTTGATATTTTTTTTATACAATATAAAAATTTTACAAAAACGAGGTACTTATGACTATACTTTACAAACTACTGGACTACATAACAAGGACGATGACCCCGGGAAGCAAGAGCCATGACTATCCCAAGAGTCATTACATAAACTAACTTACTGACAAATATGATTAAATACGATTAAGTACGATTAAATACGATTAAATACGGATACATACTAGGATCTGTTCCACATTGGACGTCAGGCCAGCACAGGCGACATTGCTGGGATGTAGAGGCCCCGGTAGAGAGAACACCACCGACAACCACAGTCCCTGCAACTGTCCTCCCCCAAGTGCACCCACCGCCCAAAAACCCTGCACCTGTGCCGACTTTTTTATGATATGTCGTATTAAAAAAAATTTGTAGAAAATATACCTCTGTCTTCTCATGGTCATATTTCTCTTAATTTGTTCGATTTTTCTTATTTCAAAAACTATTCAGAACGCTTCTTTTTGAGTTAGTATATAATAAACTTCTGCACGAAAGTATGACGTTTAAGAAGATGAACTTATTTTGTATGTATCTTGATAGGTTTTAAAAACATGGCCCTTGACTACAGTAAGAAGATGGGCTGCTTCACCCAACAGTTTCACCTTGGTAAGTGTAAACATTTATTTTATCCCATCCATTGCATGTGGCTAATTACAATATTTATTCTGATAGTACAAAATACAAACACGATATATGGCATGTAAAATATAGTGTCTTTTATTCTTCCTCCGGACAATACTTTCAAGCTGTGAAAATCTGTCTTAGAAAAGGTTTAAAACACTTCGGGGCTTTTGTGCGATATTATGGTGTCTTGGCCTTCTTTGCGGCTGTTGAACGTTTGACTGATATCTCGTCAACCCCCCTGGCTATCACATAAAAAGGTAAAACTACATGCAACTAGTAACGAAAATAAAATTGTCAGACCTTTGTTTGTTTTGGAACGATACAAGTGATACTCTGCAAGTGAATTCACACCCCGGCTAGACAACACAATCAACGTAAAATAAATGCGTACAGCCAGATTTTGCTTCTCCAACCATGCGGACATAGATCATGAGTGTTGGTAAGAACATATATCATTCATATGGGGGGATGAGGGGGTTGTGGAGGAGGGGGCAAAAAAGTCATTAGTTAGTTAGAGAGGCAAGCGTCACAATGTTATCTTTAATAGCATTTTGACCATTTTTCAATAGCTTTGACTATTTTATGTGACCTTTGACTTCATGCCTTGATCCATTCTGCTTTTGGCATATTTTGTTGTTCTGACATATTAATTTTATGGTTTTATTTCAGGATTTTGGTGACTACCTTGAAGGCTATTACTCAGTGCAGACTTCAGAAGGAGAGCAGATATCACAGCTCATTGCAGGATACATCGATATCATTTTGAAAAAGGTAGATTATCCGCCATTTTGAAATAGGCCATCAGCCATTTTGAAAAAGTCCAAGTGAAAAAGAGCAAAATCAAGGTCTCACCTATTGCACTGCATGTTATGTCATCTTTTTCTTTAAATGCTGGGTATTTACATTTGGAAGCCCTAAAACATAATCAGTTTGCTGGCATCAGTTCTTGGTTCAAAGTTCTATCATAGTTCTTCTTTAAGTCAAACTTTGCTCATCATCAGTAGAGGTTCATCATAGTGGTCCTTGTGCCACCGTTGACCTCTAAACTCAGACCTTTCACCTATGATTTTACGACAGCCGTGAAATATCTTCTCACCTTTCCCAAAGCTACTCTGTGTATCATGTTATTTTCACTGCATTGCACAGGTAAGCAGTAAGGTATACGGCAGTGCATTGGGGAATACTTACTGATACTCCAGTGGCATTCGTCATGATATTTAAAGCGACTGGTAGCCACTTGTTGCTTAATGCGTCATTGTTATTCCAGCGCAACAAAACAGATCTGTCAACAGGTGACTATGAGGAGGAGAGCACAATGCTCGAAGACTCTGTGTTGCCGTCTAGGGCCACATATCTTCAACATCAAACCAACAAGCAAAAAATGCCTTCATCAGGCTCTGTTGCCCTGCCTGCTGTTATGAGAACTGGGGGTCAAGGTAAGGATTCAAAAGGTCAAATGGGCGAAAGGTCATAGGTCAGGCTGCTCGATTTTAGGCTGGTGATGTGTACGGTTATAGCGGGTATTCATGGTTTGAAAAAATACAAGCTACAACTTACGCAACAAAACAGCTAGCTGCAACTAGCGATAGTTTAAAAGGGGTCAAAGGTCAATAGTCAAATTGGCTTTCGACTGCATAAGAACTGCCTTGCTTTGAAAAACGACTTTTATTACTTAATAAGGGGTTTTTGATGTATAGTACAGGTCGCTGTAGTTTTCAATTGAAGGAAAACATACCCGACAATAAAATGCTGTTATGTGAAAACTAGAACAGTATAGGTCGCCTTCACTTGAGAACAATATAGCTTTTATGGTCAAATGGGCTTTTATTGGCCATCAACAATGCACGTTTCTGATGAAGGTCTGATTGAATGAAGAGTTTCTCGCTAGTCTGGAATATGTATTGTCTAATAAGGCACTCTGGAAAGTACGTCGAAATCCAATGAAAAATAAGCAAGTTTATGCACTGACGTATCCTTATCACGAGTTGTATTAATCACCTAAACAATTACCTAAACATAGTTTTTATCGACGCCTTACAAAAACAAAACTTATTACGAGGCCAGCATGAAACTGAGATATATTCTCGATACCTCTACATACAGAGAGTCTGACTGGAGAAACATGGATGCTTGAAGTCTAAGCAATTTTATTTTGCCTGGCCTAGCTCAACGAGATTTGTTAGTGCTTTAGTTGAAACGATAATGTAGTTGACGTTTATAGAGCAGTGTACTGATGACGTCACAAAATCTGTTTTATAGTTTCGGCTCCTCGATCTTGTATTATTTTGACATAATTTTACACTTGGAGCAAGTTGAATCGATCTTAAGTTACCTGAGATAAAGCCAAATGAGTAAATTTCACCTCTCCTACGCAACTGCTGCGAATTATTGTATTTTGGTTAAAAGGTTTAATAGGCTTTTTTGTAAACGTTTTGTAAACTGTCTGTCTTCCAATGTTCATGTCCCAGCCAATTTGTAATAATTTTATTTGCACATAAAGAGGCTTTTCAATGTGCCCTTTTAAATCATATTAAAAAGTTCAAAATTTTGAAATTTTTTATTAAAATTAGTCAAAATGAAAAAAATTCTGAAGAAGGATTTTTTGACGTCATCAGTTTCCAGGCTTCGTCGCAAACTAGTTTTTGTTGCTAACGTCTAACCTTTTAACCCGCTAACATAACAGCAGGCACACGGGCATCGAGCTGGATGCATACACAACAGTATTAATGACAGTTTCACACAGCTTCATTCTGCTTAGAGCCTTGTAGTGACATTAATAGTTTCTTCCATATCACTAACTATGCAACTGTCATCTCAGATAACCATGTTCTTAAATAGAAAGTTGCTGATTGTATTTCTTCGTCACTGTCATTATATTTTCAATTCTTTATTTCTTTGTTAGTCCATAAGAACATTAAACTTTGAATTCTCAGCTTTCTTTTTCTTTCTAAACATTGCATTATCGTATGTTCATATTATCATGAATACCATTTCTTCTTTTCATTACCAAGTTTATGTCAGTCTTAGAAATACTTGACTCTTGCCTTCTACCCGGTCACACTTGACATTCAATTTTATCTTTCTCTTTCTTATTACCGTACCTTTTTCACTATATTATCTACAAATTAAACTTTATCTTTTATCTTTTTATAAAGTTAGCTTTACTTGTATACAATTTTTTTATTTCCCTCTCTTCTTCGCTTCGTTTTGTAAAGTTATCCCTTGCTAAGGTGCTAAGCTGTATTATCCCATTAGTAAGGTGAAACAGCCATATATCTTTAAAAATCTTCCGTGGCTCTCAATTTTCTTCATCGAAATGACCTTTTTCTTCAGTAAAATCATCAGTAGCCCCTTTTGTCAGACCTTCTGTTCTGCACCTCAAATAATTTTTCTCGCCTTATTCTCTGCCATGTACAATTCTTTTGACTTCTCAACTTTCCATTGCCTTTTAACCTTTGAACCTTATCGTTTCTTGACTTCTCACTCTAACCTAACCTCTTGCTCATAAAGTTAGATTTCATTTGAAATTTTCATACGCCTGTGAACTTCTACCTTAGTCTGTTTCCTGTTAATATGTTTTAACCACTCACTAACCGTTAAGACTAACCTGTTTCCATAGAAACGAGCTAACGATATTTATACCGCCGAATACGATGAAGAATGTACAATGTTGGAAGACTCCGTCCTACCGTCACGAGCGACATACTTACAGCATAAGCAGACGAAACATAGCAAACCTCAGCCAATGAGCGTTGCCGTCCCAGCGGTCATTAGGCCTGGAAGCATGGGTGAGACGTAATGATATCTGTAGATCTGACATCTGACCTTTGACCCTTGTTGTTTTGAATGTTTGGAATGACGACACAGACCAGGGTCCTCAAAGTCTGACAATATTAAAAGACTAATGTTTTGTTTGTTTTCTACTAACTATCTATGCCTAGGTATTAGTCATAAAATGTCCTTTAAAGTTGAGCATATGTGGTATCTTGTTCTAATTGCCGAAATTACCACCAAAGTGGGGATCTTGTTGCTAAGTTCAAGCACCTTAGTAGAGGCAAACACTTGCCAGTTTGATGATGTAAACACAAATCTATTGCACTTTGACTGCAAACCAACATGTTACTTTCAATAGCGCCTTGACCTATGACCTGCTTTGAATATCCTCTTTGACCTTTGCACTTTTGACCTTTGTCCTATTCTGTATTTATCACAAGTAAAATTTAAAGGTAGATTAGCAATAAACCTTCTCAATGATTATTTTGTTATTTATTCTTGTGAAGGTAAAATAACAATAATTTTAAGTCTCTTGGAGAATTTAAACTTTTCCACTGATCGTCTTTTTTAAGGTAAAATTATTTGTATGGAAACTTACCTAGGCCACCTCTGTCGTACGAGTTGCCAATTTTTCTGTTAAAAACTGTTACTGACACTACGAGCAACACTACTGCCTCTAATGGTTGTCGCAGATTTTTTTTTGAGCGGGTTTCTCTTTGTTTAGAATAGAAAGCTACACAATTTAAGTGCTATTTTTTCTGTTAACAGGAGCTGGAAAATACACAGTTGGTCAAATGCAGGAGGAACAGTACTCAACAAAAACGGGGGTTGGAGCACACGCACACGGACCGCCAATGGTAGGATAGGTTGATTTCTGCATCTTTCTTTCAGAAGCTTTCTCACTACTCCAGGGAGTATATTGTGCTTTACCAAGAAGTGTCCTTTGTTCGATTTAGGGTCCTCTCGAACTTTCCATTTATTATTGTTCAAAGGCTTGCAAATGTTGGACTTTTTAGTCAATCATGATGAATAGCATTTTTTTGCTTAGAAGTCCTTTAAGGTTTAAAAATAGAAGATATAAACTACGAAACTGTATTGATATTTAAGTGTTAAAAGATATTAATGACCTTTTGACCTTTTCAGGGCACCAAAGGTCAGCTTCAGGGAAAGTTCACGCCAGGTCAACACGCCCTTATGACGAACCTCTCTCATGGTGTTAGAGCCATTGGAAATTCTGTCGACGATCTAAGCACAGCGCAAGACCTTCCAGATCTCGGCTCCGATCCAGTATGTTTCTTAACGTTAAACATTTTTTGTATCATCCACAAGAGGTTTTCTTTTCGTTTGCGTAAAAATTTATATTTGTTGAAGTGTTTCAAAGTACAAGGGAAAATGACTGAATTTTTGTATCTTTGACAGAAAAAGTAACTGTTATTTGTCGAGAAATACTTCAGAAAATTTCAGAAATGCGTTATTGATGTATTAAAGAGTATTTTAACTTCTTTGCTAATCTAGTTATTGATTTCTGTATTTTGGTATTTCTGTGTGAGATGTTGTGTGGGACACTGAGAAAAGCCAGAACGGTTATCCAGCAGCGTATGAAATCTGGCGAAAAAATTATCTCTAGCTTGCACTACCGTCCACAAATGCTGCCACATGGCCAACTTCTCTTAAGGCAACCTCGCTTTGCTTTGTTTTCTTTACAATGTACATAACATCGCTTTATTGCTAAGCAACACGGATTCGTTTCCAGGCTTCTAGGAGGTGGATTGAGAATACGATTGAGGAGAACAAACAGAATGTGATATCTCGCCTCGGTGCCATGTCAGCCGCCACTGCAGCTCTCATTTCGAACACCTCAGGTAAACATGGTGATATCTCCTTATTACCTCCTTATCTCGTGATATCTCCTTATCTCCTTCTTTAGTTCTTCCAGATTTTTGATTTCACGCAGTGACATCCCTAGTTTGGGCTTCTGGCATGTTTATAGAGTGTGTTACCGACCTTGTATTGGAAATTTCCCAGATTTCATTTCGACCTTTTTGAGCCCAGACTGGGATTTACCGCAATACTTTTAGCTCGGATACCAGTTATTTTGAACAATCTTTTCGTGGTACATAATTTAAAAATGGCTTTTAAAAAAGCAAACATTTTGAAACATGTTGCTAAAGCTTTTCGTCTGACCCTTTTCTGAGTATAAACGTCAAAAATAGATCGAAAACCCTTCGCTAATAAATATATATTTCGATCCACAACTGGGTTTATGTATTTCCTAGCGTAGAGTTTTCGATCTATGTTCTGACGTTTTAAACTCTGAAGAATGTCAGACAAAAAGCTTTAGTAACATGTTTCAAAATGTTTGCTTTATTGCATTGACTGTGTCTGTATTGTGCATTTTCTTATGATATAAAGCATGAAAACCTGTTAAGGATTTGGCTGCAAATATCGTTCTGGGTAAAACTTAAATCGCTCCCTAATCACATCTCTTATAAAAAGTTTAACTTTATGTCATCATGACATTACTATCGCAAGCACTATCATGAAAATTCTCATGTTGCCAGGCTATTTATTATGGGCCTAACTTTAGCTATGACGCTGGCTTCCTTTAAGAATCTCTTGAGCTCATTGCCTAAATTCAAGAGAAACCGAAATGGTGAGAGCTCTCAGCAAATCAAAGATTTGACTGCAATGCTGTTTAGGCCAAGCTGAATATCGCATACTGGTTATTTGATTGCCATGGTGCTACTTTCAAATACATTTGGTTCTTAATTCCGGTAATATATGATAATCTAATACTGTTTGGTGTACAGAAGCTCTTTTATACAGCACTGTACAAGAGAAGGGTTACCGTAATTATGATAATTTATGTTTATCTATTGTTATATTCTGTTCCCAGGAGATCCAGATAAAGTCAATTACACAGCAGTCGGTGCGTCAGTCTCAACAATGTAAGTAAAATTCAATCACAGATGGCTAATATAGAAATTGCGAAGCATTTTTGGATGTTACAAACTTCCTTTAAAAAATGAAACATTTTTACACATGGTTAAGCATTTCGTCTGACACTCTTCAAGACATTAAACATCGTAAGAAGAATCAAATTGTTCAATTAGACCTCTAGTCTAGCAAAATTTGAATAATGCTCACAGAAGCAGTGCATACCATACTAAAGTACTTTTCGTCCGCCACTCCTCAGAGTATAAACGTTGGGTAATGTGCAAAGGTAAGCAAAATATACGTGTCTAGATGCAGGTTGAAAGTAGCACGAGGGAAACAAAAGGGCCTTTGATTGGTTGTTTTTTGGGCGCAAAATTCAAATTTTAAGCTAATCAATATTTTCTTGGTTGTGCACTTGATCGATTTAGGCCAATCAGAAACGCCAACACATGACAGGTATTGTTAAGGTTACCCATCAGTGGAGAAATCAAAACTCGAATTATTACACTATTTCTGCCATTTAAAGTTTTATGACTGCCACTCCTATAATTACTTGATGTATTCATTATGCCGTTTGATAAATATTCAAAAGTCAGTCGATTTTGTTTGCTAAGCGATATTATTCTACGGAACGACTTCTTGTAAGAGTTAAAGCTACTTCTCTGGAATTCATGTTCTTCTGGGTACGTTTAAAAGCACGGGTGATCCCCTCCACTTAACCAATACACACATTTCCCATCGATATTAGAAGATCCCAAATAGAACAATCAGTCTCAAAGGTGTTTTGATTCAGGGAAGTTATTCATGATTTCTACTAACAATCAGATTCCAGAAAACATTAGGGTTATATGGCTGTCAGCCTGAGGAAGATTCTCAATCAATGCAGTAGTTTCGAGGAAGGCCATTGCATAAATTAGCAGGAGTATACAAAGTGTGAGGAATTTGTATACAACGTCGAGCTTAAACTTTTCTTTATTTCTGACAAGGTTAAAAAACAAACCATAGATGACTTAAACTAAATTTTATTTCCAAGGAGCTATTTTTTTAACAAAAGACAGACAGTTTTGAGGATAAGCTTTGTAGTTGGTCCATTCTCACCTAGAGTTGCTCCTTCTCAAGGTTTTCGTGACCCTCATGAAGTCTAAAAAACCAGCTTTTTGTTACCCGTAGATTTTTAAGTTTTACACAATTTTAAAATGGTTTTTTGCGACATTTTCTTATAATATGTAGAAAAATAATTGGTTCTGAAGCATTAAAAAACATAATCAAGACGACGGCAGCTGTGAATGTCAAATTTGAGAAATTGATTACACTTTCATTCGCTAATTGCTATTGATATTTCAATGTTTATGGGATGGCCTAATAATTTATTTAGAATCACTTACTCCAACTTTGTTTATATTAAACGCTATCTAGTCATTTACACTGTCACTAGTGAACTGCAAGTCGCAAGCAATTGGGGTGTAGCTTTCGGATTTCTTGCAACAAATCATCGCATTCAAATTTCGAGAAAGCTCTAATGGTGTTTTTTGAACGTTTTGTTGGAGATTCTAAGCCAAAAAACAGTCTTTCTATTTAAACAAGCTTGCTCGCGATTTTGCTGCTGGCATTCTCGCACAGGAATAAATGGGCCTAAATGAGCGACGGCTTGGTTTGAACGACACAATGACGACAAACTTTAAGGTTTGTCGTGGCTGGCGATTAAGTTAGTCCGAAGGTTAATTCGGCAAAGTTTTTACTGAAATACTCACTTTAAGGTTTTAAGCTACCTGAATCCTCGGTGCCAAGTTTCGTTGTGAGCAATTACCGGATACTCGCAGTGAGGCTTTTTCAAGATGGAGGATATCATTATTCCTGTTGAATTCGAACCTCGCTGTTCTGAGCAATTCTATGAAAATACAGTTCTGCAAGCTTCGTTTTCGTGGAATCACCTTCCAACTCTGTTTGCTGCGCGCGACAATGCAAAGAAAATGCTGATGAAATGTTTTCCTTCTTTGGAGAGGTACAAGGCTCGTGAATCTTACAAAAGAGATTTTAGGAGAATTTTATGAGTAGAGAAAAGCAAACTCAAAGATCCTATACATCAACAGTCAAGTTGATGTGGATTTAATCTCATTTTTTCTATTTTTCATCTATTCTGGAAACCGTCAATACTTAAAGACTCATTGCTAACATTGAGCCTTTGCGCGCGTGGCAAATTGTCAAGGCGACGATCCAAACAATGGCTGTAAACCTCTACGGATCAACAAAAATTTATTTAAGACTGTCTGAAAATGCATCATGGGATGCTTGCGTAGCGCAATGGCTCATTGTTAGCAATGAGTCTTTAAGGATGATCTGCCTGGCGGAATCAGACAAGAAAATAGGAAGAGACAACACATATTAATAGTGCCCGACTGTGACAGGATTATAATAAAATTATGTGCAACCATCAGTCTCCTGGATCTTGTAACCACCGTGATTCATAGATAAGCCCCCCCCCAAACGATTGACCCCCATTCTAATGTAATTTATGTGAAATAAGCCTCAGTCCTCGAATAAACCCTTATGGGCTGAGGTTTTGCTATGACAGCAATAGGCCTGTCCCAATATATCTTTATTTCTAGGCAGGTGGAAAATTTACTCTGGTAATGTTTTGGCTGCTGCTAAATAAGCCCCCACCTTCAAATAGGCCCCCCTCAAATAGGCCCCCCAAATAAGCCCCCACCCGAAATATCTTGTTACGAAATAAGCCCCTAAGGGCTTATTAAAGGACGTCGGTAGCCCCATCAAAGTAACAAATTAAATGGCCTAGCTTTCTTATGTCTCAACATTGACACGTTTTTGGAAATGTTTAAAATTAAATAGCGTGTGTAATTTGCGGAACAATGTTTATTTACTGTGTCATATTAACAGAACACTAAAAATCTATCTATTCCTAAGTTTCAACCATTCTTTATTTTAGCACATCAAACCTAGATGATTTGGTCAAGGGAATCAAGATGATCGCAGCTCTGATGGATAACAACGACAACAGCAAAAAACTGATTGATGCTGCAAAGTCATTGGCAACGGCTTTTAGCGATCTACTCAATTCTCTGAACCCTAACAGCGAGGACAAGGTAAATTATATTTTATGCTTGGCTGTCACAAGAGAGACCAAAAGTGGTCTGATTTGCCAATGGAGCCATCTCGTTGCTTTATGGCAGGGTTGTAATTATTATGATATCATTTGGGGTGCCAGTGACAGTTTTGTGCCAAAACCCAAAGAGGGACAAAAATGCTGTTCAACTCTTTTTGCATTCACCTTTGAACCAACTACGGTACCTGGGCGAGCCTCGCACCACATAAAATCCTTATGATGGGTGTATCTATTGTGGGGGCTGTTTTTTAAGGCGTGGCTGTGACGTCACTTTAAAGCTAAACAATTGTTTGTGTCAACTGAGAAAATCCCACGTTTGCAAATAACGCCCTATCTAATTAACAATAAGGAATTTTGTAGAAATTCTATATAGAACAATGCCTGGCAAGATTACTTGGAACATCAAACAATTGGCGTTGTATAAATCATTTTGTATTTATATTTTGAACTTCTTTTCCCGGGTGTAACTAATTCTGCCCATCAGTATAAATCTTTTACCGATTTTTCAGTATCAATAAATATTTGACCTTTGACACTAAAACTTGACCTTTGGCATTAGAATTTTAACCTTTGACCTGGCTGTTCCAGTATTTTATGATCTATGATCTTTGTTACCTTTAAAAAGTTATTTTGTCTTGAGGTCAACGTTTTGTTTATGTTTACATTTTATTGTTTGGAAAGTTGTTTTTATTAGTTGAAGTTTTAGATTCATTTCAAGTTTTGTTTATGGCTCTGTACTTTTAGACCCGTCAAGATCTGTTGAATGCTGCTGGTGATATTGGCACAGCCAGCTCAAACATCATGAGGTGCTTTGGAGACCCTGACGCCGCTGATATGGCTTTGCAAGAGATGCTTCTGACCCTAGCAAAAGCAGTTGCCACGGCAACGGCTGCTCTTGTTCTGAAAGCAAAGAACGTAGCGGGTTCATGCGGAGACACTCCTGCGCAGAAGAAGATTATCGATTCAGCCAAAGAGACTGCTCTATCGACTTCGCAGCTCGTTGCATGCGCCAAGGTCCTAGGTCCACATATCTCCAGTCCTTTGTGCCAGGATGAAATGATTGAGTCCGCAAAATTGGTTGCCACGAGTGTAGATGGAGTTTCCGGCTCTTGCGCGGTAGGTCTATATTTTTTTATTTAGTTCTTTCTCTTTGGGATGAGATGGGGAGACAAGAGCATTAATACAATGTGCTTACAGATCGCAAAATGATAGGTTATCGCTTGAAGTCCTTTCCTTATCACTAAATTGATCATCAACAAGGTACGAGCAAAGATGACTGTAAAGCCGTAAGATCACATGATCACACGATCACACGATCAATGATCAACAAAAGATGATCACTAAATATATTCATTATAATGATTATACTTAGCGATCATCTAGATCCTGGTAATCGTAAATTGCAATCACCACAATAGATGATCAGTAAACAAGATCACGAGAAAATGATTTGAAATATGATCATAACAAAAGACGGTCACTTAATGAGATCATTACAAAATGATCGTAATGTTTGATCAACGCAAAATATGATCACTAAACATGATCGTTTTAAGGTGATCATATGAAATTTGATCACGACAAAACAGGATCATAAAAATCAAGTCATTGCAAAATATAACCGTTAAACATAATCATTAAATAATCGTTTAACTTGATCAAATCAAAAGCTGATCAAAACAGATGATCGTTATAACATGATCGTAAAATCTGATCCCAGCAAAACATGATCATTAAAAGATGATCATAAAATTTGATCACCACAAATGATGATCTCTGGAATGATCGGTAAAGCATGTGATCACCGCGAAATATGATAGTACAGTCTCAAGACTTTCCGCTTCTTATTGGAATGAGTGCTTAGTAATGTGCGCCTGTCTTTTCTAGGAAGCGACTGGTGATGAAGAACTTATGTCAGGGGTGAGACAAGCCGCTCAGAATGTTACAGACGCATTGAATAACTTACTGAAGAAAGTAAGAGAAGGCTCGAACATCAAATCAGGGGGGCAATATGACAGTGCATGTGATGATATTCTCAATGCCACGGATCGGCTGTTTAATAGCATGGGAAATGCAAGCGAAATGGTAAAGCAAGCCAAGATTCTGGCCCAGGTAAGTCTAAAAAAGGCGTTTCTCGTCGCATGTAATTTGAGACAGACTATAGTAGTTTATTTTAACCTCTGTGTCTATGGCCCCGGGGTAGTCATAGTCTTTTGCTCCTTGGGGTATTGTCCGAGTAGTATTGTAAAGTAAATTTGTAAGTAGCGTAGCTTGTATTTATGTATTGTAACTTTTTAATGGATATAAGAAAAAGGCGTGATGTCGTTAGTACAATGAAAGTGCCATTCTGCCAGGATATTGTCTTACACCTGACCCTTTCAAATAGCGGACACTTTTCTACAACGGACACCTTTAATAATTTTCTACAATCGACACCAATAACAGAATCTTCACAATAACAGACGCTTACGAAGTAACGGACACTTTCAAACGAAGGACATCTTTAGTAACGGACGCCTTCTTTGAGAACTTGTATCTTACTTTACAAAGCACACCTTATCTTGGATTTAAAGTTTCATCAATTTGAACTATTAATGTACAGTTGTCGACTTCAGGTTGCAAGTTGTTTATGCAGTTATCGATTTGAAATTATAATTCGCAATTTTTATGGCATTTTTAAAACTTTTAATGGTATGCTTTGTTTTGTTGCTAGGCAACATCGCAGTTGGTGAATGGCATCAAAGCAGATGCCGAAGGGCAGGAAGACTCTGATGCACAAAAGCGACTTCTTGCTGCAGCAAAGGTTTTGGCTGATGCCACTGCAAAGTTAGTCGAGGCAGCGAAGGTAATACTGAGATGTTGCTACACTGTGGAAAGAGAGAAAAGGGGCGTGGTCCAGGGGAAATTTTTGAGGCCCCGCCCAATTTGGATCGTTTGCCAAATACTTAAAGGCATTTGACATGCATAAGTACAGCGAAAATAACTCAATCAGAGCGCGCGCGTTTGAAAAGAATTTTAAACTACTTGCGTGAAACCACTCTAGCGTCTCACCGTTTTGCAGAAAGGCGGAAATTGTTCACATGTTTTTCTCTGGGCGTAATTCGATTGGTCAACACAGGAGGGTCAAGTGGCTCTTAGCTATTTTTATCTATGTCAAATGCCTTTAATACAGTAAGACCTACCCCTGTTGAGTATTTTTTATCAATCCCCGAAGGGCAATGTTGACTTGTTTTGATAAAAGTTGGGGGAAGGGGTTATTACCCTCCATTCACATCTATACGGGCCTATAAGGATAATAGGTCCCTTGGCTCCATCACTTTTGTCACCGGCATTAATTGAATTCAAATCTGCCACGACAATAGGAAATAGAAACAAAGGGTTAAAGGTCGGCAGTGGCACGTGACTGCCAAATGTCTTGAACGACCAAATGTCAAATGTTAATTTGCTTTGTCATATTCAAATTATTCAAATGTCATAGTTCAATTGTACATTGTTTTCTGTCAGGGCGCTGCGAGGAACCCTAACGACGCCAATGAGCAGGAGAAGTTAAAGAAGGCTGCGGAGGACTTGAGAGCCGCAACAAACGCTGCTGCCAGCAATGCATTAAAAAAGAAGCTAGTATTGAGGCTTGAGGTACACCTGTTCTGTTTCTAACAAACTAGGAAGTTAGCTGCAACTAGAAAGCAATAAAGTTTGACAGATCATGAAAGCAGTAAACCAATTAATTGAGAGTTTCTCAATTCGTTTTTCTAAGTTCTAAAGGCCTTCTCAATTTTAATTTCTTTTATTGCTCTGCTCGCAACGATTCTTAGAAATTTTGGAAGGCATGACGTCCACATACGAATTACTGTTATTTTTGCTTCTTTTATCGATATTATAGCCAATAAACTCTTTTGCCTGTCTTCAAGAAACTGTTGGAAATAGCAAAAATATTTTATTGGGTAGACTGCCGTAGGGAAGGATTCTATTCTTAAATTGTGTGGAGATTTTATAACACGATACCAAAATACTTAGAATTAGCCCCCTGGAAGCTGTGAATTCAGGCAGTTTTTAGTTATGAAAATATTCAGGTTTCTGTGAATAAGTTTTATATTCTAGGGGGGAGGGAGGCTTAAACGAGGGGGAATGGCGATTCGAGGACTACGGTATTTATGTTGCATGAGTCTTTGTAGGCATTGAAACTATCATTTCCTCTCTATAGAATGCTGCCAAACATGCTGTCGCCTCTGCGACTCAAATGGTTGCCGCTGCGAAGACATCAGGAGCTTCGAACCGAAATCCATCAGCCCAACAACAATTAGAGGATTCTTGCAAGGTTAGTTTTTGAGTCTCAATTTCAAGGAGGCTACAGCGATTGATAAATGAATGTGCTTATCAATGTTTTTAATTTTCCATTGTTTCCTCATTTCCTCCTTTCCACCTTTCCTTCTTTCCTCTATTCCTCTATTCCTCCTTTCCTTCTTTCCTTCTTTCATCTATTCCTCCTTTCCTTCTTTCCTTCTTTCCTCCTTTCCTTCTTTCAATCTTTCCTTCTTTCCTTCTTTCAATCTTTCCTTATTTCCTTCTTACCTTCCTTACTTTTTTCCTTTCTTCCTCCCTTCTTCCTTTCCTCCTTTCCTTCTTTCCTTCTTTTAATCTTTCCTTCTTTCCTTCTTTCCCTCTTTCCTTTTTTCCATCTTTCCTTTTTTCCATCTTTCCTTTTTTCCATCTTTCCTTTTTTCCATCTTTCCTTCTTTCCTACTTCATTTCTCGCTGTGCTTTTTTTATCTCCTTTCATCCTTTCTGCATCTTTCATTTATTTTCTTGTTTACAAATCTTTCCTTTCATCCTTCTTTACATTGCCTAACATAATCGTTAAGTTAAATCTGAATCGTTTAAAAGATTCCCACAGAGCCTTCATGCCTGGAAAATGTTAGAAAAGGTTGAGAAAAACCTAAATAGTCACGGAATTTGTTTGAAATTTGTCCAAGTCAGGGGAAATCAGAAACATTTTTCAACAGTTTCCTTGGCAATCTGACTTGTGTATTTTTTAAGATTGTTTCTTCAACCTAGCTCTGTATTGCTCTCTATCGTACCGCCATTAGCGTATTTGTTGTTTTGATTGCTTGGTACATGCTTATGTAAAGCTAATCTATTCGGAGGGAAGAAAATATCTTCTCTCCCCAATAAGCATGCTGAGGCCAACTTGATTATGCAAAATTCAGCGTTTTGACATATGTCATGAAAACTGCAGGAAAATTCGAGTTAGGTGCTCTTTACGAGTCCTACTTTTAAAGCAAACAGTATATTTTAACTTCACATTGCAACCAGTGGCGTAACACAGTTAGGGCACTTTAGTTCGATAACTAAGGCCAGTGACCAAATTGCGTTCCTTAATTTTTTAAATCCATTATTTTTAAATTCGCTCTATTTCAACTCATTTTAAAAACTTTTCAATTTTTTCAACTGACTTTTCTATAACTTCAACTCTCCCTGGTTAATTTTTTCAACTGACATCCAACTCTCCGTTGGATGGCACCCTTTTTCGTAAATGGGGTCCCCGTCTCAGCCTTTTTCCTAGGACCTCAGATGTCTCCATTACACCACTGATTGTATCTTTCTCATTCTATTCTTTATAAAAGCTCTTCTTCTACGTCCGCAGCAAGTACAAGACCAGGCCAGTGAGCTCATACAAAGCATACGTAACAGCTACAACAACCGAGACAGTCCATCCGCCCAGCTTGGGTTGATCAGCTCAGCGACCGCCTTCCTAGGGGTAAGTAAACATCTAGTTTCAAGTAGCCTGCGTGCAGATTTGGAAATTTAAAAGAGGAGAGAAAGTAGAGTCTGCGCAACAGAGCCGCTTTTCTTGTTCGCTGACATCAACATTTTATTCTAATCACTAGAACAACAACTCCATGAGCGTGCAATGTTTTCTGTAATTTTAGTTGTTCAAAAGAACAAACAGACCTATTCTATTGTCCTGATACCATTCATTTATACTTCTGCACGAAGGCCCCACTTTGAAAACTGAAAAAAGCAATTGAAATTCCTTTAACCAATCAAATTCGGTTCTTTGATTCTGAGGATCCTGTGAACAAGAAAATTAGCTCACCTTCGCAGACTCTACTTTTTCTCCAATTTTCAATTTTGTCAACAGAGTCTGCACGCAGGCTAGTTTCAAGTCGAATAGAGTTCTTAAGTGATGACATCACAGAAATATATTTTAGTATTTTTGTATTTTGACCGATTAAACCGAAAGAGCATCGTGATATACCTCAAGATTCAGCTTGATGTGTCACAAATTGGCTGAGGAACTCTCCCGTCATATCACTGTTACTTGGTCTCTGCTCAGAACTCCTTGAACGGGACCAGGAAAACAGTAATCCGTTGGTACACTTGAAATCTTTTATTGTTTCTCGACCAATTCGTTGCCAAAATCAGAAGTTTTTTATTGTGTTCTTTCAGGTTATTTGGTCTTAAGTTTAAAATTCTTAAAAAGCTTTTCTTATGACGTCACAAGTAAGAATTTCTGTCAAGAGAAATTAGGCTTATTACGTCAACTCAATCGGTCTGCAAATTGCAGTACGATTATTCATTAAACAGGCACTGGCCATCTAAAAGCCCGTTTCTGAAAGCTTAGTATTCATCCAATACTGTGTCTTAACAAATCAAAACCCTGTTACTTTGAAATTTCTTGATGCATGCATTAGCTGCAAGGTTGCTTTAACATCAGATACACTCAGAGAAGCTGGGCCTGATAAAGCAAAGAAAACAGTCAGCAATTACAACCTGCCATTCTTAATAGCCGTCATTCAAGGGCATTCCTCATGCCTTTATTTTGTTGATCTTTTAAAGGCTCTTGCACAATCGAAATGCTTAGCAGCAGTTGTCTGGGTGTGACTGTACTCTCCTCTACAGAGGCTATTGGGGAGGAAGAAATGGTGAAGCTGCGGAGAATTATTTTCTTCCTCCTTCTCCCTCGCAGTTCCTCCACTTTTCCCTTTCTTCCGCAGTTCCTTTTATCCTATCCTTTTTCCCTCCCAATCTCCCTCCCCAATAGCCTCTGCGGAGGAAGGTAGTGTGACTGTGTGACTGGAAATCGACTGTTTTGTATTTTCATGCAGTACGATATTAGGCCAATTCTTTTGAATTCTAGTCGCAAAGCGTGCTGGTTACCCAAGAGCCTTTCAATGTAATCGGCTCATTCTTAAGTGGCTTATACCTCATGTCGATCAACTTTTGGCCAATCAGTAGGCTCTTGGTGATATCATGCTTGTTGATTGGCTAATTGTCGATTGGCAGATGGCTTGAGTCACTTTAAGGATCTGTCGAGAGTCTTTAATGATTGGCGTTAATTGGAAATTTTTAGCCCAGCAATTGATAAAAGCTGAAATCTCAGTTTATTTGTCGTTCTTTTCTCTTATTTACTAATCAATTTGTTCGCTTTGAAGCTCTAACTTTGTCGAATCATGTTTCGCCATTGCCAATGTTTTGCCATTTCAATGCCTAGGCCAATTCACTCTCTTGTTTATCGTCTAAACGCAATAACAATAAAAATCAACCATTTGTGCTGTGAGTTTAATTTGGAAGTCCTTTTCAAGTTGTACCACGAAACCGATTCAATAACAATTTAATAACTTTTTGCTGTAGTTTGCCGTAACGTGACATCTGGCAGATCTAAGCAAAACAACTATTTCAACTTTATCTTCCCGTTGATTCGAATTCACCAAAGTCTATAAACCATTTTGAAAACAATGTTTTTACCTGTAGACTCTATTGGTTTGCATATTTCAGACTGGTGTAAGCAAATTTACCGTATTCCCTCTAATGAACGCCGCTCTCTGATAAACGCCGCCCTTCATTAATCGCCGCGGCGCTCTTTAGAGGAAATACGGTAGTTGCTAAAAAACTTGCGTTTTCTCCATTGTTTGAAAGCTGGTCTTTTAATATTTGTGTTCCGTGGTAGCAAATGGCTATCATTAAATTGACCAATCAGTGAGTGTGATTTCACTTACACGCTCATTGATTGGCTGATTTTGATTGACAGATGTGTCAAGTTATATTTACATCTGTCCATTGCCTTTGAGTATGCAACATGTTTAATTTTTTAGCAGAGTTAATTATGTGCATAATTTTATGGGTTGATTAGGAGACATACACCTCCCAAAAACATACCTTAAACAAATCAAAACGTTCACCAGTGCACAAAACCACATGCCTCCAGTGTTAGAGACTTAAATCTTAATTATGAAACACTGGCCTATCACTAATTATGCGGCATGATAAATTCTTTGTAACGATAGGGTTCTTCTTAGGACGGTGAATACCCTAGGCCCTAAATAAGTAGATACTCAAAAGATACTCCTTCTCTGATGTTCTTGCTATTATCAAAGCATTAAGACTGACTCGAAACGTGATCAGGACTTTACAGAAAATGTGACTTTAACATACAACAGAAACATTACAAAACTGAATTTCGAATTTCCACAAATGAACGCCGCCCTCTGATAAAAGCCGCATCCAAATGTTGGATTTTTAAATAAACGCCGCGGCATTCTGTAAAGGAATTACGGTAAACTTAAATACCAATTTGTGATCAAAATGTAAAGCAAAGTTAAATTGTTATTGTGGACACATTTTGCTTGTTCGTTAGAATGCATTCATTTCGTCATCAACCAAGCAAAAACAAAACGCTCCCACACAGGCCACCAGTACAAGAGTCTACAAATGTCGTTCTTAATCAATGGCCTGTTACTGGTTTTATTTGCCTGAAGCTAATGTATAGGCAAACAGTACATTGACTTGTGTTTCTGCCCACAGCCCAGTGTAAAAATGGTGGCCAATGCTAAAGCAGCCGTTCCTACTGTCGGCGACAATGCTGTTGCCATGCAGTTATCAACAACGGCGCAAAACACAGCAATGGCGCTGATTGAGTTGAAGAATGCAGCGGGAAAGGTATGTGTTTAATGGCTAAATTATATACACTCTTTTTTTATAAGAACCAGTAAATTTAAGTTCAGGCTGACTGTTCTTGATTTTTACGAAAATCTGGGGCTTGAGTGTTCTTAATTTGTTCTTAATCTAATAGGGTGTAAGCAGTGCTATTGCTAGCTTTTTCGCTCTAAGGAGGTGTTCAGGCCTCATTTGCCAACAAAGTGAGTGAGACAGCCTTAATTCGCTGACAAATTTGAATATTCACCAAAAATACACCCACACATCGCTAAAAATCCTCGATTTTGAGAAAAAACCTTGACACATTTTGTATTTTGTACCTTGACACTGAAAAGAAAAATTGCATTTTGCAGACACATTTTGCAGAAGCTCAGCCTCAGCTTGTTCTTAATTTGTTCTTACCTTTTGACCAGTTTTGAGGCTCGTGTTCATATAAAATTGTTCTTATAAAAAAAGAGTATAGGGCCCTCGCCTATGCAGTAAAGATGTTGCTGATCCAGACCTTTCAGTTATATCTGTAGTTCAAAATCTTTAGCAGAGGTTTTTGTTGTCTTTATCAAATTACTTATTGTTAGAAAAGTCGAGCGACGTGAGTGAAGCATACTTGCGGATTAGTTTAGCAATATTTTGCAAAGTCTGCGAAATAATCTGACGTCAGCAATGGTTGAAATGACTGAAATTAGCGGGAAGTCATGGCTGAATGCAATTTGTAATATACAGAATGGGGGAGGGGGTTTAAATGAATGGAGGGTTTACCTTTTCTGTAGCGGAAATATCGTTGAAAGTGTCTGCAAGAAGATTTTGTTCTCCAATTTTTGGTTAAGTGTTATCGTTGATAGAACAGGAGGGTTTGAATGAAAATAATAAGTTCCGTATGTGTCATGATGATTATAGTCGTATTTTCTCGACTATTTTTATTGCCTGTTCGGGAAGAGGTGATGAATAGGTCTTGCAAATTTATTGAGTGCTACATCAGTACTGTCAGTTTCATGCCAAATTCGGTCGTAAAATATATTCGTCGAAGTACAGGTCCTTATGCCAGTTGCCTGATGATCACATTAAGCGTGAAACTCAGAGTAGCAACTTAGAACAATCCTCTTTTACACAACCAAGTGGGTGCAGCTTTTCATTGGGTACACGGCATCGAGCACTTTATAACGGACCGACAAAACAGCAATGTTTGATATCTGAAGTTAATGGAAACTATTCAAGCAAAATGGAATGAAATTGAACAAGCATGGGATTGCCAAAAGCGATTTTTCACATATCAAGAATGAATTCTTTTCCTTTCTTTACTTTAGGCTGCAGAGGCATGTGGTTCATTGGAGATCGACAACGCTCTAGAGACAGTAAGGAACCTCGAGAAGGAGCTTGAGTCAATAAAACAAACAGCTGAGGACGGGTCACTGAAGGCATTGCCCGGCGAAGATGTGAGTTTTGAATTTGGCCAAGAGGGTTTGTTTACACATCTGCAGCTTCTGATTGGCCAGAACGCCAATAGATAATCTGATTGGCCAGACGCCAATACGTAACAATAGGTCTATTGTATAGTCTAACCAATGGGAATTCAAATGGCCAGTGACGTGCGTCGGGAGATATTGCCTTTTATCGTGAACAAATTAGGAACAATTGACTCATTTTGACCTTTATGTGAAAGCTTTTTATTTCTTCTGCAGGCGCATTTGATAATGCATAGACACAGAGTATTGATTTTACATTTATTCTAATTCTTACATTTTTCTTAAATAATGCAAATATTGTTTTTCAGATTGAGTCATGTGCACTGGAAGTTGGCGCGACTTCAAAAACAGTTGGAGGCTCAATGGCGCAGCTACTTACGGCCGCTGCACAGGTGCATTAGCAAAATCGATCATAAGATCTATATAAATTTGAGTCTTCATTACATTCCACAGGGTGCTTGAACACTCGCTGTTCCTCCAGAATGCCTTCTTGATCTCTTATTCTTCACTGTCCTTGCTCCTTGATTTTTTTAAAAATCATCACTGAAGAAGACCTTAAAGATTCTCTTTATACTGTCATTACCGACAGAATGTCAAAACCCATGCATTCTTTCGCGTTCGCCGTAGTGTCATATTCGAGTTGAAAGTTTCAAAGTAGTATCAACGTTTTTGGCCTTCAACCCCGAACATGGCATGAACTAACATTTTGTCCTTCTCCTTCGCCAGGGCAATGACAGCTACACTGGCATTGCAGCACGTGATACTGCTAGCGCGCTTAAAGTTCTCACCAAGGCAATCCACGGGGTAGCAGCCTCTGCGACGCAGCCTGCCAGTCGACAAGCAATTATCAAAGCAGCACAAGTTGTTATGCATGAATCAGCCAACCTGATTGAAGAAGCGAAAAGAGCTTTGGACAGCCCGAACGATAAAGCAAATCAACAAAGAATGGCCAAGGTGGGCGCCGTAACATGAATTTGTATCATTAGTAGCATTTTCTATCGGCGTTGCTGATTGGCCAAATTTTCTTTTGCTCGAAACAACTTGAAATGTCTTGTTTTACGTTCGCAACACCATACACCAATTCGACTTACGGCCTCATTTTGAAAAATTCTTCAAATTCTTTTGTACAAAATTTTTGACCTCAGATTCTGATTGAGAGCAATGATTTTAATCTACTTCGAAGTTTTCATTCTGGTATTGCTGACGATGTTGATTTTATGACGCCATAAAGATGAAAATTTTATTAATGGATTTGACCGTGATTGGCGACTAGGGGGGGGGGGGGTAAAGTTTCCCCCGGAATGATTTTTGCAGTCAAATCCCTTACAAGTTTTCAAACTTCCATTATCCGTAAAATCTAAAATATAAGCTCAAACAAGATGAAAAATTGTATTCGGCCTAAAATTATGGCGATAAAGCCATATCTGAGCTTAAAAAAATCGTATAATTAAGTTTGGAGAAATTTCCAAAACGAGGTCGTAAGTCGAATAGGTGTATTGAGTCCTAGTCATTTTGAAACAAATCTGTGACTTTGGACTAATTTTCCTATCTGCTTCTGAATACTGGTATCTGCTTACTTTCAGTTATTTTCCGAAGCCTTTACTCTGGGACGAAAAGTCTTTGAGCATGGAACCGCTTTTCCTTGCTACCTTCAAATTCTTTTTATAATGTGAACAACCAATCAATACAAGGGACCAATCAAACGCCTCCTTCTTTCTTTCTCGTCTTTCTTTCATGTTATAGATTTCTACCTCATATTTTTCAAAAGATCTGTACCCCAGACCTGCAAAAAGTTTAAAAAACTATTAATTTTCGCGAAATTTTTGTTTGCTCGAAACAACCTGAAATGCCTGATTATACGTTCCCAACACCATTTTAAAAAAGTTCCTAGTATTTCTGAAAAATTCTGTGACTTTAGACCTCCAAAAATTTCATTCTTTTGATCCACATCTTATAAGTATTATCAGCTTGCCTAAAGCCATTGTTCGAAGCTTATATTCTACGTATTCTCGAACGAAAAATCCTTGAGAATGGACTGTTTCCGTTTTTTCATCTACTTCAAATTTATTTATTTCGTGTAGGTTGCCAAAGGAGTGTCACAGGCTCTCAACAATGTTGTCAACTGTTTGCCAGGACAACGGGATGTTGACGAAGCTATCGAGGGAATCAACAGATCTAGTGCGATTTTGTCAGAGAGCCATCCAAAGGTAAGGATTTAAGTCAGTTACAGCAATCCTCAGTAATCTAATATCCAGTGGCGGATACTTGGGGGGGGGGCAAGGGGGGCGACCGCCCCCAATACTTTAGAGGACAATGGTCTTTTGTTCTAAAACAATGGGAAATGTGACGTCATCTTATTAAAACAATAGGCTTGTCCCCCCAAATTTTGACCAGGTGTCCGCATCTAATTATATCCATAATCTGTTTCCGATTACAAAATCTGAGTTTGGATTAATCCTGCGTCTACAATTAGATAAGTCCCGCGTTTCGAACAGCTCATACGCGGGAACGAGGATGTCACAATACATGTATGAATTTTTGTAGGGGTTTCCATGTGTATTATGTCTGGGAACCCCTCATTTGTGTAGGAGTTCTTCAATAGAAAAGTGCTTCGATGTAACTTAGAAAAAGAAACCGTTTCCACTTCCCTAAAACTTTAAAATCGGTTTCCAGACCACTATAAATCTCCAGAAGGCGGAAATGAGTTCAAAATGAAAATCAGGGGTAGGAAAGGAGATTAACTACGTATCGAACATTTCAAATAAATTGTATTGTTCCATATTGTTTTTATTTTTATTACACAATTCTTGAACAATCTGTGACTTTTTTAGTTCCCAGAAAGCAACCAAGGGTACCAGGAAGTACAGGATCAGCTAAATTACGCTGGAGTGAATCTGAATGCTTCCGCAAGTGAAGTCATTCACGCATCGAGAGGTACAGCTGAAACTCTAGCAAAGGCTTCCGAGAAATTCTCAAAATCATATCAAGATTTCCAGGAAAGAGGACTGATCTTAGCTGGTCAATTAAAGGTATGTAATTTCAATTCCGTTTTTTATAATATATGTATGTGTTGTTATTACTCTACAGCTAATGGGATTTGGTAATTTAACTTACCTTGAAAGCCTATCTTCACGTTTTAGGATTAACGAAGAAGTTTGCTCGAGTTGATTAGTCTTCAATGAACGCTTCCAAAGATTTGGTTTGTCAACCTCGTTGTCCAAACATTGCCTGAATGGATATTCGGCCTTGTGTTATGTCTAAGTGTCCTATCACCTTGAGCCTTTCTGACCTTTAGTACTTCTGACCTTAAATTCCTCTGACCTTTAGCCTTTGACTTTTAGCTTTTATGACCTTTTTGTCTTTCTAACTTTTGCCCAAATGTCAAGTACCTTTTCTGACATGATACCATTACTGCCTTCCAAGGATGTCTTCTTGACCTTTTCCACTGGAGATTTTTTGTCATTTGCTAATTTTTCAGTCACTTTCTCATTTTTTCTCTTTTTTTGGGAATGCTGAGCAACGAGAAATTATTTATGCAGCATCAAATACTCTCTCCAAATTCAGATAACTTCAAGAAAATAAGACCAGATATTTCTTTCAACAGTTCTTTGACAAAGGTATTTTTTTGGTGGTACAAAACTTGAAAATGGCTTTGAAAAAAGCAAACATTTAGTAAACTAAAGCTTTTCGTCTGACTTTCTTCAGAGTTTAAAACGTCAGAACATAGATAAAAACTCTACGCTAGGAAATATATATATATATAGACAAAAGGAGTTCGTTTTCACCTTAGGACTCCATTGGTACATTCTCAATAGGCAAGCGGCACTGATTGGTCAACCTATACAGTCATGTTCTTGTGTTTCTGATTGGCCTATTTCGATCCACAACTGGGTATATATATTTCCTAGCGTAGAATTTTCGAACTATGTTCTGACGTGTTATACTCTGAAAAGTGTCAGATGAAAAGCTTTAGTTTGCTAAATGTTTGCTTTTTTCAAAGCCATTTACAAAGGTAGTTCTTAGTTCTAAAAAGTGTCAATTCTTTCAAGGATCGGGAAAGCCAAGATCAGCTTGTTCAAGATCTCCGCAAAACATCAACTGCCTCTAGCAAATTGCTACTTGCTGCTAAAAGTTTGGCTGCAGACCCAACTGGGCCTAATTCAAAGAATCTTTTGGCAGCTGCAGCCAGGTAAACATTAATTATCTACCATTCAACATTCTGGCGCAATGCATGATTATTTTGCTATTTGGAATAATTATCATAATTTGCCTGCTAATGATTGCGTTGTTAAGGGTACCATAATTCGCAGAACTACCTTAAAATTTCAGTTTTAATTGGTAGTGTTTTTATGCAACAGGGTTAAATTTTGAGTTGGGATTTGCAAGGTGTGGGTGACCAGAGGATTTTATTGTTGCTCAGTTTTGATGCTAATGTGGGGTTAAAATGAGGTATTGCATTATAGGACTTTGGAGTATTGCCTTAAGGGTTGTATCGGGTTTGAAAGAAGCATAGTTGTATGGGATTGGCTAGATGGCATGCAAAATTGTTTGTTTTGGGATGCTGTGAAGGTGTAGGGTGGTATGGAGATTTGATTGTGCTTATTGAAATTGCAGGATGTTTGGGGGTGAGTCAAGGGGAGGGTTTGGGGGTAGAAAGAGAATTTCAAAGTGGCATTGGCATTTGTGATTTTGGTTGAGTTGATCAGAATTTTTATGTCAAGAAAAAAAATGAAAAAGCTAAAAATTTAGAGAAATTAAAAGAATAAAAAATAAAAAGATTAAAAAAAGTAAACAAATAAAAAACCAAAAAAATTAGAAAATGGAAAAAATTAAAAGAAAAATGAAAAAATTAGAAAAATAAAAAAATGAAAAAAGAAATGAAAAAAATTAAAAAAATAAAAAAAGTGAAAAAAAAAAATTAAGGAAAATATTAAAAAAAATATGAGAAAGATTAAAAAATAGAAAAAAAGTAAAAAAATAAGAGAAAATGAAAAATATTGAAAGAAATGAAAATTCTAAAAATTTATGAAAATTAAAAAGAATAAAAAATAAAAAGATTAAAAAAAGTAAACAAATAAAAAACCAAAAAAATTAGATAAATGAAGTGGAAAAATTAAAAAAAAATAAAAAATTAGAAAAATAAAAAAATGAAAAAAGAAATGAAAAAAATTAAAAAAATAAAAAAAGTGAAAAAAAAAAATTAAGGAAAATATTAAAAAAAATATGAGAAAGATTAAAAAATAGAAAAAAAGTAAAAAAATTAGAGAAAATGAAAAATAATGAAAGAAATGAAAAATCTAAAAATTTAGAGAAATTAAAAGAATAAAAAATAAAAAGATTAAAAAAAGTAAACAAATAAAAAACCAAAAAAATTAGAAAATGGAAAAAATTAAAAGAAAAATGAAAAAATTAGAAAAATAAAAAAATGAAAAAAGAAATGAAAAAAATTAAAAAAATAAAAAAAGTGAAAAAAAAATTAAGGAAAATATTAAAAAAAATATGAGAAAGATTAAAAAATAGAAAAAAAATAAAAAATTAGAGAAAATGAAAAATAATGAAAGAAATGAAAAAGTCTCTTGATAATGGCATGTCATACACAAATAAGATAAGGCATGTCATGCAGGTTTAGTTTTAGAGATTAAAATCAAAAGTGGCGATCCACGATATCACAGTATTTGATTACCATGTTCTCTATTTATAATGTATATTAGTAAATTAATTGTTCTTTATTTCCAGGGGCGTGACAGACGCAATCAATGGTTTGCTAAATGCTTGCATGACTGCGGCTCCAGGCCAGAAAGAATGCGATTCTGCCGTCAGAAACGTCCAGGTTTGTGTTTTCACCATCGAAAACTTTGTCCCGCGTTGATTGCTAGTTTGTATGATTGCTTCTGTCACAACTGACAGTAAAAGGACAGTTAAACTTATCCAGATATTAAAATACATTAATGAAACGTCGGATCATTCAAAATTTCAATGTAAAAGAAAATCTTCACTTTTTTGGTGCCAATCCGTTCCTTTTCCTGATGTCCACCCCACCCTTTCCCTGGCGATAATCCAACTCTTACATCCCTTGTCTTAAGTCCATCCCCCCACTTTCTAGGCACCCATCCATCCTGTTCTTGTAGTCCATCCTTCCCTTTTCTTGAAATCCATCCCTCCCCTTCGTGTAGTTCTTCCTCCTCCCCTTATTTCCCCCTCCCTTTTCTAATAGCCCATCTCTCATTTTCCAATTTCTAATTACCCACTTCCCCTTCTCTTGTACTTCATCCCTCTATCTTTTCTGTCAACCCTCCAATATTTATAGTCCCTACCCATCCTGTATATCTGTTTCATTTGGTAGCAATATTTCGATAAAGTCCGTCACAACCACCTCTGTCTCTTGTTTCATAGTCAATCGCCAACGTCCTTGACAACCCTGTTGAGCCAGTCAATGACGCAACCTTCTTCAACTGCCTGGATACAGCCACTGCGAAGACGCAGCTGCTAACAAAGTCGATGACTGATATTGCGTCATCACTGAAGAAAGAAGACCGAGATACATTCAAAGGAGCAGTTGGCCAGGCGTCTGACGCTGTGTGCGCTTTGACTGAATCCGCTGCGCAGGTAAGTGCCTTGTATTCGTGTCGATTGGCCTACAAAACAAAACTGTTGAATCAAATGCCAAAACACAAGCTCGCTGGCAAGCAATTATAGTCAAGCATGTAACCCCGTCCTTTACCCATTCATTGCTAGAATATATGTATTTTAATAGCAGATATATCCATATTGAATCAGGGGGGAGGGGTGTATGCGATTTCTAAACATTTCTTTACCAGATTGCCCACTTGCCGTATATTTGGTAAATGGGTTCCCAAAATCTAAAATCTTTCGTCTAAAGTTTGATTTTTTGAAACAATTCAGTGATGTTGGATGGGAAGACAAATTGCGATAGTCTAAGCACCAATCTTCCAAAGATGTCGTGATTTTTATGTACTTAAATGGATTAGTGAGAAAAAATCGTTTTAAGTTAAAGGTCTAAATGTTCCACGCCTTATCTTATATCGAAAGGTCAGATGTCTCAAGCCTGCATTAGGCTGTAAAGCTCAAAGCCCATTTCTGGCTTGAGTTAAAACTCAGTTTATCCTGAATGTTTTGGTAAAGTATCTTAAAACTTGAAATTTTCAAATGTAAATTTATTTCAAGACCGGCTAATGTTGGTAGGAGCAGTTTTTTGAAGAAATTTAGGCAATTCATGATTTTTTACAGCCTAAGCTCAAATATAACCCTTCTTTGGCATTTAGGTTTCTTTCTTTACTGGAAACCTGGCAGGTCAAACTCTTATAACACTTCTTTATTGTTGTTGATTGACAGGTTTTTAACCAATCAGATTACTGAGATTTCTCATAGCTAGTAGTCACGTTTCAAGATTCGAAATCGTCCTAGTGCCCCAAGACTGCCCGAGGATTTTCAATGTCTGTCTTAAGGTTTATACCTTTAATAATTTATTAAACCAGAGGATCTAAGGAATAAGGCGGGCAAAGAAGAAAGTAAGCAGCTTTGGTTGATAGCGCGTTTAGGCCTTTTCAAATCTAACATTTTCAGTTTTTGTTAGACCAAGAAAGATGGAGCAATTATTTACAGAATATATTGCATTAAAAGAGGAATTTGAGTCACCACCTTGAAATAATTCGATGAGAAGGCAAATTTCAAAATTTGGAACATGAGGGAGTTACCATTTCACAAAAACTGATCAGAGAATTTTATCTAGCCAAATATTCTCTTGTTAGTTTACCATTTTTTTATTGATTCGTGGCAAAGTCTGATCTAACCAGAACATCACTTTGACAAGAATTATTGGCGTGGTTCATATTGCGATTGATGCTACGATCGACCCCCCTCCCCCGTCCAGCGCAATTCGTAAAAAGGGGAAGCGATGTATGTGTAGGTGGCACGACTTAGAGCTTGGACTTGAAAACCTGATCGTCTTTCTATCTAGCAGTTTTGGAATCGATCTATATACAAACGAAAATTGTGTAGACAGGAGTTCGTTTTCTCTCTTGGACTCCATTGGTAATTTTTCTTTAGGCACGCTGCACTGATTGGTCAACTATACCAGTCTTGTGCTTGCGTTTTTAAGATAATTGTTGTTAAGATGAAAAGAAACTTGTGATTTCTTTTAGGCCGCTTATCTTGTTGCCATAGCTGATCCTTCAAGCACGGCTGGCCGACAAGGCCTAGTCGACCAATCGCAGTTCCAGCAAGCAAAGGACGCCATTGCATCGGCTGTTGAAGGTTTGGTTCACCCGAAGAATACTCAGCAACAGGTAGGGCTTATGTTATATTTATCGAAGAGTAAAAAGTGTATTTCTCTTACAGAAAAACTTTTCTCTTTGAAAAACAGTTAAAAAATGCAAAAAAAATTTTATTGTATCATGTTAAAATGCCATTTCATTCAGCCAAAGCATCTTCGAATAATTCGCCCAAAAGTTTATGTTGTTTAAATTGATAACGAGGCAATTCATATTGATCACGAGACTTGAATATTGATTACGAGACAGTTTATATTGATTAGGAGACTATTTTCCCTAACTGCTCTAGAGAAACAAACTTTAAGAATTTTAACTGTTGCAAAAATCGAGCGAAAATTTATCACTTAAATGAGCGAAATTGACAATTTTTGTCCCTTTCCAAGAGGGATATATTATGTTTAATTGTCTGATAGTAAGTTTGCAATTACAATAGGAATTTTATCTATACAGCTTGTTTTTAAAATTTTCAAATATAAAAGTTATTCAATTATAATATAAATTATAATACAATATAAAATTTGAATGTAAATTTATTTCGAAATAAGATGAATTTAAGTTTGGTTCCACTTCAAAAGGAGTTATGACGGAAAAGCAAATCGCACTCATGTATGTTTTTCTAACAAAGAATACAATAAAAAGCATGTCTGGAAGGCAAAGGAACCTTTTCAAGAGAATTTTGATCGACAGTAACTTAGATGTGATAAGAGTCTTTGGTTAAATCAACATTTTAAATCTTTGCGATCACAATCCTCTTCATACTTTGAGATTCGAAGTGAAAAGAGAGCTTTTGTGTACATAAATGTGATTGGTGTCTTCAAGTAGACAGATTTCGAAAAACGTACTGATGAAATGCCTAAGTTTCCAATGATTCAAGATTGTTAGGCTTTTATTCGCTCCTTATCAACTCTTTTACGTTCGTTTTCGAAATCATGAAATTAATATTTCCAATAATTATAAGATTTGAAAACTGAGTAAATCACTTTTGCGGCGGGCGTATAATGAAGTGTTTATTTCGTCATGACCTCTGGCACTGAATCTTGATCTTTGACATTTGACCTTCAATCTTTTAACTTCAATATTTGACCTTTTGATCTTTGACCTTCAGCTTGCAAAAAATATTTATGTTAAGGTAAATATAGATAAATAAAAAAATAAACAAGTAAATAAATGTATAAAATAATGCTGTTTTCTTGAATTTAAAAGGGTGCTGGAAACAAAAGCCTTTTAAAAGTGAGTAGAAAGATAAATATTAAATAAACTCATAAACTTGTTTGAAAAATAAACAATTGACTATAACCTTGAATGCTTAAATTTTATCATAATCAAATTTGATATTAATTCAACGTTAAAACTTAATTCATTTAAAATCACAGTAAAACATATTTTCAAATGTCGCTTTATTGTTACTATTCCTCGCCGTTTGCATTAAAGATCATATTAACTAAACTTTTAATTTCAAATTAATTTTTTTAATGTTCTGCTCTCTGAATAGCAACTTTCAAATTATAATACTCCTTAAAACGAATCAATATCAATTTCAATATTAACTAATCTTGGAATTCATTTTAATTTTCTACTTTCTAAACATTTACATCCCAAATATAATACTGCTTAACACAAATTTAAATGTTTTATCCAAATATTTAAGCGGTAATTGATAGATAGGATTTTTTAACGTAGCATAACGTGCTTGATATAACCTTTAATTTAAAAAAAATTATTCAAATTCAACTTTGTTTCAAATTAAAGTCAATAGCATATTTGTTTTGCACTTTGCAAGGTTAAAATATTAAATAAATTTACTCGTTCTGGTAACTAACCTGATATTGAAATAAGATTCAAAGTTCTAATATTGGAATAAGACATTCTAATATTCCGTGTTGCTGGTTATGAGGTAAACAAGAGAGTTGTCGATGAGGCGAGTGGCTTTGTCCAAAAACCTATCTTCATGGCGAAAACAACGATTTCTTGTTTTTCTAAGTGTGGCGATTTGATGACATCATCAAAATAGTTTTTTAAGAATACTTGGATCTTGAACATATAGCCCTAAATAAAAAAGAGTACCTCTAAATTTGCCAAATCAATTGGATCTGTTACAAATTGCCTGAGATATGGTCCCATGAGTACAGGCTTATTTCAAATCAACTACTGTAATTGGGACCTGGTTCTTAAACTTGCGAACAAAGATGAAATTACAGAAATTCTTTAGCAAACTTTAAATTAATCTTTGACTCTATCTCAGTTTTTGAACATGTAACAGATTTAGCTGGTTGAAAAAAGGGAGTATTTCACCATAGTCTTTCTGCTCATGTGATAAAAGTCGAAAAATTCTAAAAATAGATTTTATGACGTCATCACTTTGCTACTGTATTCCCTTTAAAACATAAGTTCCTGTATCGGTTAGTGCTTTTTTAGAAGTCCCTTTAAAATAGCGATATGCTTCCAAACAGGTACTCTCTGCCGCTACTGTCATTGCGAAGCACACCTCTGGCTTGTGCAATGCATGTAAAGTTGCCTCTGCGAAGACTGAAAACCCTGTAGCTAAGCGACATTTTGTACAAGCGGCTAAGGACGTTGCAAACAACACAGCTCTGCTTGTCAAATTCATTAAGGTAAACTCTTTTATATGATAAATATATTACTTCTGAATCTCTTGTGAATTGTTGAATGTTTCTTCTGGGAAAAGTCTGTGAATTCCAGGAATTTTCTGAAACATGTGTTAAGATGTTTAGAGAAGATACAAGGGGGAAAATCTCTAAAAGGGGGCGATTCTACTACCTAGGGGGGTGTCGCACTTGAAAATGTTTATGATATATATTGATGTATTGATGAAACTATGGAAATATTCCCTGAACGGTGTCAAATCAAAGTTTAAAAATTGATTTTTTAAAGCTTTTTTTAAATTCTGTTCCGCCAATATTTTTCATGACCTAGGCCTATGCTGGTGATCTCTCAGACGTGAATCGAAACCAATGTCACGAGGGTGGTAAACCATTGTTAGAAGCTGTCGAAAACCTCGTAAGCTACGCAAGTTCGCCAGAATTCGCTAGAGTTCCAGCCAAGATCAGCGCCGAGGTAGATTCACGTATTATTCAACCAAATTAAGAAACATATCGCTTTGAAGTTTTGCAAAGTTTTAGTGTTCAATCGAAAGGCGTTGTTTTCGAAAACATAAGGCAGAGCTGTTGAGACAAATCCTTGAACACGTGCCCAGTAGCATGATTGTGTTGTCCAGCATCTACACTTCTCCTCAATTCAAAATTGGATCATATGTATTTGAGTAGCACGGATATCGACACTAAACTGGATGAAGGGGGTATGAAATCCCAACACCGTCTGTCCGGGATGAAAGGCGACATTTTCAAGAGATTTCTCAGGCAATGATTAAATAGGCCCTAACTATATTTTCAAGCTGCCGTGAAATGTAAACGGTTTGTTGGAAGGACCCATTCGCGGAAGAACAAAGAAACCCAATATTACAATAATTTTAAATGAATGTATTATGTCCACATGTTGTAGAACAACGATTCTTCTTTTAGGTGAAATGCACATTAAAGTTGTGAAAATACAAATTCTTTTTCTTCTTCGCATAAATATTATATTTTGTTTGCTTAGGCCCGCTCGGCCCAGTTCCCTCTCATAATGGCGGGAAAATCCATGGTAACTTCAAGTTCAAACTACTTCAACACTGCAAAACTATTGGCAGCCAACAGCAAGGATCAGAGTACTTGGCAACTGTTTGCGCAACACTCAAAAGCTGTTGCTGATGCCATGAAAAAGATTGTTACTGCCATCAAGTGAGTTACTTCAGCACATTACTTCATATCATGATTGCATGACCCATGCTTGCGTTCATCCATTACCAAGAACCAAGAACGTGGGAACATCAACCGGTGGGGGGAGAGGGGTTGCAAGCAAACTGTCCATCTTCCCTCTGGCCAATGACTTTTAGAAGCTCTTAAAGCTCTTGAAGCTCTTAAAACTTTTAGAAGCTTTAAATCTTTCTCAGAATAGCAATTAATACAGGACGGGGTTTTGCTTGGGCCCTTTCTGTTCTTTTCACAGCTTTCAGTCCCATAGCTGTTGAACATGTGACAATGGTATTTCTTGGTACTTCACTAATACTTCGTTTGAAGTTGCCTTGGAGAATCTTTTCTCCTCCTATAAACAATATTGGTTTGCTACATAGAACATAAAATGCCAGTAAACATGCTTTTCGTGTGGCTGCCAGCTACTTCAAAACTTTAACTTTTAATACAGCTGTTATATTTAAAAAGTGGGCCATATTTTCCAAAAACGGTACCCATAATTCTGCATGTTTTTTCAAGTGATCCGCACACATTTCAAAAAATGATACCGGTAATTCTGCAGTTTTCAGAAAAAGGTTACCCCTAACTAGCAGCACGTCCCCGTCCCTTCAAACATGTTAAGGTAGCCCCCCCTCCACGAGCTTTGAAGTGATGGTCCATTGTACATTTATCACGTTTAATGTTTTTAAAACTTGGCCTGTATCATATACAAATATTGTTCTGATCTCAGATTAACGCACCTGAAACTGTAAAATATTTAACCGGACGCAAGCAACATTGTAAATAGATTTCTTTGATGCAACACTGTGAATAATTGTCTGAGAACTTCAAGTAAATTATTTACCGCCTAGGGAAAATGCTCCTGGACAACACGAATGTGACGAATCCGCTGCCAGTGTGGATCAAAGTATCAACAGAATCGATGCGGCCTACCTGTCCGCCATTAGTCAGCATCTACAACCAAGCACTGAAGGAACCCTCAAGGTATTTCAAAATTACTTATTTGGTCCCTTGGGCTATTAATTTTGCTATCCCCGCAGAATTAGGCTCCCTTTCTGAATGAGACTAACTACAATATCAAGTCCCTTGATACAACAATTAATATCATATGGGATTTGTCTTTGCCTCTTCGGATGAAAAATAAATTGTAGTCGATGCTGCAAAAGTTAACGCTCGGCTGACTTTTACAGATAAGCTTTTAGGAAACTCTATCCCTTGAGACAGAAAAACGCCACAATCTGTTCCCAACGGGATTAGACCCTGTATAGGCCGTAAAAATTCTATGTCAATTGTATAATACCTTTCAGCCTGAATTGCACCCAAACTTCCTGTGGCACATTCCCCCCCTCCCCGATTTTTTTTCATTTTCTGGAAACTACTAAAGAAATTTCAAAATCAGTTTTTGATTTCAACATTTAGAGATTCGCAAGAGAAAATTTTTGTTAAAATTTATTCTCTCTTCTAAGTTATATGCCCGTTAAAAAGATTTGTTCAAGGCATGATACCGTCCTGTAAATGCAAGCTCTTCTTGTGCTGTAATGATCTGTCTGTTATTTAACTTTTCTGCTTATTAAAAGGAAACGTTTTTGGCATTATGTTAATGGATTGTATATTTTAAGAAACCAATTCGCTCAGAAAGCTGCTTAGGTCTCCTAAAAATTTCCTGTTTGATTGAACCGTTTTTTCAACCAGAAAGGAAATTTCTTTTTCTTAGGCCATAAAATTTTAAAGTCATGTTAATCTAGGAAATCTTCTCGTAGCTTCTGACCTTGTGGTACTCCTCAATGTTGTCAAAGCCCTCTTCATATTTAAGCTGTAAATCTTAAAATGTAGTTGCATGCTTATAATTTCAATCACTGGTCAGGTAATTTGATGTTTTGTGTGTAATTTCTTCACAGGGATTCGAAGAGAGAATTATGTTGACTTGTGCGCAGTTACGCGAAGGAGTTACCCCCGCAGCGGTTGCAGCGAAGTCAGAACCAGAGCATCTTGGTCACAAGGTAACGCAGTTTTAACAGAAAATAATAATTTTGTTGTTTACCTCTGTTTAAGATTCCATAAATTTTAGGGCTTTTTTACTTTTTTAAAGTTTTATGACATCATCATTTGAAAACGATTCGTATCAGTGTGAGATAATAGTCAATTTCTTGACTTTTGACCTGTAGCCCTCCGCCTTTTTTCACTTTGACCTTTGATCTTTTTTATGTTGACCTAATGCACTTTGTCCTTTGTCGCTATAAAAATTTGTTGTTTTCAGGTGGCCTACATCGCCAATTTGATCTCACCGTTAGCCGAGGCTGCAATCGGCTTCGCATCAAAACTCACTGGAGGAGCAGAGAAACAAACTGAGATTCTTGATAAGACGAAAACAGTTGCTGAGTCCGCTTCTCAGCTTATTTATGCTGCAAAGGAGTCAGGCGGAAATCCAAAGGTAGCTTCATCAAATTTTCATCACACATTTCAGTGAATGCTGCATACGTGTACAGCGGCCTTATGAGGCTACGTGGGAAAATTCCTAAGGAAATTTTAGGTTAAGATTGGTTTGTCAGCATTTCTACACAAGATATATCAATGTCACTTCATTCTGTCAAAGTTGGCGGACTCTTTTGTAGGGTTGAATAGACCACTCCAAACTTTTGGGTCTATTGTATTAAATAGATTATTTGAATATCAAGGAAAATTATCTACAATTACGGAAAATAGCAAAAAAAATTTTGTTGTCCCAAGCTTCACCTCCATCCTTCTCCCATATTTTCTCTAATCTCTCCCCCAGATTTTACCTCATATCTCCTCCCTTGTCTCCCCTCATCTCTCCTCCCTGACCTCTGCTTATCCCCCGGATCTCTCTTCATCTCTTCTCAAAAGTTCCCCTCATCTCGCCCCTTAGATCTCTCCTTCCACCCCTTCCCAACCCTCTCCGATCCCCTAACATCTTTCCCTCCCACCCCTTCCCATCCCTCTCCGCTCCCTTGCCATCTCTCCCTCCCCTCTTGCTCCCCACAATCAGACTGCTTTATGTAATTCCCTATTTACACTTTCACGGACAAAGCTCATTCTCTGCTTCGACTTCAAAGCCCATTCACCCTGAACAATACCCGTTTTACTGCATTAAATATCGAATCTCGCTTTTGCTTTCACTTTTATGTATTTCGACTAGGCCGCTCCGCAATTACATTCCGCTGTCGATGAATCTGCGAATAACTTAACCGAGGCTATCAATGACCTCACGAGGCAACTTGAAGAGATTGCTGGAGATACTGGTGTTGTTGCTGTTCTTGTTGACTCTATCAACAAAGCTGTGGCGAGGGTAAGTGTGTGTTCATTACAATCATCCCCCCGTTCTCGTATTAAAACGTGAACGTAGCCTAATATCAGTTTATTTCAGAACGGGAGGTTGACTCATTCAACATAAACTTTTGTCTGTCCAAATTAAAATTTGGCATATTTCTTCTTGACTGCTTTGTAAGTATTCGGAATCTTCATTTTCCAACATTTCACATCATACTAAAAGCTTTTTTTCAGACGAAAAACATTTTAGAATATTATAGAATTTTGGCTTCTTTTAATGCCATTTTAATATATACGTAATATATCAAGGTACCGAAATAAGCATTCGTAGTATTTGAGGATGGTGTTAAGTGTGAAACTCAGGGTCGCAACTTAGACCTGTCCCCTTCTCAAGGGTTCTGTCCTAAACAGTTAGAAAATAGGAACTCTGCTGTAGAAGCCACACCCACGACCACGCCCATTGTCACACCCTATATATTTGCATTTGTGCTAAATACTCAAAAAAATACTCAAAGGCTCAAAAAAATTGCTAATTGTAAATCAATGGTAAATCAATATGATGAAGTGTTTTTTCATGTTACCGAGATTTTGCCCAACAAATCATATACTGGCCGTCGTTAAGGGGGGCTGATCCCCCCCAAATTTTCTCTTAATGGGGGCTTATCCCCCCAAACAATTATAGTTTTTGCATTTTCCTTGAAAGCGTTAAGTAGAGGTTTCTTCAGTGGAGTTTAAGTAAGATCTATTCTTTGCTCTCCTCGCATTGTCAGGAGACAGAAAAATTCAGTCACAACAGTAAATTTCTCTAACTTAATATACTCTTGTGAGGTTGAACATGGCCTTCCTCAAAACTGCTGCATCGCTGGATAGCCTTCCTCCGGCTCACAGCCATGGAACCGACACATTTCCTGGACCCTGGACTGCATCTCACAACATTTTTTTAAAATCTGTTTACTTTTCAGGTTGAGATGTACATGCATTACGATCCAAGCCAGGACAACCAGCCCAAAGAATCTTTTGTCGAATGCCAGGATAGTATGGTGAAGGATCTGAAGGCGATTGCGCGACTCAGCCAGGACATGGTGGGTAAAGGGGCCGTCATACAATTTTGGATAGTATAAATCTCAAACCACGCTCTCAACGTCAATTCAATTCAACTCAGTCCAATTCATAAAGATTCAAGACAGTGGCGGACACCTGGTGGCGGTCGCCCCCCCCCCCAATATTTATGAAGAAAATAGTCTTTTGTTCTAAGACAATCGACAAATTTGACATAATCTTATCAAAATAATAGGCTTGCCTCCTCTACCCCCATCATTAACCAAGTGGCGGCCACTGATTAAAGATTAATTAAAATCCACAAAGTAGTGTACTTATAAAGAAAATGCGTCGGAAAGTTCATTAAGCTATCACTAAATTATTTTTAGTGAATCAGTTTAGCTTGAGATTCGTTTCGATAGAAAGTGATTGTTCACACATTCAGATTTTTATTTATCATTAGTATAAAAGTAAGAGTAGCCGAAGAATGAAAGAATTTTCAATCACAATATTTGGAATTGTGTTTGGAAAACGAGGGGCGACGCAAAAAGCAGTTCAACTCGTGTCTATTAGATCGGAGATCGGAGTAAAACTAGTTCAATGTTTGGGAAATGTAATTGGACATTAGCCCATGGTTTTTGGTCTATTTTAGTTATCTAACTCATTAAGTACTGTCAGAAATGTACTTCTAACAAGTTTAAAATTATTTCTTTGTTTCATATTTTTAATTTGGTTTAATCTGATTGATAGGGGGTTTTTGAACCTACTAACTACAAAGGGAGCAATTGACCCTCTATATCTTGCTCATTTTTTACACGATTGAATGATGCCCCCTCCCCTAATAAGAGCAAACCCATCAACCCTGCCCCCTCCCTCCCAGCCGAAAACCCTTAGAGAAGACTATGTCAGCCATCCTGTATGGTTTAAATGAACCTTCGTAGGTTGGAAGAAGCAGCTCAAAGCCAGAGGCCCTTGGAGGCTTGGGCCAAGAGATCTGTAAGCAGTATAATAGATTGGCTGACAATGCAAGGAAAGCGGCTACTGCGACAACCAATGAAGAGGTATTTCTTATACATTGATGTTCTGTTCTGTGTTTTACACCAGGTTTCATTGTAGCTTAGCTGTGAAATGGCGAGAACTCGAAGTCAATGCAAATGATCAACTGAAAAATATGGTATTCTCGACACAGATTTCGTCATATCTTTGTTTTTTATACAAGTGGGCCTAAACGACATTGAGAGCAAAAATGGCTCGTTTTTCATCTAGGGGTTCTTAGTAAACGGCAAGGTTTAAGTTATCAAAGGATCGCCTGTCGGTATCCCCTTTCAGTGACAGTGTTCTGCTTAAACCTTTACATCTTGTCGATTGAATTACGAATTTTAATTGTGTTATTTTGAAGAGCTGTTTTGAAGACTAGTAAGTAAACAATCGTGTCTCTTTATAAGAACTATTGCGAGAACTACCCCTGGTATGATAAAATTTGCTCGAAGCAGCGTGATTCTGATCAACTGACAGATTTTGAAACGCTTCTGAAAGTAATAAGTAGACAGAAGTTTTCTCAATGTGCCTAATTTGGTGCTGTTTTTGTTATCACTACTTCATTTAGGGTAATACTTTGCTCCTGTTCGCATACCTGTCCTAGATGTTTGGTTCGTCCACCGCTGTTTATTTAGCATAAAACTGATAATGAAGCTTGACATTTACGACGAATTCAAAGCCCTTATATCATTTTATATTGATGACTTTTTCCTACAGATCGCCAAACGGTTGAAGGACAGTGTGCAAGGTCTTGGGCAGTCACTAACGGTATTGGTGCAAACAGCTGGAAATATCCAGGCCAATCCAAGCGATCCATTTGCCAAACGAGAGTTGTCAGAGAATGCCAAGAAGGTAGCAGAAAAGGTGCGTATTTCTTCAAAAGCTGGAATTTTAGAGAATTTTAGTTGCTAGTGTCAAAGGCTGATTTTGTGAAATGGGTTCAGACATAGAGTATTGGATGAAGACAAGAAGTGCCAACTGGTGTAGATGATAGTAAGATAGACTGAACAGGCACCGCGGAAAATGGGGGCTAGGAGGGCTTTAGCTCCTCCCCTCACTTTTTCTCAAAATGCAAAAATTAACAATGCATCACCAGTCAAACCTCTTTTCATTCGGTTTAAGCCCCCTCACCCCCACTTTTTAAGATCCCTCCCCCGCGTTTCTCAATGCTCCGCGGTGCCTCCTGAAATGAAATTAAAGTAAAATGTTTGTACTTATAGCACACTGAGAAGAGAATGATCCGCAAATCTAATCAGATTTTCACTGCGCACTAGCCTTGGAAGGAAAAGTTGTCACATCACTGGATTTGTTTATTCGAAATTGATTGATACCCATCGAGGCAAGGCTTACGGTTAATCTAAGGACAGAGTGGACACGTTCCATCGATCACTTCCTGGTCTTGATGTTTGATTTTGGAGCATGGGAAAAAATTTCTCCTAAAATCTCAAATTTTCCAATCTGATGGAAGCATATTAAAGACGCGAACCATTCTTTTAGCCAGTTTTTTCTCTGGAAATCAACCTTCCTTTCTCTTTTTGCAAGGTATCATTTGTCATGGCAACGCTGCAAGCAGGTTCCATTGGCACCCAGGAATGCATTAACGCAGCCTCAGCATTGCAAGGCATGCTGGGTGATCTAGAAACCAATGTAATGTTTGCACAAGCGGGAACTTTGAACCCAGATGACGATGGCGAAACATTCGGTGACCATAGGGAGTCTATACTGAAAACAGCGAAGAACCTTGTTGAGGATACCAAGAATTTGGTTGTTTCGGCACAGGGAAGCCAAGAGCAGCTTGCGACATCGACTCAAAATGTTCTGTCGAGTATGAATAAGTTATTGGAGAATGTTAAGTTTGGAGCCATTGCTTTAGGGTCGGATGACATGGAAGCACAAGTAAGTTGGAATGTTTCATCGTCATTGTTTGATTGGTTCTTAAAGACATTGAGTCATGATAAAATGGACTGGGTATACCCTAAGTGCCAAAATCCGCTGAGTCATGATTTCATGACTGCGATGCTATTGGTTGACCTGGAACTGGTCACATGAACTCACCTCGTACTGATTGACAACACAGTTTCCATCAATAGCAAGTTGTCAACAATGGATGCCAATATCACATGAAATAGCAGCGATCACGCCAAAACCAAATGACCCCTATAGAGAAGGCCTATTTACCTTGACTCAAGGCCTTTATTAAATCATGAGTTTTTAAAGGCACTTTGTCCCGTCTGTCAACGATTCAGAGTTAACAATAGATTATGCGGTGAATTTATGGCTGATAAAACCTTGAGAATGAGTCTTGCGTTTACGATTTGATACGTAACAATAGTTCTATTGTGTAGTCCAGCCAATAGGATATTAAATCGCCATCAGAGTGCTTCGGGACACAGTGCTGTTACGTTTGAGTAGCCAAAAATAAATTATTTCACAAGTCTTGTTTAAATTTCATTAATTTTTCTCAGCATTGGACTATTGAAGCCTTTTGAATATAGATTGACTCTCATAGCCTCTTTCATAGGAATAAGGAAATTTGCTAAAACGAGTCCATTTCTGTTTGTGGCCTACTTCTGTTTGGTTATATCAGCATTCGATTTTCCCTTGTGGTTTTCAACATTTTCAATCACTTCTTTGAAAGATACCAATGATGTTTGGATTGCATCTTGGAAAATATTCGTTTTAGCCCGATTTTAGCTCTAATTCTATATATATATATATAAAGAGGAAGATTTGCAAAGTTCATTCTTGCTAATGATTTGGCCTAAGCTGAAACGAGTCTCTACAATAACACACTGCCAAAACGAACCTATCACTTGATTGACAACTTCATTGCCTCCTTTTCAGGTTATGCTTCTGAACGCGGCTAAAGATGTGACGTCAGCATTGAATGATCTCATCAATTCAACAAAGAATGCTTCTGGTAAAAGTCCGAATGATCCTTCAATGGATGCTTTGAAAAGCTCTGCAAAGGTAATCGAAATCAGCCTGTTAATTTATTCTGTTTAATTCTGCATAAATTCGCCCATCAAAGAAAATTGCTCCAAACATTGATAACTCTTTCAGAACTTAGCTTTTTAATTCAAACTATCGCTTGCTGATTGACATATAGTCTTTTCCCTCACTACCATCTGTAACAGCTATGTCGTTGCATATATTTGCATGAATTCTGTATAATTTATGCATAATATCTGGCTATGATTTTATAGAATAAGCGTAATATATACATAAATTGTGCATACTTAATCCCTGTTCTGCATAATTTTTGCATGAATAATGCACGTATTTTCATTGGAAAAGCATAACTATGCATATTTAATACAACTTTCTGCATAATTTACGCATGACTCTCGCTTTTGCAGACGATGGTTACCAATGTTTCATCACTGCTAAAGACGGTTCGTAGTGTGGAAGACGAGGCACAGAGAGGCCTGAGAGCAATTGAATCAACTGTCGATGCTGTCAAACAAGCAGTCATTGTAAGTTGCCGTTCAATGGTTTATCACATTTCGAATTTTTGTTGTACCTAACAAGAATGGGGCATTTAAAAGCTCTTGCGCAACCGGAATGCTTCGCGGCAGTTTTCTTGAGAAATTGACTGTGTTTTGTATTTTCATGTAGTACGATGTTAGGCCGTTTCTTTGAATTATAGTCGCAAAGCATGCCGGTTGCGCAAAAGCCATTAATGCATCAACGCAATTTTTTCCCAACAACTTCATGCAGCAACATTTTTTCAATTTCTAATGCACTTTAACCATATCACTAAATTAGTTTGACTGCATCACGAACCGAATTGAATATCGACTGGGTCTGTGTAGCATGTTTGCTTTTCTTATCCCGTCGTGTGACTCATAAGTAAGTGGAAGCCACATATTGTGGAGTGACTCAGTGATGTTGTTTTTACTGAAGACTAAAATCTATGACGGACAACAGACAGCGTGGTTTATTTCTTAAGCCCACTAAAAAATGGTAGACAGAAAGTTTAAGGTGGTAAGAAAGATCAGTTAAGGAGGCTGATTAATCAAGGTAGTAGGAAAGATCAGTTAAGGAGGCTGAATAATACATTTCCATTTATTGATCATAAGGAGCGGAAATTGCATATCTCAGTTTTCGAGAATTTTGTCTATGTGTATGATTAATAAGGTAAAACGTATTCTTTGTATTTAGGTTCTTCAAGCCGAAGCTGAGCCAGAACGAAAAGCCACTCCGGAGGAGCTTATAAGGTCAACAAAAGGCGTTACCTTGGCAACTGCAAAAGCTGTTGCTGCTGGCAACTCTGGTAAACAAGCTGACATTGTACAAGCAGCGAATGTTGGAAGAAAAGCTTGCACAGAAATGCTTATCATTTGCAAGGTATACAGTGACACCCTGATTACATTTTGTCTCTGCGTTAAAAGCAATTAAGAATCAGTGTGTGTTAGGGGGGCTTTTCAGGAATCTGTTTACAATTTAGTTGCAATCCACCCCCTGCCAAGTCTTCAATGCATATTCATAGCCTATGCTATGCTAGTTTTCCAGGAGGTGTTCATTGTAATTTTTTCTACTTTTGATTATGAAATGTTATTTTAGCACTAGTATTGTCGTTTTTAAGGCTGCTGCCGCCACCGCAGAATCTGCTGATATCCGCTACGCAGCTATCATCAAAGGTAGAGAATGTGCGCAGGCGTATTGCAATGTCCTGGATCATGTTCAATCGGTAAGGCCTACTATCTACTGGAGTTTTTAATTTTATGTACTAAATATACTTTTCCATTGAAAGATTCGAGTTTCAATACATGCAAAAAACGATGCATTGAAGTTTACATTGCCTGCTTCAGAGAAATTGAAATACGAACGCCATTTTTAGAATTTTTGAATTTTGATCCTACAACCTGAGAAAACATATTGAAATACCTCTGAATGTGGAATATCAGCTCAGTTTACAAGAAGTTGACTGAGATTTGGCCAATTGCGCACTGGCTTCTTTCCACATCAAACCTCTGTAGCCTGGTCTCTGTTCATAACTTTGTCTTTGATTGGCGATATCTCACTCAATTGATAACAGATTTTGGATATTTTGAAGTTCTTCTCAAATCACGATTTGCGAATCGTATTTTAACCTTGATTGGAACCCTTATAAATAAATAGTCTTTACTTTTACAACATTAGCGTCTTTTCAAATCATTGAATAAGCAAATTTGTGATTGCGATTCATGATAAGCGATTTGTGATTTGTTGATCAAAACCCTTTATGATTAGTGATTCATGATGCTTTGATTCTTATCGATTGTCTCGCCGTTATCTTTGCCACAGATCGTTCAACATCCAACACAGCAGAAGAAAGTCCAACTCACAATCCACTCAAAGAAAGTCGCTGATACGGTAACCGATCTCGTCAAAGTTGCTGAAGAACTCAAAGGTAAACAATTGCTTCACGGTTTACAATTTGAAAATGACTTTGAAAATAGAAAACGTACCCAGTTTTTTCGTCCTACACAATACACGCCTCAACGTTCCTCCGTGTGAATTTTCGCACTATTTACTTTCCTCAAAATGTTCCTTGTATCCTTTAAGTAAAGGTTCCTTGAAATTGAATTCAAGTAAAATTTATTGTTTGCTCTACTCGCATTGTCAGGAGAAAGAAAAGTTCAATCACAGCAGTAAATTCCTACTACTTTATAAAATCTTGTGAGGTTGAACATGGCCTTCCTCAAAACTACTTCATCGTTGGATAGCCTTCCCCCGGCTCACAGCCGTGGAACCGTCATGTTTCCTGGACCCGGCTTCAGAGCATAAAACGTCAGAGCAATGATCGAAAACTCGAAGAACTATATACACCCAGTCATGAATCAAAATTGAACCTCAATAGTCAAGTGCCTTTCTTTACTGACTAGACAAATTACAGCTTCCACTCATCCTTCCTCCCTAGATCTTGTAAACTTTTGAAGGTTCCACACACTTCCAGCTTCCCAGAAACTTTTGACTTGTCTCCTTTCAAAGCTAAAGTCAACAAACTTCATCTACCCTCCCTCTTATCCAAACCTCTCCCTTCTTTCCCTTGGAAGGGTTTCGCTTTAAGCTCCTTTCCATAGAATCACCAACTAGAAAAAGGCTTTTAAGTTTTTTCCATTAAACGTTCAATCTATGTTCCACTGTTTCGTTATGTTTTTGTAAATTTTCTACGTTCCAGATTGATAGCCCAACTCTATTCGATATATTTGACAATGTTCTTGGATAAATGGAGGAAAATTTCCATGTTTTTTAGACAAAATCTTAAAATATTTATTTCCTATCGACTGCTCTACCATTTCTTGTTTTGTGAGACTTTAGACTTTAGAAGCCTGGTCTTCCTTTAAAACCTATAGAATTTGTAAAGCGAATTTCTGGAATCGTCCCAACCTATTTTTCAGGGACAGAATGGGTCAACCCAGAAGATCCCAACGTCATTGCTGAAAACGAATTGCTTGGAGCCGCAGCGTCGATTGAGGCCGCTGCGAGGAAGCTTGCTGAACTCAAACCACGTCAAAGGCCTAAGGTCAGTCATTTCTCATTGGTTCTTTACGTAATGTATTTTCTTTTCACCCCCGAAATTTTTTTCATGCCAAAGATACAGTATATGTTTTCAGCCTTTTTAAAGGGGGTCTTGTCTTGAAAACGAGATTAATGAAGAAAAATACTGTAATTAGGCGATATCCTCATAAATTTGAAATGAATAGTTAAAAAAAATTTTCTTTATCATTGCAATTCGATAATGTAATGTTTATATATAAAAATGTCACTTTTCTTGCGGAGTAGTTTAAAATAAACTAAATTTAGCAATTCTAAATTTAAACTAAATTAGTAGTTTAAAATAAACAAAATTAGCAATTCAAACTTAATGTCGTTGGAAATTCGAGCCCAATTTAACGGAAATCAATTTGTTGTTCTTAAAAGCTTTCTGCAGAGCAAGTTGTGGACGAATTATTAAAAGAGAAAGAGGTAAAATATGAAGGATAAATTTGAATATTAAAATTTATCACTAGCGATAATATATTAATTCATATAATTATCTAAATGAATAATTATGTAAACTGGTTTGGATGTAAATTATATGATTAAAGAAATAAAGAAAGTAAAAACATTGATACTTCAATCAACTATAAATGTATTTGTATGATTTTTGCGAGATTCTTTGCTAAAATATCTATATTTTCAATTTCCATCAAAGTTAATTAAATGATGTTAATTCGATCAATATTTGTTAAATGTATACGAAATATTTTGAAAAGAAGTTCTATATGTTTAAAATAAGTAAATGTTAAAAAAAGTTTTGTTAAATAAGAGTTAAGATAAAGTTTACTTCATGAATTCATTTTGCTAGTAAATTTACTTTGAAAATTAGTATCAACAAACAAGATTTAAAATGATATTTCCGATAATTAATTTTAACTTTGATTTTAACATAAATTTAAACATGAGTTTTTTTAATATTTAAGTCTTAAACCCAGACTCGATGAGAATCTTTATAAATAAATCGCTTAAAGTTATACTACTCCACCCATTCCTATTAACTCTTAATTTTTTCCACGATATATTGTTTCTGTTCTTGTAGCAAGCAGACGAAAGTCTTAACTTTGAAGAGCAAATTCTCGAAGCTGCCCGTGCAATCACAGGTGCCGCTAGCGCTCTGGTGAAGGCTGCTGCATCGGCCCAACGAGAATTGGTCGCCTCTGGAAGGGTGAGCTTTTAAAACTTTTCCTTTATTTTATTTTGCAATGATCTTTGATCTAAATCTTCACAAGTTGTCTTAAAGGTACTTGTAAAACAGAGGGTGAGAAAAAATGCTGCATTTTGGTCCGAAGGTGCAAAATATTGGTCCTTAAGATTAGTTCTAGGATTAGTTGTGAATGGGCCTAAATTTTGTGGAAGTTCGTTTCTATTAATGTGCGATTGCGGATGCTGAAATTACTTTGTCCCTATATGCAGTTGTTGTCTTGTCATATTTATATAGCATTTATATCAATTTTGAACAAGGGGCAGCGCGGCTCTCCAAGTGAAATTGCAGCCTGTCCAGGATTGTAGATTGGTTTCTTTAAGGACCGCGGAGCCTTATTGCAGATTTAGGACGGTTGAAGGTTTTTTAGGGGGCTAAAATAAAAACCAGGAGCATAGCTATTTTTGTGTGGTTATAAGTACATTTTGGAAGTTATAGAGAAGCTAAATCCCAACAGCCCTCTCGCTTCCATGGTCCCTGAGCTTTTGATCAATTTTTTTAGTTCTTCTCTCAGTTCCCTTAACCAACCTCTAATTTTGCTCTTTCAGGTTTGTTCGCCATCTTCAGATCCACATGACGATGGGCAATGGTCTCAAGGCCTGGTATCGGCGGTAAGCCATTCTCGATCCATATGTATTCTTACACACAAAATAGCTTTCAAGGCTAATATTAAGGATGTCTTTTGGTCTACGTAAAATTAAAAACAGGCCATGGCTGAAATTAAGATTAGCCAGTTCCTTTGCACCCTGAAGCTTTGTCCAGGGTTTATATTCTCTGTACAGAATATACTTATTTATACCTTATATATATACTTGTGAATCAACAAAAGCTCTGTAAAGACCCCTTCTCTATGTATTCCTCTCTTTTGTTTGTTTTATCCCTCTCTTCTCTCTCACTCTCTGTCTGCTAAGGCCCATTTCTTATATAGAAATGGTATACAATAACTATATACTTATTGTTCCTCCCCCTCCCCGAAAATTTACCCTGTTTATAGTCCCCTGTTATTGGCTACTCTTACACTTACGGTAAGTCTTCTCTATCTTATAAAGTAATCTTCTTTGTATTTAAGCAAATTTTCTCTAATGCAGTTTCTAAGAAAATTATCAAATCTTTCCTGTTTAGTGAGCTAGCTCTGTGAAATGTCTATCCTCACTTAGCTACGCTTTTATATACGTAAAATGCACGTGTAAAAAGGGGATCACCCGTCCATCGCACAAGAGCTATCAGAATTCGCAACACTTGGTTTCGGCTCCTGGTCTGGCAGACATGTTGGAAAGCATTTATTTGTATGTAGGGTGTCTAGCAGTTAGTCACTGTGGCCGGGAAGGCAGGGGAATATCAACAGCATTTTGGTATTGTCGGACAATGTTGGTTTGATTATTTTCCTGTCTTTTATACCAGGCAAGGATGGTTGCTGCAGCAACAGGCTCCCTCTGCGAAGCAGCAAATGCTGCTGTGCAAGGAAACGCAAGTGAAGAGAAGCTCATCGCCTCCGCAAAGGCTGTCGCCAATTCTACTGCGCAGTTGTTATTAGCATGTCGGGTGAAAGCTGATCCAACCAGTTTGACCCAGAAGAGATTACAAGTAAGCCAATTTTTTATAGGATTTGTTATTGCTTATTTTATGCCAGGCTACCCAGATTGCGACTTAGGCCACACGGCATAATTTATGCCTCTAATTCGAATTTCAAGCATCCATTCTGCCCTTCTCATTGCAATTAAAGTGAAAATATGTTTAATTAATCTATAAATTAGCAACGCAAATGTCGTTGTAACAGCAAAAAAAAGATGCTAGATTATCGGTTCTTAATATGTTTGTTCCGAAGTTGATAGCATTGTAATCTGTTCGTTTGAACTTGTCCGATAATTTGTATGAAACTGTCCATATTTTAGGCCGCAGGGAACCAGATCAAACGGGCCGCTGATAACCTTGTCAAAGCCGCACAAGGAGCTGCCGTATTCACCGATGTTGAGGTCGAGGTTACACTCAGCACGAGGCTTACGGGAGGCATTCGACAGGAAATCGAGGCTCAGGAAGAAATCCTTCGTAAAGAGAAAGAACTTGAGGATGCCCGAAAGAGGCTAGCACATATCAGGAAAGCGAGGTATCGCGACGAACCAATGGAATAGTCAAAATCGTAGCCTAGATATCTCCTTTTGGTATTTTCATATTTGCTAAAATGAATTTTCTATCGGAATTACAACCTAATTAGGGATACATACCCAAGTAAATACTCAATGGAATTCTGGGATACGTGTCAAGTAAGTCACCGCGGCCTATCCAAGGTCTGTGTCATATTTTTGTAAACAAGCCAATGTAGTTGAATATTAACTCTAAACAACCTTGTCGCTCAGATCATCAACATATTCTGTTTACATATTCAGATCAGTTTACATATTGTTTAGGGAACTTTTTTCACTACATTTATTCGCCTCGAAGAGAATACTTTGAATGCATGACCCTCTAACCGAAAGAAACTACACTTCCAGCCATGGTTTTACCTTAGTAGGATGACCCTTTCCCAAAGGAGATGTCCCCTTATCTAAAGAGAGAGATCATTTCTCAAAGAGGATGACCATTCAGCCGAATGGAATGACCATTTAACCCAAGGGGATGACCTTGGCCTCGAGGTGATAAGCTCCCACTGAACAATAGTGGCTTATACTCTCAAAGGTGATGCCCTTTAACCAAATTGTGATAGTCTTGAACAAATAAGAAGAAGATCCGATAAATTACCAAGTGTAGACAGTTTGAAAATAGAAGGGGATGACCTATAATTCAAGGGGATAACCTCTGGCCTTTTTTAAATGGTTAATGACCTCTTTTTTAAATTGATTACTGTGATATCAGCTATAAGGGGATTCCATTTATATTGTGTAAAGCCATTGAACAGTTCAGATGGGGATTCCATCTAGTTTGAATAAACATCGGATCACATTCTTCAATTAACAATTCTCTACAAAACTTGACACGTTTTGCCTGGTTTTAAAATGATACATTTTTATACAAATAATGTACGTTTAAGCATCAATGATAGGTTAGTGACGTCATATATGTAAGAAAATTCGCCATTGTTATCATGTTATGATCGTTATGAATGTTTTTCCTGTAGCGCGTAATAAAGTACTTAAGTTCTACATTGTTTCTTTGTTATTTTCAATATTAAATTAGAATGATATCGTTATCAAACATTACATGAAAGCTTTCATTTTAAATTTCTTCCGTTCGTCAATCATTGTCACAACAAAATCTTCACCAGAAATATAAAAAATCTTTATCAATATATTTCTAAACTGTTAGCCTTACTTTTTTTGAAGAATAAATATCACGAACCAGAAGCAATTCTTTCCTTATTGTTACAGATTGTACTGAAACGAAGACCACCTACTGATAAATCATCTTATTGACAACTAAGGGTTTTGTAGACAAACTGATGATTTACCGACGAAGAAACGTATCTTTGTCGAAAAATTTACACTTTTCAGACCTTACAGCCTGGTTTTCAGAGATGTGCAATAAGTAGAGAAAAGATGTTTTCCCCAACACACCATAATCTTACATCAAACCAAGTTGAATCCCTGTCGATTCAGATTTCAATAGAAAGATTCAGGGTAGTTTTAATTGAAAGTTAGACAAGTTTTCAAATATAAATCTTTTCCACGCCTTTGGCCATACTTTTTTATGAAATAAGACTCCAAAAAATTAATAAGTTGCGTAGTTTAGTTGCGTTGGAAAGCGTAGTATAGTAGAATATTTGACCATCAAAAATTGACAATTTTTGATCAAGCCTATAGCCTCACTTTTTAACCTTGAAACACGACTTCAAAAAAAGTCGATATTTTCTCAAAAATAACACAAATTTAGTTGAAATAAAGTTGATTTCCTGTTGTTTGAGATTGCATTTAATAGATTTAGAGTAGTTTAGTCGAAATATTTGACCTTCCGTGAATGACAATTTTTCCAAGCCTATAGCCTTACTTTTTGACCTTGAAACAGGACTGCAAAAAAGTCGATATTTTCTCAAAAATAACATAAATTTAGTTGAAATAAAGTTGATTTCCTCTTGTTTGAGATTGCATTTAATAGATTTAGAGTAGTTTAGTCGAAATATTTGACCTTCCGAAAATGACAATTTTTCAAGCCTATAGCCTTACTTTTTGAACTTGAAACAGGATTGCAAAAAAGTCTATATTTTCTCAAAAATAATATATATTTAGTTGAAATAAAGTTGATTTCCTGTTGTTTGAGATTGCATTTAATAGATTTAGAGTAGTTTAGTCGAAATATTTGACCTTCCGAAAATGACAATTTTTCCAAGCCTATAGCCTTACTTTTTGACCTTTCAACAGGACTGCAAAAAAGTCGATATTTTATCAAAAATAACATAAATTTAGTTTAAATAAAGTTGATTTCCTGTTGTTTGAGATTGCATTTAATAGATTTAGAGTAGTTTAGTCCAAATATTTGACCTTCCGAAAATGAAAATCTTTCCAAGCCTATAGCCTTACTTTTTGACCTTGAAACAGGACTTCAAAAAAGTCAATATTTTATCAAAAATAACATAAATTTAGTTGAAATAAAGTTGATTTCCTGTTGTTTGAGATTGCATTTAATAGATTTAGAGTAGTTTAGTCGAAATATTTGACCTTCCGAAAATGACAATTTTTCCAAGCCTATAGCCTTACTTTTTGAACTTGAAACAGGACTGCAAAAAAGTCGATATTCTCTCAAAAATAACATAAATTTAATTGAAATAAAGTTGATTTCCTGTTGTTTGAGATTGCATTTAATAGATTTAGAGTAGTTTAGTCGAAATATTTGACCTTCCGTGAATGACAATTTTTCCAAGCCTATAGCCTTACTTTTTGAACTTGAGACAGGACTGCAAAAAAGTCGATATTTTATCAAAAATAACATAAATTTAGTTGAAATAAAGTTGATTTTCTGTTGTTTGAGATTGCATTTAATAGATTTAGAGTAGTTTAGTCGAAATATTTGAGCATTAGAAAAAGACAATTTTTCCAAGTCTATAGCCTTACTTTTTAACCTTGAAACAGGACTGCAAAAAAGTCGATATTTTCTCAAAAATAACATACATTTAGTTGAAATAAAGTTGATTTCCTGTTGTTTGAGATTGCATTTAATAGATTTAGAGTAGTTTAGTCGAAATATTTGACTTTCCTTGAATGACAATTTTTCCAAGCCTATAGCCTTACTTTTTGACCTTGAAACAGGACTGCAAAAAAGTCGATATTTTATCATAAATAACATAAATTTAGTTGAAATAAAGTTGATTTCCTGTTGGTTGAGATTGCATTTAATAGATTTAGAGTAGTTTATTCGAAATATTTTATTTTCCGAAAATGACAATTTTTCCAAGCCTATAGCCTTACTTTTTGACCTTGAAACACGTCTGCAAAAAAGTCGATATTTTCTCAAAAATAACACAAATTTAGTTGAAATAAAGTTGATTTCCTGTTGTTTGAGATTGCATATAATAGATTTAAAGTAGTTTAGTCGAAATATTTGACCTTCCGAAAATGACAATTTTTCCAAGCCTATAGCCTTACTTTTTGACATTGAAACAGGACTGCAAAAAAGTCGATATTTTCTCAAAAATAACATAAATTCAGTTGAAATAAAGTTGATTTCCTATTGTTTGAGATTGCATTTAATAGATTTAAAGCAGTTTAGTCGAAATATTTGACCTTCCGAAATTGACAATTTTCCAAGGCTATAGCCTTTCTTTTTGACCTTGAAACAGGAATGCAAAATAGTCGATATTTTCTCAAAAATAACATAAATTTAGTTGAAATAAACTAGATTTCCTGTTGTTTGAGATTGCATTTAATAGATTTAGAGTAGTTTAGTCGAAATATTTGACCATCAAAAAATGACAATTTTTCAAAGTCTATATCCTTACATTTTGACCTTGAAACAGGACTGCAAAAAAGTCTATATTTTATCAAAAATAACATAAATTTAGTTGAAATAAACTTGATTTCCTCTTGTTTGAGATCGCATTTAGTAGATTTAGAGTAGTTTAGTCGAAATATTTGACCATCAAAAAATGACAATTTTTCAAAGCCTATAGCCTTACTTTTTGACCTTGAAACAGGACTGCAAAAAAGTCGATATTTTCTCAAAAAAAACATAAATTTAGTTGAAATAAAGTTGATTTTCTGTTGTTAGAGATTGCATTTAATAGATTTCGAGTAGTTTAATCAAAATATTTGACCATCAAAAAATGACAATTTTTCCAAGTCTATATCCTTACTTTTTCACTTTGAAACAGGACAGCAAAAAAGTCGATATTTCCTCAAAAAAAACTTAAATTTAGTGGAAATAGAGTTGATTTTCTGTTGTTAGAGATTGCATTTAATAGATTTAGAGTAGTTTAGTCGAAATATTTGACCTTCCGAAAATGACAATTTTTCCAAGCCTATAGCCTTACTTTTTGAACTTGAAAAAGGACTGCAAAAAAGTGGATATTTTCTCAAAAATAACATAAATTTAGTTGAAATAAAGTTGATTTCCTGTTGTTTGAGATTGCATTTAATAGATTTAGAGTAGTTTAGTCGAAATATTTGACCTTCCGAAAATGACAATTTTTCCAAGCTTATAGCCTTACTTTTTGACCTTGAAACAGGACTGCAAAAAAGTCGATATTTTCACAAAAATAACACAAATTTAGTTGAAATAAAGTTGATTTCCTGTTGTTTGAGATTGCATTTAATAGATTTAGAGTAGTTTAGTCGAAATAATTGACCTTCCGAAAATGACAATTTTTCCAAGCCTATAGCCTTACTTTTTGACCTTGAAACAGGTCTTCAAAAAAGTCAATATTTCATCAAAAATAACATAAATTTAGTTGAAATAAAGTTGATTTCCTCTTGTTTGAGATTGCATTTAATAGATTTAGAGTAGTTTAGTCGAAATGTTTGACCATCAAAAAATGACAATTTTTCAAGGCTATAGCCTTACTTTTTCACCTTGAAACAGGACTGCAAAAAAGTCGATATTTTATCAAAAATAACATAAATTTAGTTGAAATAAAGTTGATTTCCTGTTGTTTGAGATTGCATTTAATAGATTTAGAGTAGTTTAGTCGAAATGTTTGACCATCAAAAAATGACAATTTTTTCAAGGCTATAGCCTTACTTTTTCACCTTGAAACAGGTCTTCAAAAAAGTCGATATTTTCTCCAAAATAACATAAATTTAGTTGAAATAAAGTTGATTTCCTGTTGTTTGAGATTGCATTTAATAGATTTAGAGTAGTTTAGTCGAAATGTTTGACCATCAAAAAATGACAATTTTTTCAAGGCTATAGCCTTACTTTTTCACCTTGAAACAGGACTGCAAAAAAGTCGATATTTTATCAAAAATAACATAAATTTAGTTGAAATAAAGTTGATTTCCTATTGTTTGAGATTGCATTTAATAGATTTAGAGTAGTTTAGTCGAAATATTTGACCTTCCGAAAATGACAATTTTTCCAAGCCTGTGGCCTTACTTTTTGAACTTGAAACAGGACTGCAAAAAAGTCGATATTTTCTCAAAAATAACACAAATTTAGTTGAAATAAAGTTGATTTCCTGTTGTTTGAGATTGCATTTAATAGATTTAGAGTAGTTTATTCGAAATATTTGACCTTCCGAAAATGACAATTTTTCCAAGCTTATAGCCTTACTTTTTGAACTTGAAATGGGACTGCAAAAAAGTCGATATTTTCTCAAAAATAACATAAATCTAGTTGAAATAAAGTTGATTTCCTGTTGTTTGAGATTGCATTTAATAGATTTAGAGCAGTTTAGTCGAAATATTTGACCATCAAAAAATGACAATTGTTCCAAGCCTATAGCCTTACTTTTTGACCTTGAAACAGGACTGCAAAAAAGTCGATATTTTCTCAAAAATAACATAAATTTAGTTGAAATAAAGTTGATTTCCTGTTGTTTGAGATTGCATTTAATAGATTTAGAGTAGTTTAGTCGAATTATTTGACCATCAAAAAATGACAATTTTTCCAAGCCTATAGCCTTACTTTTTGACCTTGAAACAGGACAGCAAAAAGTCGATATTTTATCAAAAAGAACATGAATTTAGTTGAAATTTAATTGATTTCCTATTGTTCGAGATTGAGTTTAATAGATTTAGAGTAGTTTATTCGAAATTTTTGACCATCAAAAAATGACAATATTTCCAAGCCTATAGCCTTACTTTTTGACCTTGAAACAGGACTGCAAAAAAGTCGATATTTTCTCAAAAATAACATAAATTTAGTTGAAATAAAGTTGACTTCCTGTTGTTTGAGATTGAGTTTAATAGATTTAGAGTAGTTTAGTCGAAATATTTGACCTTCCGAAAATGACAATTTTTCCAATCCTATAGCCTTACTTTTTGAACTTGAAAGAGGACTGCAAAAAGGACGATATTTTCTCAAAAATACCTTAAATTTAGTTGAAATAAAGTTGATTTTCTGTTGTTTGAGATTGTCTTTAATAGATTTTGCCCAGTTTATTCGAAGAATTTGACCTTCCGAAATGTTAATTTTTCCAAGCCTATAGCCTTACTCTTCTACTTTGAAACATTTTTCTAAAAAATAACACGGATTTAGATGAAACAAAGTTTATTTCCTGTTTTCTGAGATTGCCTTTAAAATATTTAGCGTACTTTTGTCGTAAAATTTGACATTCCGAAAATGAGAATTTCTTCTAGGCTCTAGACTTTCTTTTTATCCAAAAATCTTACCTTTTTCAATTGGTAATTGCTGCAAAATATCACCAACTAGGACTCAACAATATTGAATTCCTGTTGTTTTTGATTGTATCAACTATATTCAGCTTTGATTTGATCGAAATTTATGTCTTTTTTAAATCTAATATTTTACTGGTCTATAGTTTTTGCAGAAAAAATAAGAATTATAGAAGCGTGAATTCTATCCCAAGTAACATTATATTTGACCAAAAAAAGTTGAATTCTCATTGCTTTATATCGTATTTACTAAGTTTACCGCAAGTTGATTGGAATTTTTGACTTTTATAAAATATTCACTTTTACAAATCTAAACCCTTCTTTAGAATTTCGATTCGTAGAAAGATAATCGGTTACAAAAGAAATTTTGAAAGGGCAGGGAATGCCTTAGAAAGGAGAACACATGTTTTCTTACAGGTGGCTTGTGTGAGGAGGTTTAGCTGAACTCCATTAGGTTTGTCGTAAGATCATCGTTACAAAGTCATTCGTTTAACTCTGTCATTCGTATAACCGGCCTAGATCTGATCTTCTCAATAGTGTGAATGCAATATTGCTCCCTCGTGGTTTTTCATCTCTTTCAAATGAAGCTTTACTCAAATTCATTTTGTATGGTGATGAGCGACTAACCATTGACACAAATTAGAAGTTACTTCAGGCAACGCTCAAATTCATTCATGCCTCAGAACGCTTTCAAATATTCCATTGCTGCACACTCCTATACATCAGCATCTACTTTTTGTCTGTTTACTCTGTATTCGTAATTAGTCTACCTAATTTTAGTAATCTTTCTTTCTATCCTTGTTTAATATTGTGTGTTTTTATGTATCGGCCATGGGGTAGTCATTGTCTGACGCTCCTCGTGGTATCGTCCCCGTTGTGTAGTACAGTAATTAGGGTAGTATAGTCAATATAAAATTTTATTGTTATTAATTTCTCTGAATAAAAAAAATTGTTATGAAGTTAAATTTCAAAGATGAGCCGTAGGACAATCTCCACGCTTATACGAAGAATTTTTTCCCAAGAAGTGCCAACGGTGCCTAGACGTATTAAATGCAATTTACTTTCAAAATTTCTTATAAATGAACCCGAATATAATTTACATAAATTATGTAAATTAGCATATATAAAAATTAATTAGCATAATTCAGACACGGTTTCAGATTATGATTTGGGATACGGTTAAGGGATCTTGAAACAGTAGGATAATTATCATAAATTGTAATAGATTAGCATAATTATTCTGAAAAATAAACGACTTAAAGGGGAAATATATGGATTTTTCTTGAGGCCCAATTAACGTGTACACGAAAAAAGGCCAATGTGGATCGTTATTTTGAAATTCTGTTGAACAATAGAATAGAGTTGGAAAAACTGTTATTTTTTAAGATTTATTTAAGAATCTATCGGTCCAAAGTAGTATAACATACGCGGAATTGCACCGGAATGGAGCGAATGCCAAAATATGAAATTGACAAACAAATGTATTAATTTTCACCTCAAGGAATTCAGAGACAAACATATCGTACTTCACAAATTAAGTTTTGACTTCATTACACAGAATGTCTAAGCGCATGCGCAAATCGGCAAACCGGAATCTGGCCTATTCACTGTTGATTTTCTTTATATAGAGGGAAACCCGGTTCCACGGAAACTGGTCTTCAAAACGCTTAAAAGTGATATTACCTACAGTTGAATCTCGATAAGTTCGGCATTCACTAAGTACTTCTCAGTTTCAATGTATTTTGGTTTTTCCTGCCTGTTTCGAGTCAAAGATGGTACAACAGGGAAACGGGATATTCGCTAAAGTCGGACTGATTTTAAATGTCCATTAAACCGGGCCTTATTCAAGTTGAAGGTCGTGGCCCTGATAAGTTTGAACTTAATCTAAGTCGGACCGATTTTAAATTTTCGATAGGTCCCAGCTTATTCAAATCAAAAGTCCTAACCTAGGATAACCCGGACTTTCACTAAGTCGGGCCGATTTAAAATGTCCGTTTGATTGTCGTACTTTACTTGCGTTAAAATCAAAGCAATCAAATCTGCTGGTCCAAACAAAGATATTTTCATTGCCTTCGGCCGTCTCTTCATCAATGTTCCGTTCCACTCCGCTTCATCAAGGATTTCTTCATTAACCGCTGAACTTACTAACTATGGACTATAATGGTGAATTTTTCTGTTGTCTTTTCATAAGTGCTTACTTCAACGCCAAAATTTGCATGTTTGGGGGGAGAGGAGGGGCTTATTGCAGGGTGGGGCTTATAAAAATGTAAAGGGGGACCATCAATTTTCGATATAGAATTTTCGGTAGCATGGTTAATTAGCTCTATCAGAGTACGGTCACCCACATACTTTGACGATCAAACCGACTTTGAGCCGGTAAACTATTACCAGTTTCTGGCTTCTGCCATTGAATATTTACTAATAAAATACCGATCAGTGGTTATCAGTGACCGGTAAAAGCGGTCTTCGTTCGTTTTGTGGCGTTTGGTCCGTCACCTTCGTGGCCTCTATGTCCTTATCTGGAGACTCCTGGGTATCTCTGCGATTAGGCGTAACTTCAAGTGGCTGTTGAAGAGAGACGGGGGTGCAATTAAATATGAGAGACATTCAGATGGGTGGCGTATCTACGGAAATTTGTATTTACATGCCCCCGGGAAGCCCGCTACACGGGCACCCTCCCCCTGACAAAGATTAGCCTCGGGGATGTTGACCTCAGTTTCGAAATGTTAGGAAATGCCTCCGCAGTGGTAAAGCAGAATCAATGCTCCACAAATGAATAAAAGCAAAACCAAATTAATTTCGCGAGTGAATTTTGAGATAACATCGATTTTCTACCAAGTCTATCTAAAACCAACGTGCAAATAAGCTGGGGGTATTCGTTACTCCTAAGGATAGCCTTTGTGGAATTGACTAGTTTCCATACTGCTCGACCTGATAATCATAAATTAGCATGATTAATAGTCATAAATTAGCATTATTAATTATTTAAAGTTAAGGGTTAGGTTTAGGATTAAGTTTAGGGTTAAGGTTAGGTTTAGGGTAAACTAATTACGTCATCAGGTCGAGGAATGTGGAAACTAGACAACTCCAACCTGTGTAAGAAAGCCTCATTTTCATTCAATAGCCTCCCATTGACAAATCAGCGTCTTTACCGTGTAGTTGTTTCATTCTTGCAATATACACTAATCTAAATCTATTAAACCATCCTTACTTGAATTAAAGAACCATCAATGCAATAGAAAAGCTCACTATTGGTTCGAAATCATTGGACAGAGGACAGAATCTTCCTAACAAACAAAACTGCGGTTAGGCCACTTACCACTGCGCCATGCCACATACTGCTAAACTGTTTCCGTAGCAACGCAACAATGCTGACAGGAATTAGAACACAGGGAACTAAGTACAGCAATGCTGGTTGGCCAGTTTTCATCAAAACTAGTGCGGTAAATGTGACTATTAAGCCACCACCATAACCTTGAAGATAAAAGAGAAATCAGTAGAAAGTGAACAAGGAAGAGAAAACAACTGTTCTTGCCGACAAATGAGGCATGTTTCTCTTGGGGAAAATAGCAACGTCTCAAGGGAACGGTGAACAATGACAATCGGTCTAGGCCCATTTTGCAACAAAGTTGTGTCAAATTAGGCACGATTGTATCGTGGACAGTTCTGAACAAGGGAATAGGATAAATTGTTCTTCCGAAAAAAGGGAGCATGTTTCCCTAAGGGAAAAATAGCAACGTCCCAAGGGAATTGCGAACAGCAGTGAAAATCTGCCTAGGCCTAGGCCTAGGTTTCTATCCAAGCTCATTAGAAAAAAAACTTAGTTTCACTAGAGAAAGAGCAGCACTTGAATAAAGACATTAAAATAGTGGAAAGTAATTTATACAAACCTATTAATGATGTTATGTAATAAATGCTTTTAGGAGTGGAAGCGATGATATCAAAATTTTTGCAAAATGCCACGAAAAGTCCTGCAATAAAGATATACTTTCATTCTGAGAGTAACGGCAAAAATAATCTTAGAAATTTATTTTTGATCAACTACATGAAACTCTTTGGTGACATCATCACCAGGCCTTGTGATGATGTCACCATGACGTCATCATGACATGACGTGACATTATGACGATACTCAGTTGCTGTGGAAAGCTCGAATTTTAAGTGAGATGTAATTACATTTCGCGCATTTACTATCTATGTGGACATCGGAGGCGGGGGGCAACCTCTCTTCTTGCTCTTTGATAGGAGGGGCAACTGGGGGCAAAGTACCTTTTCATAAAAGTGCCCTTGACATTCGCCTTTTGTAATTATAAGAGAGATTCATATGAAATCCTGACTGTAGTTCCTTATTTATGACGAAATTTCTCAAAACTTGCAAAAACCATCTTCTATGACAGCAGTTAGCCAATTTACAATATGCCTATAGAACATCAAAATATAATTACAGTAACAAACGAATTAGTAGAGGTCAGGAATTGTTTTTCAAATGCCCTTCCACTGAAGCCTGCCCCATCACCCCTTGGTTGTTCCGTCGTCCCTGCTCACTATCTTGATATAATATATGATTAGAACTTTTAATCAGATAAAAAATGAATGAAATTTTGCATCAGAAAAAAACTCGTAGAGACAGTGTCTTATTCCTGGTTTCTTATAAAAACAGTGAGTGTATTGTGGTATTTTTTATTAAAAGAAGGCTTAGGCATATAATAACATACCTGGCAGTAAAATATCTCCAAAACCAAGCAATGAATACGGCCTTTCGCATAATGACAGCGCAGATTTTATCAATTTAGGCACTCTTATAACCATAGGCAATTGTTCGTTGCTACCTTTACCTGTTAAGACAAAACAAAATTGGCAAAAAGCTAAAGACAAAAGATAGGATAACTGAAGTACAATGCGGATAAGCTCTGAGAAAAACGAAAGATTGAGCTGAATATTAAAAGAAAGGCAACAGGACTAGCACCGAAGGACAAAAACAAAATTGGCAAAAAGCTAAAGACAAAAGATAGGATAACTAAAGTACAATGCCGATAAGCTCTGAAAAAGACGAAAGATTGAGTCTAGATATCAAAAGAAGGGGAAAAGGACTAGCACCAAAGGACAAAAACAAAATTGGCAAAAAGCTAAAGACAAAAGATAGGATAACTAAAGTACAATGCCGATAAGCTCTGAAAAAGACGAAAGATTGAGTCTAGATATCAAAAGAAGGGGAAAAGGACTAGCACCAAAGGACAAAAACAAAATTGGCAAAAAGCTAAAGACAAAAGATAGGATAACTAAAGTACAATGCCGATAAGCTCTGAAAAAGACGAAAGATTGAGTCTAGATATCAAAAGAAGGGGAAAAGGACTAGCACCAAAGGACAAAAACAAAATTGGCAAAAAGCTAAAGACAAAAGATAGGATAACTAAAGTACAATGCCGATAAGCTCTGAAAAAGACGAAAGATTGAGTCTAGATATCAAAAGAAGGGGAAAAGGACTAACACCAAAGGACAAAAACAAAATTGGCAAAAAGCTAAAGACAAAAGATAGGATAACTAAAGTACAATGCGGATAAGCTGTGAAAAAAACAAAAGATTGAGTCTAAATATTAAGAGCAAGGCAATAGGACTAGCACCAAAGGACAAAAACAAAATTGGCAAAAAGCTAAAGACAAAAGACAGGATGACCAAAGTACAATGCGGATAAGCTCTGAAAAAAACGAAATATTGAGTCTAAATATTAAGAGAAAGGCAATAGAACTAGCACCAAGGGACAAAAACAAAATTGGCAAAAAGCTTAAGACAAAAGATAGGATAACTGGAGTAGAATGCGGATAAGCTGTGAAAAAAACGAAAGATTAAGTCTAAATATTAAAAGAAAGACAACAGGACTAGCATCAAAAGACAAAAACATAGGTGACAAAAAGCTAAAGACAAAGCATTAAGAAAAATGTAACAGATTTAACAAGTATTGCACATTTAAAGATATTTCACGGTTTTGTTTTTGTTTATTTGGTCAAAATTCAAAAATTCTAAAAATAGCTTTTCTATTACGTCACACCGTTGCCACTTTATATCAAGGTTATATATTTCAAAGACGAAAAGTAACTAACGAAATTCTTGATCAAAATGACATTGCCGAAATCAGCACTAAAGTTAAAAACATTTTTCTTCTGAATTGCTGTACTGGGATGTTGAACGTCTATATGAAAAGCTTATAGTAAACAGGTGCATTTTATCCCTAAAAGTCTGTTGAGGCGGAAAACACAGCCGTTAGCATTAGAACAAAAAAAATAGTACACAGACCTGTAGCAACCTCTACCATCACACTTTTGCCTCGTGCTGAGAATAGCGGCGTTATGAAAACAAAGAATATATCATAAACCAACAAAGCGACGAGCAGCAATGCACTGATCTTCAGGCTGGGCAACTTGATCAGTTTAATAAGACTGATACAGAAGCAAACGCCGAGGATATCTTGTAAGACCCAGGAATACCTAGAAGAAGAAGAAGAAGATATAGGCCTAAATGAAAAGCTCACTGTGGCCTAAGTGGCGGGCATAGCGGGTCCGGGTATGCAGCATGATATTTGCTGGATGTCATATTTCATAAGCAGGTAGGAAAGCGTTCCAAGACATTAAGGAACCTGCAATTTGCTTATACAGTTAAAAAAACTCGTTGACATGTTTACGTAAAACTTCTAAAACGTCTGACAACACCAAAGAAGACATAAAAGATTGCTGCATTGGTTTTGCAAGGGCTATATTTTGGCAAACTAGTGGCCGATTATGGCCTAAGAGAAACTTGTAATCCCAGGTACGTGCAAAAAGTGTCAGTGTTTGCTCGCATCTGGCTATGATGGAAAGTGTCAGGGCGACCGGGAGCCTCATTGTTAGCCATAGTTTGTAACGTACATAAAAAATGTGATTTGTTGTCCATTGATAGAAAGGTACAGAGAGCTGACCTAAGATTTATTTTTAACAATGATAATTTATTACTCATACCAAACAATGGTTATGTAATTTATGCTAATTCATTTTATCATACTTACGATGCATGCCGCTCTACTATCCACCAAATAGTTAAAGCGGCTGATAAGGCCAAAACGAATAAAGATCGGAATTCAACCTTGCTTTTAAAAATTGGAAGAGTCGGGGTCGTGGCCGTACCTTCGGGAAACAGAAAAATACAAATGTAATTTCTAGGCATATCGATTCAACCAGTGCTAAATAATGCCATGACATAATAGAATGAATTTGCAACAATTTCGGCAAATTTCACAATGGCTTTGAAAGTAACATACATCTTGAAACATACTTAGGCTTTTTGTCTGAAACTCTTCAGAGTATAAAACGTCAGAACATATATCGAAAAGTCTAGGCTGGGGAATTCATATAACTATTTTACTCGTCAGCTGAGAAATATATTTCCTAGATCAGAGGTTCTAGATCAATATTCTGAGGATTTATAATCTGAAGTGTGTCAGACAAAAAGCCAGTACAGGTTTGGACATTTTTGCTTTTAAAAGGCAAGTTTTTTGCTTCTAAATTTTAATTAGATATTTCACAGATTCAAGCGAAGTTGTAGCTAATTTGAGCTGTAAAATATTAAGCCTAAACTATACTTTGAGGCAGTGACAGAAATTGGGCTGGTTTGGACGGGCAAGCGCTGTGAATGATCTAAGATTTATGAATGACCAAACAATTTTTCGAGTAACATTGAATCATTGAATAGAGGGGGTGAGGAGCTGGCTGAGGGGAAAATCAACAAATTCGAATGATTGTCTAAGCTAAATTGGCTCAAATATAAAAAATTTCCGTGAGTCATTGCATGTGAAACATAAAATTCATGTCTTTATCTCAATTAACAACCTAGTAAAGGATTTTTTAAAAGAGTCCCTACAAATTGATGCTTCTGTTGACAACATTAAGCATAAAACCAGGGATATGAAAACCAGGTAGGTTTTGAAGTAACTCTGTACCATGAGGTACCAGTGCCCCCGTCAAGGAACAGAAAGTGGTCCAACTTTGTTTAACATGTCTCGGTCATAGTTGAAGAAAGAACGGGGGTCAATACTTACAGACGTTGTATTGGCTGATTATCGCCCGCAGACAATCAAATGTTCCGTTACAGGCAGCTATGGCAAATAGGCCAATGACAGCATATATGAGGTACTTGTAGAAGAAGTATAAAAGTAGCAAAAAACTGCAAATTACACCAATGAAAACGACGATCGTTACTGGCGTGATTTTGAGGGCATCCTCTTCTTCTTCAGCTTCGGTCAAGGAATCTCCTTGCTTTCCCAGTCTACAAAATGAAGAAAAGTTTCAAGGATTGCTTCCTGGGGAACTTTGAAAATTATCCCCCGTCATAAAACAATACCAATACACAAATTAGTACAAATGGCAATTCTGGCAGGGAGTTTTCAAATGTATTTTAGAAACAAAGTTCAAAGCTTTTATATATCTTGCCCAGGTAAGCGTTTATCAACAAACATAAGAAAAATATAGAACCTCGAGAAAGCATTTTCGAAAACTTTAGACCTTCTTAGGCCTCGAAGGGTAATACTAGGCTTTGACAATATGAATGCCATTAACGTTATTTGTTCCGATGTGTATGATAACAATTGATTACGTATGGCAGAGAACAACAATATTTCCAAATGCACGCAAGAAAGCCAAGAAGATATCAAAGCTCAGTGTTATTTGCCAGTGCAATTTATCATGGCCAACCACAGATGTAAAATTATGGGGATGCTGCCAATATAGCGCCCAAGGGTGATTCCCATCCAATCTTTCTGAAAAATTGTAAGGGTGATGTCCTGGCCTTGGCTCCCTAGAAGATAAATTAGTTTCCTATAGGATACAGGGGCTTATGGCCTCAGCACCAGTCTTTCGTAGTCGCTTTTATTGTATTTCCTACACGCACAATAGTGGTTGCTTTAGTAAGGTCGCTGGTTGCATAAGCCCTTGCAATTCCTAGCATTTCACATATGTCTAGTAGTTCACTGTAGGTTACAAGGCGAGAAAAAGACCCATGGACTAACCACCAGTCAATGATTGTCACTGTTATTGGTTCCCATATGTAGAATAACTTATTGTCACCTTGAAAAAGTCATCGTATGTGTAGGCTCACCTGTGTGATATTTTCTTTTCGATCGGATTAACCAAGCCCCAGTGATGCATGTCAAAAATGTTTGAGCCAAGGTCGTGATCTCTGTTCCATGTAAATATGTCATTACATCAATGTCATTACGTCATGTAAAAGATCTTTGAGTTACGTCACATGATTTATGACGTAATAGATACGTCATAAGTAAGACTAATATAGTAATATGCTTATGTGGTAATACACTTAATAATGTTGTTAACAAAAGAGTCAGGTAATGGTAATGTATGCAGGAAGATATCAGCCGTCATGATTACGTCATCTTACGTCATCAATTCACGTCATAATTACGTCATTTTCGTAAAATTGGGCATGGGCATAGAAAGCGTGACACTGATGTTTCAGTTTGGCACAAACACATTTTCTTAAAGATTGAGCGTTTTTTCCCACCAGCCAAGTAAGATTTTGACAAGGCTGAACTGGCACGTTTGAACTGAACTAGGGTCCTAATAGTGGCACACAGCCTTCTGAACAACAAGGAAACAGAAATAATGGTGTCCTTGAAAAAAGAACCTCAAAAACAAGAATAGTGTAAGGGGGCACTCTGACATGAATCTAAAAAGCAGTTCATGCTTAACAGGGCACCAACGTGATGACGTCAAAAATTATTTTTTTCAATTTTTGATCTTTTATTCCATAACCTGAAAGAACATTATAAAACACCTGAAATTTTGCGAAATCAGTTAAATGTGAATTGGCTGAGGTATGGCCACAAAAGCATAGGCTTTTCCCCCATCAAACCTCTGTATTTTGGTCTCAGTTCATAACTTTATGAACCAGGCCAGAATAACAGTAAGGCTTTAGCAAAACATTTGCAATTTTCCAACAAAATTGCGACAGGATCAACTAATTTTGCACTTTTGAGAGGTTTCTCATGATATTCTTTCAAATTATGTGGTAAAAAATAATAATTCAAAATATGGATTTTTGATGACGACACACATTGACTCTCTTTTCATTATCATCAGGTACGATCGTCTATCAGAAGGTTGGCTATCATGACCCTCCAACTACCCCAAAATCTGAGTTTTGATTCTCTTTTACGAAATGTTGAAACAAATAAAATATGACTTCCCAAAACTATTGATAACACTAACATATTCATAAAAGGAAACAATTCAGTGTTCATATAAGGAAAAATTCAATCCTAGAAGCAGATGAATTTATCATTGAAAGTTATTTAAAATCTAGAATGAGATCTATGAAATCAAAAAGTTTCAGGTTTTGTTTTAGGCTCTACCTGTCAATGGTTGTTATTCCACTCCAGTATGCTCCAACCGCGACACTAAAGCACGCCAATAACCAAATAACGGAAAGATTTGGATCAAATAGTGGATCATGAGGATGCCAGAACTGTACTGTCATCGGCTCGCCAAGGTTCTAGAAAGAAAACAGCGGTAAAAAATAAATGATGAAAAATAATTCAATTCAATATCCAATTCAATTCAGTTTAAATGTTTGAATCAATTCAATAAATTATACAGCAAACTCCCGAATCGCTAAAGGACCAATGAAATGGTTGGATATAGCAAATGTTTGAATTATCGATGGGGGAGTGGGGGGGAGGGGGGGGGGTATGAAAGTATTTGGAAGGCAATAACATAATAATCGACAATTTTAAGTTAGGAAGGATATTTCGGAAAAATAACTAAAGGCAATGTCACATATAGTGTGCTCTAAACATGGAAGATGGATGTTTAATTCCCTGATAACAAGTGAGGCAAAAAAGAAGGCCTCAAAGAGAGGGGACTAGGCCTTTAATAGCAGTCTTACCTGCATGACATGCCATGATGCCTCTGTGATCATACCAGCTGGTATGTGAATGTAATTGAACTGGTCTTTTGTCCCATGGGGGTAATCCTGTCAAATAATTGCTTCTTACAAAACCATACGAAATATCAAATAATTAAGGCTAAAATAAATAAAAGTGTATTAAAATTTGAACAGGATATTTTTCGTAGTAAACAAGCAACTAATTATCTACATAGTTCTCCATTCAAATGTTTAAACTTTAAAGAAGAAAAGGGCACTGGCATAGCTGCTTCAATGACGTGGGTGACGTGGGCTGCTGAGAGTTGGGCAAGGGGGGCGAATTGCCACAGGGCCTCCAGGTCTAGGGGGACTCTTAAAGTAATGCATTCCATTTCAAAAACTGAATAAACGAAACGTAGCCAACGTGTTCCTTGAAAATAATCAACATTTTAAACGATTGCAAGAAAATGATGTATTTTAAGCTAATCTTGAGGTTGTGATTGCAACAATTTAATGCTCACCTTGCTTGCGAGGTAATCTCCGGTTTAGTCGAGGGTTTCTGACCCCTCATTATATTAGATGCTTTGATCAAATAAAAGCCTGTTATAGGACAGGAAAATGACAGTGGGTTTGGGGGAACCTTGATTGAGGGGGCATGGGTTGTGTGAGTGTGGTTGGGGGAAGTGTGGGTTGGCAGAGTGAAGGTTGGGGAGTGTGTGAACTGGGAGAGCATGGGGTTAAGGGAACATGGGTTGGGGGAGTGTAAATTAGGGACTATGGGTTGGGAGAGTGTGGATTTGAGAGAGTTTGATTGGAGGAGTTTGGATTGGAGGAATGTGGATTGGAGGAGGGTGGATTGAAAAACATGGGTTAATGAGCATCGTGTTGGGGGAGCATCAGTTTGAAGAGCCTTGATTAAGAGAGTATAAGTTTGGGACCATGTGCTTAAGGATGGTGGGCTGGGAGATAATCACTCATTAAAGAACTTTCCTTGCATTTCTCAATAAATGTTTTAGACATAGTAAGATGGTCTGTATATTCAATGGCATTAAATGAAACTAGCTTTTCATATTTCTTATGCCTTTAATGTTAGTTTTATACTAAAGCTGTAAGCGCATGTCATTGTGAAGAGGCAAGGAGTAGGTTGGAAAGTAATTAAGGCTGATTTAGCAGAATTGATAAAACAGTCAAAAAAATATATGAATCACCATTAAAATATCAATTAGAATTAAACATATGAATTTCTAATCAGTAGAGATGCTTTTCATACATTGGCGGGCACCTAAGGGGCCCTAATACCTTGGGGGATAATGGTGTTTTGTTCTAAAACAATTGGAAAATGTGATGTCATCTTATTAAAACAATAGGCTTTCCCCCCTGATACTATGGAGGATAATGGTCTTTTGTTCTAAAACAATTGAAAAATGTGATGTCATCTTATTAAAACAATAGGCTTTCCCCAATATTTGACCAAGTGTCCGCCTATGCTTTCATAACAAATAACAAGTTCCTGACACACTTACATTCCCTGTTTTACTGACAATTATGACCTGTTTGGCACCAGCCTGTTGAGCCTTGGTGAGCTTCTGGTAGTTGGAGCAGTTTCCAGCATAAACAAAAGAGGTTGCATTCCAGAACCTGGCAACGTTTTTATAGTCAGAGCATCCATCTTGACGGAACGGCATAAAGGCTAGATAGCCGGGCTGCAAGAAAACAAGAACAATTACCAGATAGGGTAAATCATCTAAGGAAGTAAATATTCTGAAAACATTTTCAAAGAATTTTTTACAGTAGATGATCACAACATGAGTATGAAAAAATAAGACATTTTAAAACATTACAAAGCTTTTTGCTTGACACTCATAACTGTACAGGATGTCAGAATATAAAATGTCAAAATTTTAGAAATATTAACGACTTACTGTCTCTTCTAGCTTCTGTGGTAATGATCCAAAATGTGGGTTATAAAGTGCACATGCATCTACTGTGCCAAAAGGTCCTTTTGCATGGACAATTGCCAGTTCTCCAGCCACCTGTAAAATATATTTAAAGTTACAAAAACCTCTTAATATACATTATCATCATCAGGTACCATCTTCTATCAGAAGGTTGGCTACCATGACCCTCCAACTATCCCAAAATCTGAGTTTTGGTTTGTTGTCATTGTCATAGATAAAACTAAGGGGCTAATAGTAGAGATGGGCCCCCAGAACCACCTATACAGTGTTTTAAAATGACACCATCCCTCTTTCCAAGAGTTCTTCTGCCAGAAGCTGTTGACCCCTGGAGTTGTAGCTCATTGCCCTCTTTGCCGGTCTCCTGCTGAGTTAGCCGTTGGCCATCGTTCGTAGCCCTGAGCTAGGGAACCCTGCCAGGTGGTACCAGACCTGACCCAACTGGTACCACCTGTAATATACATTGCATAAATAAATGGTCGATGCTTCCTAACAGCTCTAGTTTGGTAATCTATTAAAAAACCTCATAATTGAGTTTGTCCAGATTTGTCCAGGTTTGTCCAAAGAACTTGAAAGAACATGTAATAGAAAGGACTCTCTTTTAAAAAATAAAATGCAGAGTTGCAAAGAAAAAGCAAACAAGCAAAACATTTCACAAAATACTCAAAGCACTTCTCAACTGGCCCCAGGTTATCAAAACTCTCATCCCCCACAGGACAAAAAATATCATCTAGTTGCTGAAAAGTTAAGAATTTTACCCATTGTTGCTCTAACAATTGCAAGGACAGAGATATGGGGCTCATTGGATGCAATTTAGGTTGCCCCTTAAAAAAGTTGCCCCTTTAAGTTGGTCATACATGTTAGAATGCCTTTAAAGTGCATGCAGTTTGAAGGAAATTTTCATAATAAATGGGCTCAAAAACAAGATGAATTAACTTAAAAAAATGGTACCCCTTTCCATCAATTTCTGATTCTCCCTTTTTTAACATTCTTACATACATCCCTTGCAAGGTTGTATGGTTTTCTGACAATAGTTTTGTTTAATCTATGTGCAGCTGTGTGACTTGGCTCTTAAGCTAAAAACTACTATGGACCACACTGTGTTTTCTGATAAAGGGAGGAAAGATTTACACAACAAATTAGCTAGTAAAGAAAGTGCTTTAATCTACACTAGAAATTGCAGCATTTCCCCCTCGCCTTGGGTGTGCCTTAAATTCTTTGGTGCACAAAAGAGTGGCACAGTAAATGGACCAGAATTTCTTCATTGCAGGGGAAAAGTGTCCAAAGTGCTGTAATTCCCACCAAGATACATAGTGGGTGTGAAATGAGCTCTTCCACATAAGTGGGTCAGATTTACTTAATGTGCAGACAAGAAACTGCCCTATGAAGTGGAAAGTGCCCCTTTTTTGTCAAAATCTTGATTGCACAATAAACTCTCCAACCAAGGTGTGGTGCAGAAAATGGTCAGAATTTCTTCAAGAGCAGGCATAAAGTGCTGTTCATTTGAATATATTTGAAATTGAATGAATGTGGCCCATTAGCTCAATTGCATGACTAATATTTTCATTTACTAACAAAATCAGATTACAAAAATTAAAATAACTATAATATCTGAATGAGTTAAGATATCAACTTGAAATTTTCAGGTTATTTTCCTCTCAAGATACTTAGCATTTGACAGGAGTATCAGAAAAATCTGAGAGGGTGCATTACAAATCTAATTTTTTTGTCCCACTTTGGCATGGAATGACCCTTAGGTCAAGAAAATCCTTATTCTTATGTGTAGTTCTGGAGGAGCAGGCCATGAATCTTTGTCTGGATCAACCAATGGCTTAAGTGTCTTATATAAAAGAATGGGCAGTATAAGATACATAGATCTGGATGTATCTTAGCAAATTTTTAGTACGATGCAGAATTTACGGCCTAAAATAATGTGATCCAAGAAAGTTTCTGTAAATTCATAATTCTGCTAAACTAGATATAGTAAGTAAATCATGTTAGGCTAGAAAACTTCTGCCTGCAAATATTATTTAAGATTGAAATCAAAACAATAAGAAATAGAAAAACCTGGCGGAAATGACAAAATCACAAACCTCCCAATCTCATGACACCAAGACCGCAAAGAATTTGGTGTAATTGCGAACAAAATCAGTTAAAACTATTTTAAATAACGCGATAATTCGAATCGTTAGGTATTAAGGCTCGTTATAGTTAAGAATTTAGGAAATCAAAACTCATACCTTGCCAGTAATCACTGCAAAAACCGCGAAACATCCTAAGCATTTCATGAAGCTGTAGCCGGCCATATTGAAAGTGACGATCCCATCGGTCAGCGGCTATTGACAACAAGACGCCGATATGCATTCGAAGTTGGCGTCATTCCTGGAATTAGAGAAATCGGGAAGATAAACAAATGAATCAAATATCGCCATTTTTTTAAAATCGTTTGGTTGTGAAGGAAGGCATCGCCACTTCTCGTAAATCTCCTCTTTTCTTATCGTAAATTGCTACAATCCTGGTCAAAATTGTTGAGACAAAACTCAATTTTTTCAATTTTCTACTTTACGTTGCCCCTGTAAATTCCAATCCCCCCTTTCCCCCTGAAGCAATGTTGGATTTGTAGGGCTATCATTTCTCCTTCAGATCATGCATTCAACATTGAATTGGGAGAGGGGGGAGTTATTTTTCAAAGAAAAGAGAAAATATCAACTTTTCTTGAAAAGTCTCAACTATTTTTGTCCGTGGTTGAAGCGAACCCGCATTTGAAGGAAACATCGTTATTGATTAAAAAACGATTTGTATTCATTCCATAGAGATGTCTTTGAAAATTGTTTTCTTTCAGCTGCTATTGTTTAGAACATCATGCACAATGTATTTTGCATGCAAGTACAAAGATATTTTGCATGCAATAAATTTTATGCAACAAAAACAATAATTCTGTTTGCAGATACCATTTAATGCATGTTTGAAGATTTCAATAATTCTACTATTGTTATAAAATTTTGAAGATGTCCAGTTCCAAAATGTGTTTTGGCAAAGAAGGGATTCTTGCATACAATTTCTTTAAAGAGGTCTTCACCTCACCTATACCTATTATCTCTGAACACTCAACAACCCTGTTACTTCTAACAACTTTGGCAACTGTGTGTACAGTCATACATGGTGAGAAAGAGAGAGAGAGAGAGAGAGAGAGAGAGAGAGAGAGAGAGAGAGAGAGAGAGAGAGAGAGAGAGAGAGAGAGAGAGAGAGAGAGAGAGAGAGAGAGAGAGAGAGAGAGAGACATGTAAAAGGCCGAAATATTCAAAGAACTTATACTACTAAAAACGAAATCCTCTAAGGAACTTTTCGATTTGAAAAATCTTTATAACTGCAAGCATCAAGAACTAAAAAGCTGGTTCCATTCATTTGCAGCTAGTACTAGCATAGATTGTTTGCTATTCGTGTGTCAAGTGCTTCATTGAGTAGCTTCTGCATATGTTGTCTCGCCCCTCTCTCTATTAAGTGTAAAGGCTTATTTAGTCAAAACAAATTAAGGAACTAGTAAGGAACTTTTGGTACTACAATTTGATTATTGTAGGTCTACGAAAAAGGAACTTTTGGAACTAGGCCTTGAGGTAGGTTCCTTATAAAAAAGGCGTGTAGTACAGTCGACTCCGGTTATAGTCACACGAAATGTTACTTGAATACTTAATACTGTAAACGGAACTAAGTTTCTAACGGAACTAAAAGCTCATTTTTCAGAAAATCTATTGGTGAATTTGGACTAGCTTATTGCCAATTCGCAATACTAATCGTTATATTACTTCAAAAACAATGTCATTATTCCGTTATATTTTTGCCAGTTTGCAGTTAAACTGAAAAGAGATTGTTTCAGCAGCAAATATTTTGTTGTAACAAACAAAAGCATTACAAATTAGCTAATAACAAAGTTGCTACATAATACAGCACGAGATTTCAAAACTACAATGAATAGACAGACTGTTGACATTTGGCACCCCCCCCCCAGTTCAATGCAGCTATCTACTCCTTTAGATATTGATAACCAATTTTGAACGGGGGATAGGCAAGATACTATACAAGATCTAATACTTATAACACTCAATGCATTGTTGACCGGATCACAGAATTTGTAAGCATCTGTGGATGTGCAGGTGTTGGTGTTCTGTCAGTGATTGGCGGGCAAGCAATAAGAATGGGAAATGGAGTTCGGAAGTGTGACGTCATATAAAATGTATTTTTAAAATCTTTGACATTGGACCGCATAACCTTAATGAACACCATGAAACAGCTACGAAAAATAGGTTAGATAAGCAATTAGTTGGGTTAGCTACGGCAAATGAAAGATTGCTAACCGATCACTGACATTTTGGCTTCGTGCACAAAGTTAAGAACAGAGCCGAGTAACAGAGATATAATGGAGAAACAGCCATTGCTTTCGTGGCTGTATCAGCCAATTTTTGATACCTTTAGCTGATTCCGAAGGTTAACAAATATATCTTGATGTTCGTTCAGGTTATGGGATCCAAAATACCAAAGAAATTCAAAATAGATTTTGTGGCCTTATCACTGAGGAAATTTATAAGTAAAGTACAGGGCTACTCCCTGTCTTTGTCGTTAAAAGCATCTACAATCGAAATCTTAATTCCAATCATAACTAACAATTAATTGCTTCTTCACTAGACGGAAAAGGAATGGCATTATTGATTCAAAATTTTCGTTCATGAATGATGTAGTCTATCGACAGAATCTAGAGAAAAAACGCTTAGATAAAAAGTGCGATAGGGAGAATATTTTTTTTACAAATTTGAATCATTTTAGACATTTTCAAACTATGATAAATTTTTCACAACATTGAAATTATAAGGAAAACAACGAAATGCCACAACTTCGAGTCAAGATTGTGCAGCATTTGTCCATAGAAATGTGCAATCTTCGTATTAAAGTTTGTTGAAACAAGATTTTAGCAAAGTTTGATTTATTTTCTATAATCTTTTATTTATTTGATTATACATTCAACTTTTTCCTAAATCTGAGAGAAATAGTTTCTATTTCAGGGCACTTGCTACAAAGTTTTTAATTCAGGCAACGTCTATTCCAGGATTTTTATCAAAAAATATCAAATTTCGATCAACGTTCCTAAATGGAATAAATAAAAAGATGTGGATAGGGTGCATTTTACTCTAATTGTGTATGGGATTTATCATTTACAAAGCTTTTCCAATTGGGTAAGAAAGTTTTCTTAGATCCATTTGGGGAAAAACAAGAAAGCATCTGAAATCAGCATGGCAAATCTTGATTGGCTTGGAGATCTAAAAACTTGTTTTTTTCCTTTGGTGGTATTGGCCAATCTGCACAAAGGATTCTGACAAAAAATTGTGTTGCAACTAAAAATTGGCCCATTTTGACCGTTTAAGCATGTCTCACTACAATAGCTACCAAAATCTTGTATGATTCTGTCGAAAAATGGCAAAAAGTTTCAATTGCAGAGCCCTTTTTCAAATTAAATTTCAGGCAGTTTCAAAACACTTCATGTTTGACTATGGACTAGCTTTGATGGTGTGAAGGCAATATTCTGTCTTAAATACCACCCAGTTACACCAATTTAAACTAAATAGCAATGAAAGATGATAAACTGGATGAAAAGTCAGTCAGAAATTTGCTTTTTAGAGACATGAAATACTTTTCGCAGATAGTCTGGGCAAAACATTCTTAAACAGTCAAAAAGGCCTAAAATAGCAGTGAATGGTGTTTGTTGTCAGAATTCTCTGTGTTCTGATTGGTCAATACTGTTTAGAAAAGATAGAAGTCTGTGTGGTCATTGGCCAAAATCGTTGGGAGGAAATACAAACGGTGAGATCTTTTAGCCAATCAAATTTTGACTCCAATGCTTTTGAATCCAAGCTCATAATCTGTGACAGAAAGATGGCTGGAGTCATATTTGTGAAGCATGTTCATTGTTAAGCAAAACACAGCATTCAGTACCAGGATACTCAGGTAGATTCAGTTGATACTTCTCAGCCAATGATTGAGGAACAAATCTACCTCCAAGATAATGGCATCCATTGAATAAATTGGCACAAAGTTTTGGAGCTGTCAAGGACACCAGGGTATCAGGTTTAATGCCATCTGGGTTGCCTTTCTCTACATCCCAGCCTAAAAAAGAAAAATATAGGAACTTACAAGATTCTTGGATGTTATGATACAACTGATAATAGAAATGAAAAAAAGATAATATTACTAATTTCATACGAGCTGACTTTTTCTATATAAGAGACAAACTGTATAAGAAAACAGAGGCCTGATCAAAGTGAATTGTGCTTCTAAGTCTGAGACAGTGGAATTGAAATGTTGATTGAGTGGCAGAAGTCATGCTTACTCAGTCTAATAATGAGTTTGTTTGGCAACCCCATTAACAGGTTCAGTGACTTCAGTGCTGGTCAGGCCTTGCTGAAATATATTTGTGGGACAACAAAAATGTTAAATTGAACATTTAATTGTTCTCGAAGATATTGTATATATTGATTTATCATATCAAGTAGCGAAAGAGTGTACTGGTTTGGCCACTGAGCAACACCATCCACTATAAAAAACAAAACGTTTCCCATATGTAGAGTGCTTTCTCAATTCAAAGTTCAATCCATATTTCCAAGGCTTTGTATAGTCGGCTCCCACTAAAAGTTATGCTACCACGAATGGGTTCATAAAATTTAGACTAAGATATGTAGGACTATCCAATTTAGATATTTTTACCATCACACTAAGCTTACTGTCACCGCTTTTCAAGGAACATTTAGAGCATTCATAACTGGAGTCTATAGTACTTCATGTTGCAAGAAAAAATATCGTGTTCTTCTTACCTGATGGCACATCCACAGAGCATATTGGAACATTGACATTTTTGATTGTTTCAATCACAGTATCAAAGGGTGACCTTATATTCCCTTTGAAACTAAACCCAAATATTGCATCAACTATAAGCTTGTATGTCCCATCTATTTGTGGCTTTGTTGGCATCTCTGTCAGGAATGGAATGTCCATACGCTCACACTGTGTAGTCAGGTTCGTGAAAAGTTCTTTGGAGGAGCGTTTTGGGTAAACTATAGCTGGATCAAATCCCTAAGGAAAAATAAAATCGAGATAAGAGGCCCTTACAAGTAGAAAAACAACCCAGGTTGATTCCTACAACCAGAAAATTGATTATTTTGATGCAATCAAAATCACCAGAATATTTGAATCCATTTGCTTCCTCATCTCTTTCATGAGCGAAATATTCATTTGAAAGAAAAATTTCTAAAACTAAGATGAGATGCATGGTTTTCAATTATCTTTTAAGTAGAAGGTTCACACTTAAAAGTAGGTATCTGTAAGTAAACTAAGTTTGTGCAGTGACATAAAGAGGCACGAAGCATGGTTTTCTCTACTTTGGAGACATCAGATCTACACATCATAAGCAAAAGCTGTATTATCAATTTGTTAATTAAACCTTGATAGATCTCTTTTTATTTGCTTTACTGATTAGTTTAGCTAAGCAAACTGTATATTAATCTTTTTGGACATTATGAGAAGTTATACTTCAAATTTTACATTTAATAATTAATATTAAGACATCTAGAGTAGTAGCAGGTCCATATTAGCTCCAGCTGACACATCAATTTTGACTTGCTTTTACAAATATATAATAAATTGAAATGAAAACAGGTGATGACACAGAAACTTATTATTCTATAAACACTGAAACTGTTCAATACCAGCTTGTAAACAGAACAATAAAAATTAACTTTAGAATGATAAAAGTTTCACAGAAATCATGCATGGAATTTGTAGCAAAGGCTTTGTAAATGTTCTTGTATTCTTTGTTTTCTTCTTTTAATCAGAACATTGAAGTTTAAATGAGGGATATTTACAGGAGACATAACAAGATCAAAAAATATCACATAGTTGCCATGTTTCGAAGAATGAAATGCTGGAGATTTGAGTATCGATATGGAGGAGCATGACATAGTCTTTTGACAAGGGATGCAGAAAATATGTCCTGTATTTCCTTTGACAGATCCAATTGAAAACTCCTTTGCCCACTCTGGGATATATGCACAGCTATACTTCTTCTTTTTTGCAGACATACTGTTTTCTTGGCCTACTTATCTAGGTACTGATTGTTGGTTACTCAACATATTCAAACATCAAATATTTCCATGGGAACATGATACAAAAAAGCAGCAGGGAACGAAGGGAGATTAGAACTGCAGGTGGCAAGCCCGTGACACATCTAAACATAAGAAAGACAACTCTATTGGTTGCATGAAAAAACCACTGACTCAAAATGTAAAAGTAAATTTTAAATGTTTGAAAATCATAGAATGCTGGAGATTTTTCTAGGTTTTGCCAGTGTAGAGCTCGGCTGGAGACAAGCTTGAAATGATGGAGTCTCCAGCAGGATGTGGGAGACTTGGCAACTATGATATCAGGTGCAGACTTTACAACAGATTCTTAGTAATGCCCTGACGGAATGAAGGATGAAAAAAATTGCACAGAGAATGTGTTACCTGACTAGACCAAACTTTACAGTCTGAGACTTCAATATAAAATATGTAAAAAAGTGACAAAGTAGAAAAAATTCTGTGATAATCCTCCAGGTACTCACAAACAATTTCAGGTGCCTTGCTGCCACTAAACCATCTCCGCCATTGTTTCCTGGGCCACAGCAAATTAAAACTTTGTTTTTGTTATCTTCCAGTGCATACCTCTTTGCTACAGCAGTGGCAACACTTAAACCTGAAATGGAAAGGAACTTTGTAAGAAGGCAGAAACAAGTATAAATCCAGTGTGGAATCTTTGTGCTCAAGACATCTGGTGTGAAATAACAGTTTCCCGTTGTATTTCTATTGCTTATTGGCATATTTCCGGCAAGAGGTATACATGGATTTGACCTTATGGGTTATTTAATATCAAACAATCAAGGCCATGACACCCACAAATTCAGATTTGCCTGACTTTTCATCGTATGCAGAGGTTTTGGCTCTATGTTTATTTTTGCAATTTTTGTATTGTGCTTCACACCCATTGCTAAAATGATAAATTGTTTTGACACTAGATTCAATGTGGTTTTTAACAAATACCATTGTTGATTTGGTAACTTGATACACAAAAATGCTGGCATGCCGCGCTCTAAATAACCTGATATGAAGTTTCCACCAACTGATTGCTTTCTATGTGATAAATACACAGGAGGGCTGACATAGTAGGTAGTTTTTCTTTCACCTGTCAGGGCAGGTAGAGTTACTGGTTTTCTAGCTGAGACTCCTCCCATATTCACATTTTGCAGAGGACAATTAAATTTCTTTTATTTAATTGAGAATACAACCCAGACTGGAAACTTTGTTTCTTGCACAGGCAAGTTCACATGCCTGACTGCATGACTGCGCGCCTGAATTCACACACTTTTAAGAAATTTGTATTGTTATTAATGTGAAATGCATAGGCAATATATCATGGGCGTGTGACAAAGTTTCCAGTTTGGAATACAACTGGATACAACGTACAGGATTGCTGATTCCACAAATGTAAAATTTTACAGCAAAATCTAATAAAAAATGGCATCATCTGGCTGGAGATTTCTCTTGCATTTAGTAGGTTGCTTTGCATAAAGGGGTGAGATTTAAGTTTATCAATTTTTACAACAAATAGGTCTGTGAAGTCATTTATTGGCAATCATAAATGGAATTGTATGCAGTTGAGATAGCGAATGAAGGCCTTTTAAAAATGCAATGGTACACATTTTGCAATTAATCTGCAAAATGGACGACGAAGGTATGCCAAAAACAACCTTTTGCAATCCGACAAGACGCATCAGATCTTCAGTTAAGGGTGGGCGTGGCCTAAGTCCATAAAATGGTATGCATTTTTGGCTTACCTGCCAATTCCATCAGTTGATCCACGCTGAACCTATACTCATTGAAGAGCTCTTGGTCAATATTTTGTGCTTCAACTTGATTGAGGTATTTCAAAGCCATGCTCAGCAAACGTATTTGAGAGATGCAAGCACTTTTTGAAATTGTTTTTGAAAGAAAACTGCTCCTGGCCAGACGAAAAATAGCACGGCTTTTGCAATGTACGAAGAATGTGGAGGAATGGTACTTCGATATTATGAATTGGCGAAGTGGACAAAACTGATGATGATGATGATGATGATGATGGTGATGATGATGATGATGATGATGATGATGATGATGATGATGACGATGATGATGATGATGATGATGATGTTGATTGATGATGATTGATGATCATGATTATGATGATGATTGATGATGATAATGATGATGATGATTATGATGACGACGATCGATGACAATGATGACGGCAACAAAGATTCCAAATGTATTAAAAGTCTGAACTTTTCTAGATGCGCTTCAAGTCTGTTTCCCAGACAACTAAGAACCTTTATGCTTTATGAGATTGCGATTCACAGACTTAAAATACCTAAAAAACGGTGGCACGAGCTATGACTCGCCAAGATTACAGAACTCATTTATTGGGGCTCTGTGAGTGGAACCTAACTGGGAATCTGTTTTTTTATTTGACGAAGGACATTTTTTGCTTGATAACATAACACGAATAATTATTCTTATTCGGTTGCTTTATCAAAATGCGTTTCGCAGATTTACACTTTCTTGATAAACAGCGGGGAATGCTAGGACGCAGTAAGTTTACCAAACCCAGATCTTTGAATTCCACTGTCAACCTTTGCAAGAAGGAGAAATCGATGCGTGCCTAACGATCCCTAACGACCCGCGCTGACAAAACGGTTTCAGCATAAAGATCTCGCGGCAGTGCAATTACTTGATTACGAAGGGGAATCTTTCGTACGTAATTGTGAGCAGCCAAACTTTTAATTTCGTAAACTTCCTAGTTGCGAGTGCAAAGATTTCTTCAACTCGGCAATTCAACTATTTGATGAAGAAATGTAGTCATAGACCCCAAGATTATTCATTGATTATTCTCGTAACTGTTGGTCTGACCTCACACGTTCCAAATTTCTATTTTTTTACGTTGTTCCTGCACCAAACTATCTTATCCAACATATTGATCCTTTCTTTAAAAAAAATATGAGGTCTGAAAAATTTCGAATGAATTTTGGATCAACCCCAGAGAAAATTGAAAAGTCCCTGCAAGCATTTTGCGACAATTTCGCAAAGCCTGGAAATCTTCGAATAACTTTCACCGACTTTGCAAAACTTGCGAAAAACTAAACAGATTTCAAACACTTAACAATATATTTTCCACGACTCATTCATGAAAGCTAATTCTTGCAGAAACTTGTGAAATCGCATATTCCCGCACTTTCTTTTTGTATCCTACATAGCAAATTGCAAATAATAGGTCTAATTACGTTGACGCTTGACAAGATGAAAGCACCATTCTCGATTACGAGAAGTTTCTGATCTATTCTGGCTACCGTTCAACATGCACGTGCAGAACCAATTTTAACTGCCCAACGTCACGAGCAAAACTAAAGGTGATTGGTCGAATCTAAGAGGATGACCACAAAGGGGATCTCAGGCTAGCAGCCGAACCCAATTTAATAGCACGATTATCGACCTAAGTGTCGATTAGCGAACCTCAATTGCCCACTTAATCGGGAAACTCATGATTCTCGATTGTTCGTTTGGGAAAATTGGGAAAATCCTTTGATTCTGGCATTCTATGCCTGCATTGTTTCGATTGTCTCCCGCCTTTGAATTCGGCTTCTATGTTACCATTGTTGAACTCATCAAAATGCCGATCCATTGTTACACAATTGGCAACAATTCTACATATATATATATATATATATATATATATATATCTATATATATGGATGCCCATCGAGCTGAGCAAAATCCCCCCTTCATGTACTCATTCTTCGTACATAAAAACAACCATACTTACACGCCCTCGTTTGGAAGATGCCTCGGATAAGCGGTGTCTTTTGTTCCAAGAAGTCTTAAACACGGAAGTTTCCGAAGTACAAATTTTTTTAATTTTCTAGGTATACAATCTTATTGGGGATAATATCACAAAATTTTAGCATGTGTCTTTTCACAAATACAAAAAAGTTTCAAGCACATTATTTATATGTTTCTTTGCCAATTTCTGGGGCTTCGCGTGCCTCTTCTTCGTCATCTGCTTCTTTACTGCCATTAGCAAATGCTTCATCAAGTTTGTTGAGCAATGGAAGTAAACCATGCCGTTTAAATAGTAATTAATGCATTTAAATTTCAGTTAAGTAGGTGAATTTCAAATGTATGAAACTGAAACTGACAAAGAAATAATGTTATGAATGGAGCAATAAAACAGTCGCAGTTGATCATAGTATTTTTAATGACAACATGAAAGTAAGAGAAATCTCTAGCAGTGGCGGCTCCAGCCTGGGATAAATGGGGGGGATAAAAGGTTTGTCTAGGGACCACGCCCTTTTGGACCACGCCCTTTTCCCGTGATTGAAACATTTTCTTCCGGAGGATACAATTCTTATCTCCCGAGAAATGTCATTTAAATGTGACATATCCCCCCCCCCCCTCGAAGTTTTCTCAACAGATTTGCAAGAATCTAAAGGTAAGAGAAATCTCTAGCTATCCTACTTCTACGTGTCATGTAACCTTGGTTCAAAAACTGTCCTCGAGATAAGTAGACAATAGCAGACCTGAACCAATTTTCGACGCTCTTATTAGTACAAGTTTTGTAAGGAAAAGAAGTATGCATGAGTCGTAGAAACCTGTATTTGCTTTTGTAGTTTTATAGCTACTAAGACTAGACAGGTCCTTTGCAGATTATTCCACAGAAATCCCAGTTAAGGACCTTATTGTCACCCATTTTATTTGTGACCTGTAGACTTGATAATTTGCTCGCTGGCGTGTGTCATAATCATTTTGAACTACGCTGATAATTCACCTAGCATGACGTTACTTATATAAGGAGAAAGAAGTACTGAAGATAAACGAAAGATAGCCAATAACAAAAATTCTTGTTCATAAATAATTTTCTATAAAATAATTTGAATCTTTTATAAATATCTACAATTCAAAGGCTGTATCCGTTGCCATTAGAATAATTTATGAAAAAAATTGAGATATCTAAATATGATAAATTGAGATATCATAAAACATGGAGAAATTAATCACTTGAGTTTGCCAACAACATCCTTGTCAATAAATGCATTTCATTTCAAGGGGCACAAACCAATAACCATAGCGATAGGCCAATACGGCAATCAGTGATAACTTTATTTGAGGAAAGGGGGATATGGTAATTCTTTGCATAGTGATTCCACCAAAGATCGAGTTACAACTTTTTGTTTGGATAACAGCCCTGATAAATAAAGGAAACAACAGCCATATTTTACAAAATGAAAGTATTTTACTTATTCTACTCAAAGTTACCCAAGATATGTCATTTATGCTCGAAACGTCGTTATTTATTTAAACAAATTTTTCCTGGTACAATTTACTTTCATTGATCGTTATTATATTTCTAAAATCCACGTTTGAAGGCAAGGTAATCATTTCATTTTCATTTCATATTTATTTAAAAGAAAATGACAAATATGAAGAGGTGTGTTGAGAATGTGAAAGAGCTTCAACCATTACCCGATGAAGAGTCATCCTCGAAACGTCGGGATTATATTTAACTTCAAAAAATGTACAAAGTTGTTTTCTATTTATTGTAAATTTTTGTCATTGTTCAATGATCAGTTGAATGTCTGTGCTTTCCTGTAAATCTGAACCAACGCCTTGTAAAAGAGAGGACAAAAAACATCTCAGATGTCCAGAAACAATTACTTTTTCAATTTCCTAGCAAGGCAATAGTGCGAGCAAAGGCAAGTTTAACAGTGAAGCAAAATAACAATTTCTCTTTGGATTAAAAGAACTTTAAACATACTTTTTTTGATTTGACCAGGTGCTGCAAGAAGTTAGAGGTTTCTATTGAAACGAAACAAAACACTACCAATTAACTGATCTATCAGTAAAATAACAAATCAGTAAATCGGAAGCCACAAAGAAGCTTCATTCAGGACATGATAATTGTTGTGGTGTTACGCAAGGATCATTTCTCGCTTTGTTTACTAAAGGCATATCAACGTTATGGCCGCTTCTATTCTAGGCTATACGAAAACAAAGACCATAAGTTTGGCAAACTATTCATTGTAGTTTTATTTCTTATATCAACTGGAGAAGCTATGGTTTAGCGCTCCTTTTGACAAATCTAGTTTCATTGAGTTAAATTACACTCATGTATAAACATAACTCCGGGTCACAGTTGCATTACTTCAGATTTCAATACCGCTAGTTTTCTTAATAGTCATAGGTAATAATAGGCACGTTTCCATGGAAGTAACATGCAGTCTTTTGCAAACAATATTTTGGTGGTACAATACTTAAAAATGGCTTTCATAAAGACAAAAGGAGTTTGTTTTCACCTTTGAATCCGTTGGTAACATTTTCTATAGGCAAGCAGCACTGATTGGGCAACCTCAACTGTCACGTGCTCGCGTTTCTGACTGGCCCCGTTGTGGATCGAAATAAGATCCACAACGGGGTATATATATTTCCTGGCGTCGAGTTTTCCATCTATGTTTTTCATCTATGTTTCCATCTCTGACGTTTTATACTTTGAAGAGTGTCAGACAAAAAGCTTAAGTATGACTCAAAACGTTTGCTTTTTTCAAAGCAGTCTTTTGCCTACCATAGAAATCAAATCTCTTGAATTACTTTTACACTATGCCTTTTGAAACTCTAGTTTCCACTGAGAATTGCTTTTGTTAGATTCTAGATTCTGTTATTTGTCATAAAATTGACACAGGAAATTGCGCGATCTGAGAAATATACAGATCGTTTCAAGTGAAAGCTTGAAAACATGACATATTTCTATAGAACAGCCTTTTGTGTTCCTATCACAAGCATCACTCGATACATACGTTGATAAGGGGGATGGGGCATAGCTCCTTTGCTAAAATCAAAAGAAATTTGGGGGGGAGCTCAGATCCCTTAACAAGGTCCAGTATACGTTTGGTTGGGCAAATTTTTATGGCAATATGAATAAACCCTA